ACCAAGATGGATTTTTTATGAACTAGAGAAGCTTGTAATGATAACTTGAGGATTGTACGGTTGAAAATTATAAGAGTCAACCAGTAGACCGAATGAAAGGTTTTTTATGCAATAAAAGTCAACCTTATGGACCAAATGAAGATTTATCGCTGTTGTATCAGAGGATCAAAATACATTTTTTACAAAGGAGAAGCTTGCATGATAATTTCAGGATTGTAAAGGGGTTATATCTAAATATTAGCGTCCCCCTTCTAGCTCCACTTCACAATTCCGGATGCCCCGGAGCAGAACCAGTGGAAAACAGAGAAGGGGAGGGGAGCAGCTTCGCCCATGGCTCGGTCGCTTCTCCTCTCCGTCCCCGCTCCGATGAGGCCGCGGCTTCTCAGAGGGCCCCGAGGGTTCATCCCCTCCATGGGTAGTTTTACGCACAGGAGAAGGATTGGGGGTGCGTGGCACTACAATGCCGGCCCTACCAGGGGGAATTCTCCCGTGATGATGGCCTCTGTGTCAGAATTCCCCAGCGAGAAACGGTACCCAACGATAAAGTCCGACTCGACGGGACCGATCCCTGCCAAGGAACTCCTCCAGGTGGTGGAGCTGGCCGCCAAGACTGGAGCCGAGGTAACCCACATTTTGCTTACCTATTTTGTTCTCGGTTTCTTGTTTATTTGAGGCATGAATCAGTTTCCCCTTTTTTTCACATGCTTATGCGTTTCTCCTCGCGGTTTGTTGTTCTTGTTCTTAAAACTGTTATTTTTTGTTTACAGGATTTATGCATCCTTTTAAATTATAACACACCAGGAGGGTTTTTTTTTTCTTCTGAATATTTATCTATATATATATATTGTGTATCTGACGTAACCCTGTTTATTCTGCTCATTTTTCAGGTTGTGATGGAAAATGTCGATAAACCCAGAAACATTATCTACAAAGGAATTACAGACTTGGTCACAGAGTAAGTATGAATCATTTTCATGTTTGAAATCAGCAGATTAACAATGAAGTTATTCAAGCTCCATATTACTGTGGAGTATCCAAAATATTCAGGATATGTGGTGGTGCTTCTTGTAGACTCGTCTTTCTCTTGGGTTTCTGGAATGAAAATTTCACTGATCTTCTTGGGGTTTTCTGCGTATTTTACGATCATCATCAAAACTTCTCTTTATTTGTATAAGATTTTAATGATAACCATCATCATCATGTTCCCACAATGAGCCACCCTTTGCTTAAACACACGGAACGGATTGTGACCCTCAAACTTCACCACCCTGATGATTATCTTATCTCTTCTCTTTCTAAAAAATATCAGTTTCCCTTTTTCCATGACGAGAATCTAATTCCATTTTTATTCTTATTTGATGGAATTTTTTTCATGTCATTTCATCTTCGGTAAATTGGAACATTTTACCTTTAGGGAGTGGAGTTTGAACGAATACAGCCTTGAGTTGTGGTACAAATCCATGCCACACATCAGCTTATAATTTACTATGTTGATGGTTGTCATGCAATGTTCCTTAATCTTTAGTATTCTGTGGGTGGTCCACATGTAAACTTATGGATTATATGCCTAGTGGAGCAATGTATCATAGCATCTGGTGGATGAATTCTCAATATATACCAGACACATCCATGCATGACTAGTCTTCTAGTCATAACTGGGTATCTTCTTGTCCTCGGTACTTCTTGCGAGTTTTCTTAGTCATCGCTTCCACTTGCCTGATAGATGCTGCCTGTTCAAGTTTTGCTGAACCGATGATTTCTTCGATCATATTTTGGATTTTAATCAGTTGAATTAGGATCCACTGAAATATTCTAACAGTTATGATGAAACTTTCAATTGGGAAGATGCCAAAAGTCGATGTCTCTAACAGTGTCACCAAAATTCATTAACTAGAATGAATCACTATGCCAAAAGCCAGAGTCTACTGCCCAACTCCGAATCAAAGGATTATATTTCCAGAAAAATAGAAAAAAATAGATTTGGAGATGCCTCATTCACCAACATGGGAGCTTAGGCGTATCTCAGTAAAACAGAGACTACTCTCAATTTCAGAAAGTTTTACCCCAAGAGACGCATATGAATCGAATGAAAGCATTTGTAATACATTACTGCTTTAAGGATTCGGTCAGAAAATTTCTATCCTCAACGCACTTGCAGAAAAATCTCCTGTTCTCATTTCCCCCACTGGACTCTACAAACCCCCCATGGTTGTATTCAAGCATTGAGAACCTACATTTGGGAGCTTATTGCTGCAATTTGGGATATTTCTCACTTTCTAAGGTAGCATTGCTGAGATATCATCGGAAGTTCAAAATGTCAGTCGTTTCTCTGTCTCTAAGATTTCTCCTGAACCGTAAATTCCTCTATTATCCCCTGATACTCTATGAATCTTATCAATTACTTTTCATTTGTTTGCTTGGCTTATACAGAGTGCTAAAGGTTTCAACTTGGGGTTGAAATGGCTCCCGATTATCATCATAAAAACATTCTTCCGTGCCATTATTGACTTGAAACATACATGATAGAAACTAGTTTCTGCAAGAATTCCTCTTTGGATTGGTTGAAGTATAGAGGGTTTGATAGCTGTACACGTTTCAATTTATCTTATATTTTATTCAATCAATCTTCACCACTCCTAGCCATTGTCTTTGGCTTCTTGCAGACATTTTCCCATTGATCTGTCTTTCTATCCTCTTTATGGAAGAAAGAGTTCTGATTGTTTTGTCTGTTGAGTGCAGGATTCAGAGACATCAGGATGAATGGAATCTCCATCATTGTTAATGTTAACGGAAAGCAGCTCATATTTTTTGTGTAGTTGTTGGTCTTCAACCCTGAAATCATTTTGCAAAAAAATGAGCAATTTGCCTAGGATTTAGGTATTTTTCTTGTTACAACCCAACTATAATGCTGTAACCTGTAAAATACCTTCAGTGAGTTAAATATATTTGACAGAGCTCAGTCTTGCCACTGTGTGTAAATGGAAATGGTTTGTCACGGTTTAATCATGACCTTGCTAAAGGTTCAATGAAAAACTAAAAAACAGGGTTCACCAATGAGTACAGTGAAAAATCTGGCTGTAGTAATGCGTGCTATTCAATGGCTCCATTTTTGCTTGAAACCTATTTCTATCGTAGTCATCTGAAAAATTCCAGTTGATTTGGTCTTATGCTTTCTGAAATTCAATTTAATCTTAGGTTCTCTCTTCATCTTATTTTTTTAATAGGGATTCATTTCTTAAGATAGTCTAGAATCCCTCTTAAAAGGCTCTGGTGACTCAAAGGTGGAGAATTCGAGCTTGCATGGATGTGCTACATCATGAGTTGGGAGTATCTAATTCAATCCCCATACACCTTTTTTTTACTTCCCCATCTATATTGCTCCATCAAAGGGTGTATAAACCATTGGTTAGATCTTTGACACTGATTTGCTTAGTGATGCAGTTCACTAGGATAGTATTCTCCAATAAGTCCACAGATATCTTGTAATGATGAACTACTGAAATTGTTTATTTTTATCTGAGTGTTTTCTTTGCATTCAAATCATATTTGTATCCTTTGCTTTTGTAATGACCTGAGGCCCAGCTCAGTTGAGGATGGACCTTAGTATCATGCACGTAGCAGTGTTACTTGATACTGGTCAGTCGAATCCATTGAGTTACTCGATGACTGATGATCTCGTGGATGATTAGTTTTTCCATTTGCTTCTGTCGAACTAAATTGTGTTAGTGAGACTTATTGAACTAATTTCTCTTGGCTTTTAGCACAGATAAAATGAGTGAGGCTGCAATCCTTGATGTGGTCAGAAAGAACTTCAAAGATCACCTTATCCTTGGTGAAGAGGGTGGGCTTATTGGGGATACATCATCTGAATATCTCTGGTGCATTGATCCTCTTGGTACGATAATGATTGAAACGTGATTCATTGTTTTGGGTATTCGTGATCTACTTTATACTTGACTTTTTCAAATTTAGTTTACTTTAGGCATTTCTGTGGATCAGAGATGTTTTATTCATTTCATGAAATAAATGAATTTTTATATATATAGTTTTAGTACCTCCCTCACAGTCATACTGTGTATTTCTATCATCCCTCTTGAAACTAAATATGTATGCTCAAGGCTACACAAAGGATCTTGGAAAAATATTCCATTCATATGGGAACCAATTAATTAATGAGGAATAATTTCGGGTGCGAAAGATATTTATAAATAATTTATGGAATTTATTAGAAGGTAGCAGACAACTGTCTTGCCAGATAAATCTGTGAGGACCGTTTTGAAGGTTCAATATTTTGGATTGCTTCAAAAAGAGATTAAGTGGGTCATAGTTCCTTGATGACTTGATGCTTTCCAAAAGGTTGTGCGAAGAAATGGAGAAGAACAAATTTTGATGCTTTGTGCTTTCATTCAGTGGTTTCATTAAACTGATGTGAGTGTACAGGAATGGGCTCTCATTCCAACCGTTCATTTTTTAATGGATAGTCCATTTTATTTGCTAGACGCCTTGGATGAAAGGAATTGTTGGTTAACTTCTGCGGACGGCTTTTAGTGGATAACAAGAACGTTTCCAAAAGCAGTATTTGAGGCTCAAAATGGTACAGAGTTTTTATCGTGATGTATGACCTGTTCACCATAGAATGTCTACGATGAGATAAAGCATGTTCAGTTCTTGGAATGTGACGTTTTTGAGTTTTCGAGTAACTAATTTTAAAGCTGATTGGGAACCGCCACTTTGGTCATTGGAATACCAATTTTTTTAGGTAAATAGGCAAGATTGTCTTTCATGGAATGCTTCAAATTTTCCCTCCAATACACTTAAAAGGTAAACTGTACACAAGCTATGAAGCTTTGCATATTGTGTTGCGTATTTTATTTCCTGATTTACTATGGTTAGTTTTTATTTCTTTGGTTTTCATCTAACAATTTATGCTGCTTTTCTTTCTGGTTTTCAGTTTTAAAGTAGCTTCAGTAATTTGATTCGTCTAAAGTTAGATGATTTTGGAGAAAATGACCTTTGTTTACTCTGTCCTCTTTTAGTGTCTATATCCTTCTTAGCTCAAATTATCTTGCTTCTGATTTCCAGATGGAACTACAAATTTCGCACATGGGTACCCTTCCTTTGCTGTGTCTGTAGGGATTCTTTTTCGTGGAAAACCAGCTGCTGCATCTGTGGTGACTGCTACTCCCTACTCTCTCGGATTCAATGGTCCTATTTGTTTGAGTTTTCGTTATGACTGATGCTTGATAAGTTTCAAAGGACATATGAAATGGTAAAATATATTGGACTGCCATCTGAAGGGTATTCTTTCACATGCTGTGTCATATGGCTCTGTCTTTCAGTTTTTGATAAGTACTGAGGAATTATGGTTGTAAGGTTATAAAATTCTGTCTTGAGTTTTCTGCCTGTGTTTTGATTTTTGTCACTCTAATGTTATATGAATTTAACGTCTCAGTCACATCAAATAATTGCTAAGTTTAATGTGAAACTTTTTTTGATTTCATTGTGTGCACAACATGTGTAAAGAAATACCCATAGAGTCAGACTTATGATGATTTATTTGGGCCTTGAGCATGATTTCTACCAAAAACTATTGAAGATACATATTTGTTGAGGTATCTGGAGCCTAAACATTGTTCTAGTGTAGAGTTGGCCTGCAGATCGACCTCGTGAATATAATCTCCTTGGGGATATTTTTGTCATTTTGTACATATATCTGCCCTAATTCCCTTGAAACATAGGGATAATTTTAGGGCAGCCGTTGGTGTGATGGAACCTTGCAACTCTTTACGGTGGATAGTGGAGCCATGTTTCAGCAAGTGTAATGTAGATAAGATGGAATCGGTTCCTCTCAAAAGAAAATCCACTAGGGATAGCTTGTGAGAAACATGGGGAATTTTCCCTCCAGAGGACAGTTCTCTTTTGACATGTTTGCAAGATCGATTGGTCAGAGAACCTCATAGTGTCAAAACTTCCAATGATTCCTTCAAAACTTCTTCAAACTCTTAGTGTCATGAAGGAATAAAGGAAGTCCTTCCAATGACTTGTTAGGTCAGTTACCCTTCATGTATCTGATCAATATGAATGCCTTGTAGATGTTATTCGCATCAAAGTGACTGCACTTGTTCTAAGTTATCTTCTTTGACATTTTGTTTGCTATAGTGATCTAAGCCACTTTCTTTTGTTTCCTTTTTTCAGGTTGAATTTGTTGGTGGTGCTCTGTGCTGGAATACACGCACCTTTACAGCATCAGCAGGTAACGATTTTAGTATTAAAATAAAGTTGAGTTTTTCTCTCAAGCTTTGTTTTCAAATCTGCCAACCTGTTGAGTTAATACAAGCAGTATTATGTGGGGGTTTATTAAACCCCCCAAACTCTTACCAGGCAGCAGTATGGTAGAAAGTATGGCGAAATCATAACCTTGTAAACACCTACTACATATGAAACCTTGATGACAGTAACCTTTCATAAAATATCCAGACAAAATAATGTGCAATCTAGGGCTCTCTATACGATACTATGTTGAGCTCAACTTATTTCACTTACTATTTATGGTCCTATTACCAATTTTTTCTCTAACCCGGGCAAAACGGAAAATATGTGATATAGGAATCTTTGATGGATTCTCTATCACATTTTACCGTAGTTCTTTTCTAATGTGGAACACTTATGGGGTGCATAATCTTCAGTACTTCAAGTTTTAAAATATTTTTCACGTTTGAGCCCGAAAGCCACCCGCTTTAAGGGAAACGACATGGCACGAAGGTTCTCTCACGAATTTGTAAAGCAATCGTTTTATCCATAATCATTGATTATGAAAAAAGCCTTTTCTGTTCCTTCTGCTATAGTTTCCTTAACCGGATTACTATGCACGACCAAAACCCCCCCAATAAAGATAAAAAATGGTGCAATTTGAACCCCAAGACCAGTCAGAATAATTACATTGAAGGGTCTAATGGTATTACTCCCTTAATGCTGCTTATTTGCAACCTGAGTTACTGCTGCGTTGTACAAGCTGATGGTCAATTATGGGTGCCAAAATTCAAGCGAGTGTTTGAATCAGAGAGATGTGGCAAGATAACTATTTCATTACTAAATGATCTGGCCCTTCCTATATCCCTAACTCCAATTGCCTTCCTGACCCGTACTGAAAATCCTAACTTAAACGGCATTTATGCATAAGATTTTTTTTATTCTTTGAACAAAATATTCTCTTGGAATCATAGCCACTCAATTGAATTGCCTTTATTTTCCTATCTCAGCATGATTGTTTTTGTGCACTCAGGTGGAGGGGCATTTTGCAATGGACAAAAGATTCATGTTAGTCAGACTGATCAGGTACACCCATGCCAAGTATCCGAATTTGTGTAGTCTTGTTACAACTTGCTTTTCAGTTACAAACTATCCTAGAAAAACTATATGAGGATGCCATGGTGAAATTTTCTTCTGAGATATTGGATTCACTACTTTTCTGAAAGATTAAATCTGGGAAAGTTAGACCTCTATATGGGTTTTAAGGCTTCACCCAAGGCGTCCAGCCTGCCTTGGCGAGGGATGGAAACATTAAAAGCCCATTCATGTTGCTGGCATGACAGACACATCCTTTCGACTGTTTATCTTGAATAGCATAGCCAAAAGTGTGCCAAATGTGTGAAAGGATAATCCGATGCATCTGAGTGATAGAATGTACCAGAAAGAAAGGGTAGGCTCAGTTTACTGGTTGTTAAAAATGATTTTATTTTATTTTTATAATGCTTCTGTTATTTTATTTTTTAAGTGACTGATTCTGTCATTGAAAATCAATTTAATGTATCTATAAAAGGCATCGTCCCTCAACTTGTCAACTAGTTGAAAGGTTGTAGTCCATTATTTGATCACCTTGGTTTTGATTCTTTCTGAATTCTCTTATTAGCATAATTTATCATGTGCCATTATTCTTCATACTTTTTTTTATCTACTTAATGGTGTGGTTTGTGCTTCAAAAGGCAAAAACAATCTTTCATTCAGAACCTTGCTCTCCCATGTAATCCTTGAAGGGTTTGAACTGTGACGAATCTCAAAGCTAGTAGTGTTAAATTTTAGGTGACCCTGCAGTTTTCTCGTTATGCTATCTCCTCTTAGTAAACATTGCTCTGTTATGATAATAAAATGTTAAAGAAATGACCAAAAATGAATCCTTTCTATTCATAACTCAGACCACCGTAAAGTTGGATTAATATTTATGAAGATCCATCCAGCAATCATAAATCATGTTGCCATGTGGTGCATTGCCCATGTCTCTGATATTTATCAATCTGGACCATTTAGAATCGTTATATGGAAGGAAGTAGCCATTCGAAATTGTTGTTTACCCTCTTTAGCTCAGTTTCTTTAACGGCCTTGTCTCATATGTTAATGGAAGGAACTAAATGAAAATACCCACTAAGGTCAGGAGCAAATGAATGATAAAGACAATGATGGATAATATGCTGTAAAGATGCATCTGTAGTTTAGAGTGAAGTTGTGTCAAAAGACTGTTTTTGAAATATTTCTCTGCTCGTGTTTTTGGGTCTATTGACATTCTTCTCTTTGATCTCTTCTCCAGGTGGAACGATCTCTTCTTGTGACTGGATTTGGATATGAACATGATGAAGCCTGGGCTACCAATATTGATTTATTCAAGGAGTTCACAGATATCAGCCGGGTATGTGCTGCAGAAGTTTCAATTAAGAGGGGCCTAATTTTCCTTTGGGCTAAAATTGCGTGAATTGCAGGGTGTAAGAAGGCTCGGTGCTGCTGCTGTTGACATGTCACATGTAGCTCTGGGTATTGTGGATGGCTACTGGGAATATCGTCTGAAGCCCTGGGACCTGGCTGCTGGTGTTTTGGTAATTTTAATATCTTCTATTAACGTTTCATAAAATCTCATGCCTTCCATCAGTGATTCAGCTGTCAATGACTACGAAAATTAGTTTTCAGTTGTGTTTATGCTATTGTTTGTCTCTTTGATGGCATAGTTCTTAGTGTGAGATATTTACCATAAATAACCGAATATTATGTTTTGTTTATCAGGGATGGCATCTTTCCAACTAGGGTATTACTCAGTGAGTCATATTAGTTGTTTACTTCGTGATGTTTTATTCATCAGAGATGGACTCAACTTTTCATGCCTATATTTTGGTTTACGGGTCACTTCAAGTACCCAATATATAAATAAATGATGCAATTAGAAGATCACGAAAGCTAGATGACTTTGAGATTTCTCTACGCCAAGAAAGATAGCTTTATGACTTTGGGAGCTCAAGCATTTTCGTTCTTCCAGTCATGGAGGTTTTTTTGTGCTTATATTGTAAAGAATTATTTGAAAGTTGAGTCCAATCTCCTCCCTTCTCTGCATTTTTTTTTAGAAATGAATCAATAAATTTATCAGAATTGATTCGTTATACTTGAGTGATCTGTCATCCAAATGTACCGATTTAAGGACCCTAAACTTCTAGAGTTTCCTGGCGTAGAGAGGCTCCGACTTGAATGTTCCCTGTCATCAGTTTCTCTTATAAGTTGAGTATATTCAACTAATTAGTGTAAAAGTGTTCATGTATGAACTGTAAGAAGATGCATTGCGTTCCAATTCATTTCCTATATGGACTCCTTCCAGACTTCTTTCTTTTTTCAAGTATTCTTATTCGTGTAGTGAAATGACCTCCAGATGTCGCTAGTCATTTTTGGATTCCATTTATGGATGTTTTGCTCCAACAATATTTCAAATTTCTTGTTATTCATATGAATCCTTTTCATGATATCGTTCTACTTTTTCTTCCAACTGGCTCCATCCATGTAGATGTCGTTTAATCTTGCATTGCTCTCCCAAATGAACTGTCAGTGTACCTTTGGATCATTGAATCTCTAGCTACATTGATGAGCATCTAAAAGAATATGTGAACAATGTTATCGTGGACATATTTCATGCTGATGAAGATTCAATTATTTCCTGCTGCTTCACCCTTAAGAAAATGAGGGTGATTTTATGTCATGTCCATCAGGTTTTCTTTTGGTTGATCATAAAAAAAGAAAATCCAGTTTCCTAAATATGAAATCTCTATTCTCTTGCCTTTGATTCTCTAGAGAATCGTAGTTGGGGAATTCGGAGCTCCTCTTTAAGCTGTGTTCTTCACGTCCTGAGCAGATTGTTGAAGAAGCCGGTGGAACAGTCACGCGGATGGATGGAGGAGAATTCACCGTATTTGATAGATCAGTCTTGGTCTCGAATGGGTTTCTCCATGGAAAGGTGTGGACTGTAAACTTTTCTGAATATAGATGATGAGCATAAGTTTATCCTTGGTTATCTAAAGTTTTCATATTATTTGGTGGATGATAATCAAAAACCCATGAAACTATGCGAATCACTAACGTGATATAATATCACTTCCATCTCTAGCGTTTAAAAACTCACTATGCTGCAATCCATTACTTTTTTCTCAAATGAACCTAGTGAAGCTGAAAGTGGGTCATGATTGTTGCAAATCCTAGATCTCTTACTTGATAAATCAAAAACATTTCAATCAAGTAGCCTCATCGAGGAAGTAAGAAATGTTTTCCAAATCATATTTTTCATGTAGAGAAATTCTATTCTAATGAATAATGATCATGACTTTAGCAGCATGGTTCCCCGTTGTTGTAGAATCATTAATTCCAATTTATATGGTATTGAGGATTCTCTACGCTTTGTATTTCTCTATTTTTTTCTGATTTTTTTTTTTTTTAAAATTCAGCTCCTGGAGAGGATTTCCCCGCCAACAGAGAAGCTGATGAATGATGGTATCAACTTCTCAAGATGGTTTAAGCCAGAAAACTACACCGCAGATTTTTAAGTTTTCATCTTCTGTTGCAGTTATTGCAAAATTTCTTTCGCAGAAAGTAATCTTTGGAGTCCTCTCTCTGTGAACATCATTATTCGATCTGCGGTATATAAAAATGCTGAACTTGCTGCCAAAGTTAGAGAATCAGACCTTTAATTAAGACACACATCCGAAGTCATTACCATATTTGTTTTTCTACCTCCTCTGATATCAGAGGCCACCTATTTTTTCCCATCAAGCTAAATGGGGTAATAACTCTACATGAAGGAAATTTTTAGGGTTTAAAGGTTTAGAATTTAGTGTTTAGGCCTTTGGGTAGATTTGAACACCCTCCACAATGAGCCCACTCTTCCATGCACCATCCTCAAACTCAAATAAGGAAACTTCCATCTCCCCTCTGCTCCCCTTCACTGTCCGAATCTCACCTGCCTTGAGCTCCAGCCACTCTCCTCTGGGTTTGTCCGCCAGCCTCTCCACTCTCCCCTGCACATGCCCTCCAGCATCAGTGAGCCTGAGATTCACCGGCGCATTCCAGCCGTAGGCAGAGGGCTTCATCTTCACCAGGAAGGCCACGTCGTAGGTCACCCCTGGGGTCAGGTGGGAGACCTCAAACCTTCCATGGATCTCCAGCCAGCACACATTCAGTAGCTCCACCACTTCCATGCCAGCGCCGGGCCTGAAAGCAACATAAAGATGCAATTTTTTACCATCTTTGGCAAACATGGTTGACGTGGGGCAATACAGGGAGAAGACACATCACCTTGTTTCTCTCTGAGGAGACCATCTCCAGTACCGTGGATCTTCTCCCCATGTGATCTTCAGGTCTCTAGCAGACAGCGTGAAGCAGTTCTTCTCTTCTTTGGACCCAGACTTCTCATCCAGCCATAACTTCTGTCAGAAGCAAGATGAGATGAGATCGTTAGAAACCCCCCTCTTCTCTTCTCTTCTCTTCTTTCTTTTTCTAGCCATAGTCTCCCCCCTCTTATTCAGAGGGCATAAGACCCACCACAGAGTTGGCGATGGAGATTACATCAGTTATATATATCTTGGCAGGATTGCTCTCAGACGGCCATTTTCTCTTGTTTTATTTCATTCAAGAACTTTACTCTGTATTTGGAAACTTATACCATCTGGGGATTCTTTCTCGCTCTAACATGGCTTATAAATGTGGAGGAATCAGGAGATTATGGAGAAAACTTGCCTTCCTGTCCTGGTTTAGAGAGATGCCAGGAGACCCGTCAGCTTCCCCGATGATGGCCTCATATTCATGGGGAACCTTCTTCTTCAGCTGCTCTTCTACCCTCCTTGGCCCTTCTTCCCCAGATTTCTTGGGCTCCTCTCCCTCTGTCTTTGGGTTTCTAAGAAGGATGGGGAGAGATGGCAGTGGAGACTCTGCAGGAGGGCTGGGCTTGCTTGGGGCACCTCCCATGTCTCTTCCACCACTCTTTCTTCTTCTTCTTCTTCTTCTCCCTCCATTGCTCAGCCCAATATGCCTCATATAGAAGCTTTCCACCTGCTTGGAACTACTTGGGCATCTTGGAGAGTACAGAAAATGACCCCCTTTTAAGGAAAGGGGATTCTTTCTTCACGTCCCCAAGGGATCAGGTTGGGCTGTACCAGTGAGCCCTTTTAGGTAAAGGAGATTCTTTCTGCCATTCTCTCTCTCTTCCAACATTGTTTTTCTGTGGCAGTAGCCATATGGTCCCAGAGGAATCGAGAAAAGCGGAGTTTGAGCATCAGCATCGCAGTTTCTGCCCCCAGAGACCAAAACCAGAACCAGCCCTTTCTGAGCCCTTTGAATTTGCCCACTTGAGAAGAGAGAGAGAGAGAGAGAGAGGGAGGATATGGGGCAGCCATGTGGCAGAGAAGATAAGCTTGTGTTTTCTCAAGTCATCAACACAACTCATATGCTCTTCTGGCATAGCCTACTATCACGTGGAAACTCACTAAGCCTTCCAGGATGTATAACCACTAACATATCATAACTATCCATATAACCACTATAGAGATATAATGGTGTAATGTGTGCCCTCTTTGTCTGCCTTGTGCTGTATCATGTTGCCCATGTGGTGACTCTACAAATCATGCCACATCACATAGGACTATGTGCCTCCACACCCACAATGCCCATGATCCACTGTGCCACATGATGTCATCATCATGACATGACATGACATGACATGTCATGTCACTAGTGGATTCCAAGATTCATGAGACATGCCAAGCTGTGAGCCACACATGCATACACATGCTCCCCACCATGCTGACACATGCTTTACCTACAAGGTTAATATACAACTTTTTTGAACCTTACTCAACTATTGTATGCATAAGTTGCATACACTCACATGCAAACCCCTATTGCTTTTTCATATTGTACTGTACGACTGAGTGCCTCTAAGTACATAGCACATTGTGCATCTATGTATGTCATGACATGTCATGCTGATGACACTACCTCATGGTGTGCAATACCTTCAGAGATTCATGGATCCCTTTTGTGGACCTTAGTTTAACCTAATAATGCTGCATAAGTTGCATACAATGCAAACCTCTATTACTTGGTCATGTTGTACAATACCATTTAGCACCTCCACGCACATAACATAATGTGCATCTTGTATATCATGCCATGCCATGTCATGTCATGTTGTGCTGATGCACACTGCCTCATAGTGTGTTGTACCTCTAAGGTTCATAGACACCTTTTGTGAACCTTACTCCAACCTATCAGTGTGCATCTATGCATGTCATGTCATGTTGATGCACACTAACTCATGGTGTGTTATACTTCTGAGGTTCATAGACACCTTTTGTGTACCTCACTCTAACCTGCACATGTCTGCATGGATCACCACATAGCTTCATGTTGGCAGTGAGATTTTTGTCTTTATCCTAGAAGATGGGGGCTGGTGAGAAGAGAAAGAGGGATAGGGGTGGAGGCCTTGATTGAGAGAGAGAGAGAGATATAGATAGATAAATAGAAAGAAAGAGAGAGATTGATAGATAGATAGAAAGAGAGAGAGAGAGAGAGATAGATAGATAAATAGAAAGAAAGAGAGAGATTGATAGATAGATAGAAAGAGAGAGAGAGAGAGAGATAGATAGATAAATAGAAAGAAAGAGAGAGAGAGAGAGAGATTGATAGATAGATAGAAAGAGAGAGAGAGAGAGAGAGAGAGAGTGAGAGATAGATAGATAGATAGATGGATAGATAGAGAGAGAGAAGGGGGGGGGAATAAGTACATAAAAATTAATCACTCTAATATAAGAGTCTGCTGTTAAATGTGGAGGCAAGAAGTAAATAAAGCAATCAACAGGCAAAATAAATTAGAATTGATTTGCTGAGAGAGAGAGAGAAGAGGCCAGAAGACTATTTTGACCCATGAACGAATATTACCATTTAAAGCAAATAAAATGCATTCCGCCCGTCCAATCAAACCCTATGATACCAATTAACCAATTTCTTCATCCTCGAAAAATCAACGGCCGAGAAGCTATCCAAATCCAGCCTACGGACGGCCAAATAAGACTGAAATTGATCGACTGATTCCCCAAGCAGAAGGACCAAACTACTCTCCAAAAAGAAGGGTAATTCCACGAGCATGCACACGAGGGATACTGAATCTTCTGGGCCCTCTGAGTTCTCCGGAATGTCGTCCTTTTTTCCATAGATAGAATATCAGCCAGAGAACACCTCTCTCACCCTGTCTTCACTCATCAGGTCTTCTTGGGAAACACTGAAGAGGAGGAAGCCACGTCCACTGCTCTGATGGGCTTGTGGAGCTGCATTCAATCCACGAAATTATGTTGTCATAAAATGATAGTAATCCAAACACATGAAGAAAAAAAAAAAAAAACAGGCGCAGTCTTTAAATTTCTCACAAGGAAATGTGTTGGTGGTCAGCACAAAAATTCACTAAATATTTAATTTAATGTGGTGTATAAGCAATTTTTCTGAGGCAATTCCAGGAGGTATTGAACAAGGGGTTGACTTGGGCAGTGAATATTTCTCATCATGGATGGACTACCCCCATCTGGCACATGAAATCGACCATAAAGGAAAAATTTATCAAAAATTCCAGAAAATATTGAGCAAGGCATTGACTTTGGCAGTGAATATTCGTCAACATGGATGGACTACCCCATCTGGCACATGACAGGTACGACTGAAGGAAACTTTTCTCAAAGATTCCAGGAGATATTGAGAAAGGAATTGACTTTGGCAGTGAATATTCGCCCACATGGATGGACTACCCCATCTGGCACATGAAAGTTACGACTGAAGAAAATTTTTCTCAAAAATTCCAGGAGACATTGAAAAAGGCATTGAGTTTGGCAGCGAATATCCGTCATCATGGATGGATTGCCTCATCTGGCACATTAAATCAGCCATCGAAGGAAATCTTCTCAAAAATTCCAGGAGATATTGAACAAGGGATTGACTTTGGCAGCGAATATTTCTCATCATGGATGGACAACCCCATCTTGAGCTACTGTGCACAGGATGCCAAGAACATGACGGCCAATGGGAATTACCATGAGCCCTCCTCAAAAAGGAAATATTGCTATTTTTGTTTTTATTTCATAGAAAAATATTTACTTGAAACCAGACAAAGATCTTTCCTTTACTGGGCAGCCGTCCTTACATTTCTCATGGACATGTGCATCATAAGATGAATACAACATTTTTAAAAAATATATATTTTTTAATGATGGAGTTATCTGCTCTTCTTCTCGAAGGGTGAACATAAAAGCACCAAAAATATTATCCATCTAACTTAATACTTCAAACCATAAAAATACCTGACGATCAATGAGCAGATCATGAAAAGATAAGAAATAATAATAATAATAATCAAGAGTGAGGCTAAAATTTTTAAAGGAAGAAGGACAAACGATGTAAGAACATTATTCGTCGGATTCATCATTAGGAGTCGATTTCCTCAGCTCAATCATTTTAAAATCGTCTTCACTGCGGAAAATAAAAGGAAAATTGTAACTCTTTAATTTTTACATGCTCTACCCAATTCAGAATACTATGTCGTGGCCGGGCCGGAGAATCACAATTCTACGACTAAAAGATATTTTTGGCATAAATCAAAAAAATTAATGACATTGAATGTGTTCCTCACAGCATCGGCGACGGAAAACCAGTGGAAACAGCGGTGGAGCGGATCGTCCAAGGAGGGAAGAGAATCGTGATTCCAATACGTCAAGTTCTTGAACTGTCCCCGCGACACCCACAGGTTAGAACTTGAACCCCCCTCCTCCTCCTCCCCCGGTCTCCCTTCTTTGCTCAAAATGAAACCTGTTGGCAGCGAAGGGGAAGAAGAATCGTCAGCTACTCAGCACAACCCAACTCCCTTGTTCTCATGTCCGGACGGAATTAGCCAGTCGGAGAGATAAATGGCGAAGAACACAAAAAAGGATTGGAATACCAGAATACCCATCCGGGAGAGGAATGCTGGCACCCTGCAACTTCCTCCCTCTGAAGAACGCCTCCTCCACGCGCAGACCATCCGATGCAGCGCCTGGGATCTCAACCCACAGAATACGGTTAGAAAATGTCCCGAAAGTTGGGAGACATTGAGAGGAAAGTACGGCCATTAGAACCCAGAGCTCTTCTCGAGTTCAGATCGTCTGACCTGTTGGTCTGGGCTTGAAGTATTGGGAGACCGGGCAGGGGCCGTCGTGCTTGACGACGCAGGGAAGAAGATGCACCCGGCCGCTCAGGTCCGCCGGAGGATCGCCGCAGAGCCGGTGGCCGAGGCATATGCTCCCAGAAATCCCGCCGCCGGCGCTAACCCCTGCGAAGTCCGCCGCTCCGTCCATGGCCCCCGATTAAACCCCTCGCAAGAGATACCCACAAGACCTACGGCTTCACATCCCTGAGACAAGAAAGGTGACATTTTTCCGGGCCCAGTCTTTACCGTAGGATTGATTATCCGAGCCCAATCACCTTTACTTTCCCCATAAATCTCCCCAGCAACATGCAAACAGATCAAACCCGATTAATTATAATTTGATGTGAAAATTAATGTTCGACAAGGTCTACCACTGTTCCCCGTCAAGTTAGCTTTGCATCATTTTCTTCCAAGTCATTACACTGATAATTCCTTTCATGAATATGCTAAAATACGTAAACATTAAGGTTAAAAATTACGACGGAACTATTTTCACACTAAAAAACACATGATTTTCACATCGTAGTTGATTTCCCCACAGTTACATCACTCAATATTTTTCCTTCATATATCTGCTAAAAGGTATCCTTTTTACCCGGAACTATACTAATTATAAACGTGAAAGACCAACCAGCTGGGTCCTAGAAGAAGCCCTCTCTCTCTCCCTCTCTCGCATGTCTTAATGCCCACAGTACCCATTTGGGTAACCGAAGCTCTCTCTATCTCTCTCTTCTGCCGACTGGGCGGACCTCTGTCTGAATGGAGAAGAAAAGCGGGCGAATGATGAAACATCCAAGCGAGTCGGCGATGGCTGTACATTCCTGGCCCTTCTGTCCGAGGAAGAGCGTTCCCACAGTTCTCGTCCACATGACCGCACATCTCGGGAAAGAACCCAAGAGAGTGATGTAAGAGGGGCACTGTGAAAGCGTAGACGCGTTGTTGTACCCCTTTTTTTTCTCTGTAGAGGGATGCATGGAGTTTGAGTCAGCGGAGGGAGGTGATAGTGGCTGCAGCCCCTCTCTCTCTCTCTCTCGCTCTCTCTCTATTGCTCAATCTAACCCAGTTACCTGAGGCCGTTTGGGCTCTACCACTGAAAGTCGGTCAAAAGCAAAGTTGTTGCAGATGAGACTACAGGTCTAGGCGAGAACAGCGAAGTGATATTCCTCGCTCAGAGTGGGGTTGACCCTCTGAAGAAAGCTCTTTCTCTCTCTACATTTTTGTAATACGAGCGTATGTAGATTTATCGTATCCACTCGTTTTCATGGTGGGAAGGATGATGCTCTCTGTCTCCTCTCTCTCTCTCTCTCTCTCTCTTTCTGCCCGCCCCCCGCCCCACCTAGTTCCAGCCCGCAGCCGTAGGACAACGAAGTGGTTGTCATCTACAGATATAGTGGAGCCACCGATAAGGAGGTTGGCCGTGCCACGACTACGAACTCAATCGTCGAGCTTGGCCTTATTAAGGCGGTGCATCATAAAAAGCTCAGATTCCACATCTCTCTCTCTCTCTCTCTCCCCGTCTCTCTCGTGTCCTCCATCATCCGCTCTCTATCTCTCACCATATGTGAGGTCTTTATTTTCAAGTCGATATGCAGATAGTCTCTCTCCCTTCCCGTCTCTCTCTCTCTGTGCAAATATACAAACGTTTATCTCAAAATTTATCTATATAAACAGATTCTCGCTGTCTAAATATCTCAGGCCGTCTATAACCTGTTGTAGCTCTCTCTGTACTCTCTCTCTCTCTCTCTCTCTCTCTCTCTCTCTCTCTCTCTCTCTCTCTCTCTCTCTCTCTCTCTCTCTCTCTCTCTCTCTCTCTCTTTCTCTCTCAGAAACCGCGGGGAATAGTCCCTTGCCGCGTGGAACATCTTTCCTCGCAGTCCCTTTCACCCATCCGGAGAATAATGCGAAAGACAGCGGCCAGCGCGTCGCTATTATCATCGCCACCGTCGTGGCGCATACGCCTTCCCTCGCCCCCCCCCCGGCCCATCCGCCGCCGTCGCGCCCGGCCGGCACGTCGCTGTTACCGTCGGCAAGGTGCGTAGCGTTTACCCATTCCTCGGTCCCCACCGCCGCCTCCGGCGACCGGGTGCTGGTGGCGCCGCCCTTCCACCTTTCATCCCCAACGCCGACGGCAGGGCAAAAGCCCTCATCTCCAGCGAGTGGCGATGGGTGGTGGTTGTGCGGCGATGTGGATTGTGACCGCATGCATAGATCCTCCGCTTATTAAACAAGTCTCTTCGGATATTACTTCCCCATCTCCCTCTATATAATATGAGGGAGATATGATGCTGAACCCGGACAAGGTTTTCATTTTTCCAAGCGTCTCAGGGAAGACCTATTTCTATATAATATTATCGGATGGAGGTTTGTGCGCTAACGTCAACTGATCATCCCATGCCCGACAATGAACGGATACAAAGAAGCTCACTACTTTCAAATAAATAAGTAAATCAGCAGCTCACAGCGTTAAAACCTTAAGATTAGTGGCATCAAATGATCGGATCAGATCAGGCAACTCACCAATCATCCCACGAATATGATTATGTCCTTTCAATGGATGTACTCCAAACCATTTTATGTCCAAAGGAAGACCAGGGAGATGGATCATCCCGCCGAGAGTCGTAGGGATGAGGATTGGTGACTTGGAGGGGGACATGTTGAGATACCCAGTTGGGGAATTGTCCTCATATGACCGTGATGGGTGATTCTGGTGGGCGGAGTAGACCGCATTAGGAAGCCATGGATGATCCTTTTCTCACGTCGTTTTCTCCTTCATTTGAATTCAGACGGAAGGAAGAAGGGGAAAGGGGGAAGGGTGGGGTTGTTTGGCTACTCTTTTCTTGAAGAGTAGTTAACGACGATGTCCAGACCAAGAGGGGGCCAGCTTCATGAGGGCACATCATCCCCGTCACCATCCGTTTGTGCAATTGACAGGAGCCCTAGCATATCTCATCGACTGCCTCATTTTTCTAATGCTTTCTATTATGCTAGCATGACCGCCATGGCTTCCTCCACTAACAAGAATCTTAATTTTATTAGTACGAACAAGGCGAGGCTACGCTTCCCATATGTTACAAGTTAAGACAAGTGAAAGGTGCATGAATATCCTATCTGCGTTCCTTGATCATGGTTTGGTACGATTATGCCATCGACATGAATTTCAACCATTACAGGCCCTTCCTTCTTCGGCAGTACACCTCTCTGTGTCACATGATGTCAACGCTCACCTCACTTGGATGTGGCAACAAAACGCTTCCGTTGAAGCTTGGCCAGGCTTGTGAACAGTTTTTATTTAATACGAGGAAGAAACTAACAACTTTACATGTGTCAATGCGTTTTTCTTGATCTGCGAAGAGCTGATATTCGACTCGGAGATCGAAGTCGACATCATCAACGTATTTTTTTTTATCCTCTGCAAACTCAAAGGATGCTGATGGGATAGGTGAACCCAAAGAGCTGTCCCACTATTAAGGAAATGTCATACACTAGACGGGTTTAAAGGGGAATAGGAGAGAGAGTAGGCAAGGGGTGGTATCATCCCCTCACTATCGACGGTTGCTTTCACCTTGCCTCTCCATTTGTTGTCTTTAAGTGTTTTGGATTTCCACATGTTCATTCTTGCCCTCAAATTTCCACATCCAGCTTTCCTAAATGCCTTTAAATTATTACGGATAGCTAATGTTTTACCTTATAATTCCGTCAAGTATTTCATCAAAACCTAAGAACGGAGAGCCTTGTTGGCTGTAGCCCTTTGATAGGCTTTAATTTGCAAGGATTTTTGCTCATTTCATACAAAATTCATCAAAGCTATCTGGAGTTGCGTGCATATGTATGGAGTGAATTGACCAGCATTCATCGCATCTCATCTCAACAAAGTACTCAAATAAGATCAAGATATATTTGACAACTTTTTTTTTTCATAAAATATTAAAACGACCAAAGAGCTTATCTGAAACCTTCATGTCAGATGAATTGATTTCTCCCTCTAATGGTCCTAAATCAAGGGTGACCCCACAAATTTATCTACCTCCAAGGGGTGTAAATAGGAGTATCCAACTCATGCTCCTAACCTACAGCCTTAGTCGTTATGGTGGGACCTTCTAGTTAGGCCATGAGACTTGGTATTCTAGGTTTGGACCCACAAATGACTTGGGGTCTCCATGCCTTCGAAAAGGCGTTGAATTCTAGCACTGTTTGAATGACTTTAATGCTAGCATGCTCACAATAGTTCCAACATGGCTGACCACTACGGCCAGTGGTAAATTTTGGTTACAAGGAGCTCGGTTTGACTCGGATGGTCCACCGCTGACCGACAAGGCGAGCAGCGTTTAGCCTTCTTAGCACCCCATCTTCCAGTTGTGCACCATTTGGTTCATACTGAGCTCAATTTGACTATCACGGTCCAGTGCAGGTGCTAGCCGACAAGGTCAACTAGGGGTCTGCCATAGATTAGCCTGTGAACCGTCAGATTCGGATAGAATCGACTCAGCGAACCATGTACCGGGCCCTGATCAACCAGACACTACCACTTATTTAGATCATCATATCCCACCCTGTGGGTTTGAAAGTCCTGAGCCCTTTAGTGGGTTCTGAGGTCTCCCCAATATTTCGATAAAAAATATTATAATACACACTTGATCGTCGGGTAGTTTAGTTAACAATCATGGTAATGAAACAATTTTAGGCCATTAATGAACGATAGAAGGGACCCGCGATTGATAAGCTCCGAATTAGAGAATGGAGGGGATTCAAGCAAGTTTCGTTGGAAGCAAGGAATCAACGAGGGAAGGTACAGCAAGACCATGAAAGATCAAGGATGAAGCCAACTAAGCTACGCATGTACAGAGCAAGATCCTGTCGTCATCCCCCTCATCTCTCTCTCTCTCTCTCTCTCTCTCTCTCTCTCTCTCTCTCTCTCTCTCTCTCTCTCTCTCTCTCTCTCTCTCTCTCTCTCTCTCTCTCTCTCTATCGATCTATCTACGTCTGTGAGCTTTCCAATGGGGCTGATATCACGAAATGTTGACGTTAACGCTACCGTTCTTGTCGCACGTGCAGACGGGACAAGAGGCCACGGCGGGGCCGCAGGCTGCGCAGAGGCAGAGGTGCCGGCACGGCAGCAGCAGCACCGAGGGCTCGGCGGCCCCGCACATCCGGCACAGCCTCCTCCCCGCCGCCGGCACGGCGCCGCCGAAGTTGTCGCACCAGGACTCCGCATCATCTCCTGCCGCCTCTCCCTGTACGAGGACCTGCTCGAGATCGGCGCGTAAGGCGTTGGCGGCGGCCTCGTTGGCCTGCGCGACCTCCCTCCATATCTGGTTCTCAGCGCAGAGGCTCCTCACGCGCTCCTCCAAAGCGGCGTTGAGCCTCCCTATCTTCTCGATCTCCTCCTCCTTGGCGCGGACCCTCCTCGTCACCCACCTCTCCACCGCCGCCGCTATACGGCGGGAGTGCAATCGCCGTCGCTCCCACAGCTCCCGCCGCACCTTCTCCGTCTGGTGGGAGACGAAGCGGTCGACTTCCAGCTGCTGCTGCCGGATGGCGGAAGAGATGTCCTCACCGAGGAAGGAGAGAGGCGGCGCCGCCGTGGGCGTCGCCCGGTGCCGCTTCGTGGGCTGAGAGATCGCCGGAACTGAGAGGTCGTCGAAACCCAGGTGGGCGACGCCGCCGTAGAAGGCCAGGTGATTCTCCATGGCGCTTGCGAGGTCTCTGCACCGAAGGAGCCGATCAGAAGGGGGGCGAATCAATGGAGGAATCCTCTACCAAGTAAATAGATGGATCCGTACCTGCTGGGGAGGTGCTGTTGGAGAGGGAAGAGGTGCAGATGGCGGGCTTCAACCGCCATGGGAGGGGGTGTCTGTTTCTTGTGGGTCTGGTTGGTTGGAGGAGGACGATGAGGACGAGGAGAGGGAGGAGAAGAACATGCAATATAAGTGTTCTCTTGTTGGGTTGCGAGGGAGAGAGGAGGCGGTGGGTTTATGGAGGAGATCGGTCTGGTGCGCAGGACTCTGCCTATTTATATTCCCAGACCACTCTTCTACGTAGGGAAGAGAGAGAAGAGAGGGAGAGAGAAAGGCATATATATAGAGCGAGAGATGGAGAGAGAAAGGCATATATATAGAGCGAGAGATGGAGAGAGAGAGAGAAGGAAACCGATTTTTGGGTTTGGCGAAGAGACGCAGGTTTATTTAAAGGGGCGGGGAGGCTCAGAGTCGTATCCCTGACCTGTTTCTGTTCCCCAGTTGTTCCTTTCGACCTAGGGAAGAGAGAGAGAGGATGAGAAATAAGTGTTGGGTTAGGCGAGAGAAAAAAAGCAGGCGAGTCCCTTTAGGGGATTGAATTTGGCCCCATCACTATCATATTTATATTCCCCAAGTCCTACCTTCTAGCTAGGGAGAAGAGAGAGAGAGACAGACAGACAGAGTAAAGAAGGGTAGGGCTGTGGAGTGGGAAACGGAGGCGGGTTTATTCAAAGGAACAGTAATTTGGTACGCGGACAGGGAAAGAAGCAGACTTGCGTAACGTGTTTTATTGCCTCGTCATATCTCTTAAGAACTTCCTCTCCCAAATTCCGCCCATCAACTTAGGAAGGAGAGAGAAGAGAAAGAACGGTGAGAGAGAGAGAGAGAGGAGATGGGGGGTTCACTGAGGGGTTTGAATTTACTTGTTCCACCTAAATTTCCTCCTTTCAACCTTGCGAGGGGAGAGAGACAGAGAGGAGAGAGAGAGACAGCGAGAGAGAGAGAGAGAGAGAGTAGACGTGGTCAAAATAACTGTGGGTTTGATACAGAGGACTTCTTCTATACTAAATTAAGCTTATCCCCCGACTTCGGCAACCTACGCGTCGATGAGAGCAAGAAGTTCGTTTCCGGTGGGTATTTCAGGAGGAGTACCCATATTCGTGGTTATTTTGGGAACAAAATTCTCTCATTTTATGCCCGTAATAAAGGGGTGTTCTCATGTTATCCAAATTTAGAGTTTCTTAGAAAATATAAAAATTCTCTTGGTACCAACGTATTAAATTCGCTTTTTGGAGTACGTGGCCTCGCTTGGCATTAGAGGTGAGGCCTCGGTGGGCCCCGACTTTTTCCTTGTGGGGCCCAACTGTCTGATTAGAAAGCCGGGATGGGGCCCACCATCCCGGGCCTCACCTCCCCAGCTCCTCTCTCTCTCTCTCTCTTCTCAACAGTCTCTTGCAAAACGTGACAGCTTGTTCTATCCACACGTGGGAGTTAAGCCATGGCTCGTCAAACCCTAATTCGGGGTTAGGACCGGCAGAGTCAAAGCTGTCTGCGGCTCATCGCTCCTTCAACATTTACGGAAAAGAGAGAAAAATCAGAGCTATTTTAGGAAATACAAGAACTTGACAAAGCATGGGGCAGCTAGATGTCCCAAGCAAGCATCGTCTCTTTCGGTCACCCTCTGACTGTCTCTTCTCAATCTTTTGCACTAGGTTGGAGTAGACTTTCTCCCCCCCTCAAACTCCACCATTGCCTATGATGGTGCCATCTTGAGCTTTCAATCATTTCCCCTAGAGCGAGCGAGCGAGCGAACGAGCGAGAGAGAGAAAGGGCTGTAATAGGGTTAGCTTTGCTCAAATCGAATACTGTAATTTCTCATCGCAAGACTCCGCCAATGGACTTTGACGAATCTGGAGTCAAACCCAGTTTTGGGTACCTTTTCTAGGCCATATCAGCCGATCAAGTTCTACAGCGCGCGTCTTAACCAGTAGGGTTAAAGTGGCGTTTAAGAAGTTTTTTAGAGAGAGATCGAATCAACCCCATGACACAAGGATCTCCACAACCTGATCTGATTCTCGCTCCTGTCGACCCACAAAGACAGTCTCTTGTATGACTGATTTGAGCTTAAAACTATCTATCAAGCTGAATGCTGACTGACCATGCTCTAGATATCCACCCTAAAAAACGATCTATAGTAGGGCATGCGTAGAACTGAGGAAGAAGAGATCGCCAGCTCATCGGCCATGACTGCTATCTGTGACATTCCAATGACACCATTTATGGGGGGAGGAGACGTAAAAGAAGGGGTTCAGGGCTTTAGGGCTTTAGAGTTTTAGGGTTTCGGGTGGGAACGATGGCATGGAACTGGTCAACGCCTTTTTTCTTCTCTTTTCTTGGGTCTTTCATCATGCCCATTTCCTCTGATCTACACTTGGTGGTGAAGGAAGTAGCTTCTAAGGATACTTGGAGGTGGATGGATCCCCCCTGGCACTCCCCTTCTAAGTGGGGTGATTGAGTGTGGCAAGGAACAGCTTGTCCCCTTATAGAGGTGCTACCCTCGTGGCAATCCCACTCTCATGTCGTTAGGAAAGAAGCAAGGCGTTAAAAGACGCCGTTTGAGGGAGAGGGGACTCTCTCTCTCTCTCTCTCTCTCTCTCTCTCTCTCTCTCTCTCTCTCTCTCTCTCTCTCTCTCCCCACTTCTTTAATGTTGGTACCCTTTTGTGGTGTTATGTGTATCTAGAAACTAAATAGTGGTGTGCTTGGGCTAGTTTGTCAGTAAAAAACTGTGAGAAACTGCCTGTAAAATGACTTAGAGAGAGAGAGAGAGAGAGGAATACAAGGGACCCACCTCATCCCTTGTGTTCTGCCTAAAGCAGAGTTAGAAAGGGTCATGGTTTCAGTGCTCGAGATCGATGACATTCTCCTTTCCCACTCTCACGGAATATGCGTCATTTAGAGAACACGAAAGAAAAGATGAAAGGAGCATGCAACCATGTTTGCAACATGTGGTCTCAGGGTTCTCTCCCTCTCCCTTTACTTTATGAAAGCGATAGAAAGAAGTGGAAAGCGACCAGCCTCACTGACACTTTCTTCGGGATTCATTCAACTCGGAGTTAAACCCTCCCTACCTTTGCAGCCGTAGAACCTGAAGCCTTTCCTCCCTCATCGACTACACACTAACTTCCTGAATTGAAACACATGAAAAAAGCTGTTAAAAGATATGCAAATAAATATAAATGAATATATATGTATATATATATAAATCGGTACTTGGGGTTTAGGAGATTATTTATTTATTTACATGCATATAAATAAAAATAAAAATAATTAATTTTTAGATGGAGGGATTAATAATTTTCATATAGTTTCAGATTCTTCGGGCTTCATTCAACTCGAAGTCCACCTCTCCCTCCCTACCTTTACAGCCTTAGAACCTCCAGTCTTTCCTCCCTCATCGGCTACACTGCTCACTTATTAAATCTAAATGCTTGAAAAAAGCTGTTAGAAGACATGCAAATATATCAGATGCGTACTTGGTTAATTGGTAATTGATTCTGAGGTGGAGGGATTTTTGTATAATCTCAGATGGTCACGATCTCTTGGTGTAATTAAGAAGATCTTGCGCTATGTTTTGACTCAATACGCGAGGCGAATCTCTGCATTATGGAGCGTTGTAGAGGAACTTCGTTTGCCATTATTATGGAAAGAGACTAAGAAGATGTATATGTGGATTTGGGGAGGACATCACGTGATAGAGATTTGTAGAGAGAGAAGAGGAGATTGTGTGCAGAAAACAAGGGAAAAGGTCGAGGGATTGCTGCGAAAGGAGCCTAGAATTCCCGACACAGAGTGAGTGGATAGGCACAAACCCGGCAGAGGATCCTAAAAAGCAGCAAAGCGTCTGAATCCGACGAGTTGAGTGAGAAAGGAACGCGCTTGGAGAGAGGAAAAGGCTGCCGGAGCTGCTCCCAATTATCACCGTGGAAAGTCTTCCGATGGGAATCTGTCACGTGCGCCGCCGTCGTCCTCCGCCTCCCACCGCCGTCTGGGGTCACTGGTCACCGACTTCACATCCCCCTCCGCGTCTGGGACCTTATCAGTTCGCGTGGGATCTTCTCTCTCTTCGAAGGCCGGCATAAACTGCTGAAGAATCACCCATTAAGACTGATTTCCTTCTTATCTCAACTAAATCCAGCTTCATTATTGTGATTACGAAGCCGGTGTTTCACGTCCTCTCAAGCGGTATAAAAGAGCTCAGATTACAGTCGCCTTAGTAGGTAGGTTGAGTTCTGATAATCCAACCGGGAGCCTAGCTCTCTCTCTCTCTCTCTCTCTCTCTCTCTCTCTCTCTCTCTCTCTCTCTCTCTCCCTCTCTCTCTCTCTCTCTCTCTCTCTCGCTCTCTTTCCCTCTCTCTCCCAACTTTTGTAAGAAGATTTTTATATAAATTTTGACGGAAGGAAATAAGTTGCTTAAATAGCTCTTTGACATGTTTCTCTTTACCAAATACTATGCACTTATAGGCGCATTAATTACTTGTTAGGAGCCTTTTTCCTCCACTGAACTTATACTAGTACTTTAACTTGATGCGCCTTAACCTACAACTGTCAGCTTTCATAGCAACCAGAGAGAGATCACGATGCCACAATTGATAGGAATTGAACCAGATCACACCTACCTTATCAAAGATTCATAATTTTAATATATGTTAGGATCCTTATTAGAGTAGGATTAATCAATCAAGATTAGTTAATGCCAAACTTTACCTTGGTTAGGAGAGAAATAAATTGATCAAAAATAAAGAATATGTATCTTAAAATACTGTTAGAATTTTGGTTAGGGTAGATCTAGCTAGGTTAGAACCAAATCCATAGAATTAGATCAGAAAGTGTTGAGCTTGACATTAGTTGGTTGATGCTACGTGTACCACAGTAGATAATCAGTAAAATTATTAAGGCAAAAATAATTGGAGCTTTCCAACAGGTTGCTCTAATCTTGGTTCTTCAAGTTATTGAGTCCAATAAACCTATGTAGACTCTACTTTTGTTAGATTTAATGAGTTAATTGACCAAATTTAGACTTATTTAGTCAAATTGGCCAACTTGGGTCTCAATGTGTCGTCCAATCCCTAGAACCGTAATCCTAACACATGGTAAAAACTACTAATGTGTGGCAAAACTAATCCAAACCCATAAGTTTGAGCCCCTCCAAATTTGATGCAACGAAAGTTGAGAAGGAAATGGCTTAAATGAGTTGTGATCAACTCTAATATTGTGGGGGTCAAAGACATGTCTTGAATCCTTGAAAAATGTACTCCAGTGGTTGTCCTTTCACTCTAAATCCACAAGTTGAGGACAAGTTCCAATATCCACAAGGGGGTGATTTTGAATCCATAGAATCAAGAATAGGGTTCCCTAAGTCCACATGGGTGATGGAGTCCATCACCAGAAGAAGAGAACTTCAAGAGAACAAACTCATGAAATTATATTGAAAAAAAGATAATATGCCTCTAGGGCTATAAGGGGTGCCTTTAAATAGGCCATAGAGTATTGATTTAAGTGTCAAGATTTGAATTTCAAATAAAATCTAAATTTGAAATCAAATTTCGAATGAAATTTAAATTTCAAATGAAAATTTGAATTTCAAATTTCAATTTCAGATGAAATTCGAAAACTAATAAAAATAGATATATGGGCCTAAATTCGTAATTGGGTCAGCTAAGTAAAGTGGGCTTCAAACTACTATAGTAATGGGCTTCAATGTGCATCAATAGTAGGCTTCAAGCTTCCTTAGTAGTGGGCTTCAGGTTTTGGGCTTCATCAAAATTAGATGATCAGTAGGATCTGCAATAATCAACGATGACTGAAAAATTCACGATGAAAGAACTAAATTGGATTGCATAGAAGCCATATTGTTTGCTAAATTAATAAAAGTGGTACATGAGTAAGTGATTTAAATTTTGTTTAAGAAAAATGTGTTTCAAAATTCCATGCAAGTAGGAGGAACACATAATGTAGAGAGAATTTGGGAGGCTCATTTGCAGCTATTAGAATCTAGAGATGGGTAACACCAATCTAGGAGAAAATGGTCCACTGAGTAATAATAAAAAAAGAAAAAAGACATAAATTTCATCAAAAATCAGATGAGTGATGACTATAATTTCAATCTTCATGCTATGTCCTACAATGGAGGAGGTTATAATCCTTCTAGTGCTTTGATCACAATCAATTTTGGACCAATGTAGGACTAACATTTCTATATTTAAGCTTGATTCAAAATAAGTTAGACATCCAAGATTCACACGGATTAGTCTCTCTTAAAATTAGGTCAGATTTATCAATCCACACCCCCTGATTTTGTCCCCACTAATAGCAAAGGAAAAAATCTCAACCTCGACCCAAGTTGGCATTATAAAGCAATATAAGGGGTTGTCAATTCATTTCAGATTGTGGTACACGGTTTATTAAACTTGAAAAAATCAGCTCTCCTACAATAAATATTATTTATTTTAAGAATATTAGTTTTAATTCCCAGCTCAAAATTTGGTGTGATAGCCAACTTTAGGGGTCTATAATTTAACTACAAATCACTCAAGAATTAGAAAGTTCAATTCACATTGGCCAATTTTATATTTGATCCAAGTAACTTGATTCTAACCACGTGAACACCAAAAATCATAATCACAATTTTTGCATGGAAATTAATATTACATATTTGGGGCCTTAACCTTGATTGCAAGCTATTAATAATTAAAAAATAATCAAAGTTCCTGCCTAAGCTTAACCGTTTTCATGTACACTTGACGATTTATTTTTTATATATTTAAATTATTAAAAAATAATAATCAAATTAGGACGATGGCGTAAAAAACTTGAAAGTGGAAGGTCAACAGAAGCCCAGTTCGTAGGTTTTGTAGGCCCATTTCTGGATCGGAACAGGGCTCGCTGGAGTAGCCCAGCCCATCCCAGCCCAGCCCAGGAGATGTTGTTAAGGGTATCGAAGCCCTTTGTCAGGAAGCCCTACTGAATGGTATGCTTTTCACCGCTTCATCGTCGTCCTCCAGACCGATCTCCCTCCTCCCTCGCCATCTCCAGCGGCTGCGCCACCGCCGCCATGGAGCTCCACCCGCGTCCTTCTCATCTTCCTCCTCTGCGGGGAGGAGGCCGAAGAAGAAGATTTACCACCGGGAACCAGACCTCGACAAGGTCATGGATCTGCAGAAGAAGCCCGCCCTCATTCTCCGCCTCAGAGAGCTCATCGTCGGCCGCCGCCATGGCAGCCCGCTCCTCCTCCGGGACCTTGAGAAGGAGGTGGGCTTTGTCCAGAAATGGGATTTCATCTCCCTTATCCAGAAGCAGCCCTCCATCTTCCGCGTTGCCGGCGGCGTCGGCGCCGCCGTCTCCGTCCGGCTGACGGAGAGGGCAGAGCGGGCATCCGCCGGAGAAGCCGAAGCGAGGGCTCTCATGGAACCCATCCTGGTAACAGCTCTGAGGAAGCTCCTGATGATGTCTATGGACTGCCAGGTCCCCATGGCGAAGATCGAGCTGATCCAGTCGGAGCTGGGCCTTCCATCTGACTTTCAGAGATCCCTCATCCCCAAATACCCGTCCTTGTTCTCCGTCAGGGAGATCAACGGAGCGGGCTTCCTTTGCCTGGAGAGCTGGGACTCCTCCCTCGCCGTCACCAACAGGGAGGAGAAGCTGGCACACGGCGGAGCAGTGGCGGCGCCGCTGCCCAAGAGGGCGATACCCAGAGACGGCAACTACCCGGGTCCCTTCTCCTTCAAGCTCGCCTACCCACCGGGCTTCAGACCCAACAAGGGCTACTTGGAGGAGGTGGTGAAATGGCAGAAGTTGCCATTCCCTTCACCATATCTCAATGGGCGGAGCTTCGACCCGGCGGCGCCGCCGGCGAGGAAGAGGGCGGTGGCGGTGCTGCACGAGCTTCTGAGCTTGACGATGGAGAAGAGGATGAACTCCGAGAAGCTGGACGCCTTCCACGACGAGTACCAGCTGCCCTGCAAGCTGCTACTGTGCCTGGTGAAGAACCATGGCATCTTCTACATCACCAACAAGGGCGCACGCAGCACTGTCTTCCTCAAGGAGGCCTACCAGGGGCGCCATTTGAGGGAGAAATGCCCTCTGTTGAGCTTCTACGACAGGTTCCTCGCCCTCAGCGGAAGATCGTACCTTGAATCGCCTGACATTAACCCAATTTAGTTAGTCCCCACCGTGATCTGCGTTCAAAAATGGGGGACCCATTTTTTGCCAAATTCAAGGACCCATTCTGAAAAGGAGGGTCTTTTTTCCCTTCACCTCCCTCTAGCTCGACCCACATTGTTCTCTCACTCTCTCTCTAGTCTCTCTCTATGTTTCGGTTACCTCTATGACAGAATAAGGACATAGATATTATTTGATTTTTTTATAATTTTATAAAGGTGTGACCTTTATTACTGAAATTGGGTGAAATAAAAAGGCGTCTTCTTCTTGCTACAACGGCGTCGTCCCACATTGCTTGTTCTAAAAAGGAGGTTCCTTGACCCCTCCCTGAAGCCTAAATCCATAGCTCACTCTCACTTTCTCTCTCTCTCTTTCTCTCTCTAGTTTTCTAGATACCTCTTCAACTTAGAAATAATCTATACATTACTTAATTACTTTGTATAAATCTTAAAAAAGTGTGGCCTATTTAGTGAAACTCGGAGCAATAAAAAGGCCTCTCTTCTAGCCACGTGGCATCATCCAGGCCCTTCATATGACATCGGGCGGCTACCACGGCGTCGTCCTGGTTTGCTTGTAGTGGGCCTGGGCTCAACAAGTGACTCCCCTCCGACCCTCTTGGATGGCGCTCTCTGGGGAATCCAGCGGGCACAATCGCCAGACGCAATATATTTAGCCCAGCCCATTATACCTAAGCCCATTTATCTATGCCCATCGTAGGCCCATGTGGGTCGTGGGGGAACATTAGGCCGAATGGCGTCGGCCCAAAAAGATACCAGATTGGCTCTTCAGAGGTTTCCCCCAGGGGCCGAAAATGTTTGATTCCGTTCTTGAACAGATGACGGGGCTGTGCGCTGCAGCAGACCACAATAAATAAATCGTGTCGCATCCACATCTTATCTCGATAGATTCTCCACGACAACATACTTTGTTGGAAGGTGATATTCAACGGGAGACAAGTCTCAGATGGGCCCCACTGGAACGAATTGACCCACTTCGATGGTGATCTCCAATGAGAGGCAACATTAGAAATGGGCCCCCGCATTGATTATCGGCCGGCCCATTAATGGCCCCCTCCTCTGGCACGCCGCTTTAGATGAACACACGGTTGAAACCTATTCCAATGGTCTTTATCACCATTTATTTCTTTATACGACCAATGTGTCCTGACATGATTGCAAAATCAGCTTCTAGGATGGAGAATTTGAAATGGGCTTCAAGTAAGAGGGGTTTTTGTGAAATTATTATGCACCAAAAATTTGCTTCATGAAACCCTACCAACCAATTTTAATGAACATAATTGCTAATTTCTTGAATTAACTGACATCATGGAGGGCCTCCGACTTACCTACCATGTTTGCAATATCTTGCTAGTGATGTATCAAGCCCCCCCATGTGGGCCCACCTCCTTGCCTCCTTAGGAATTTGGTATAAATATTACTATATTTAATTTGACTTTTTGCTTTCTAAAATAAGTGAATTTTTGAAAATAAAAAGAATAAAAATAACTAGGAGGGAGAAGAATAATAAGCGGAAGCACTTTCATCTAGAACCCACTTACCCAAAGTAGAAACCTCAAAGACTCCTAGTCTGGTAGATGTATAGATGAGTATCAAATGAACTTGGGCCAAACAAGGCTGGCTATCAGATCAAATATCCCCTTTTTTGGAAGATAAAATTATGCCTAGTTAGAAAGCAATGAAATGAATACTTACAAAAGGCCCAAGATTGGGAAAAAGATTCAACGTATTTGGAAAAAATTGAGGAAAAATCTTATTTATTTTTGCTCCCAAATGTTGAAAGTTCGATTGGGTTTTATGAGATAGATTTATTTCTACTTTTTTTTCACTTTTATATGAATTTATATGATTTTTTTTCCCATGTTAGGTAGCTTCTTCAAATTCCACACAATCTTTAAAGAAAAATCAAAGATATACTAAATCGAGTAAATTTCGTGTTGAGACCGATCATTTGCTTCAAAGCAAGAAGTCCCCAAAATATTTGTAATTATATTCGCACATGAACAGATTGTCAATATCTTCTCAAGGATAATTCTAAAGGGTACCATTTTCAGAGGAAAGTGGGTCAATTTTCCTAAAATGGAGTTTTCATCATTCAAGTTTTTGCTCTACATGCCCGCACTTTATAGATATTTCTTTATGCCCAATCAACAGAACAAAATAATGGGGAATCTGGAGTTTCGTGTAATCTCTCACAAGTTGGACAAAACGAAGGTATCGTTTTTCTATTGGTATCTTGCCCAACCGTTTACTTTCTTTCTTCTAAGCACGGCGCGTGGAAGGAGTTTAGCAGCTTGCGATCGATCCCGCTGAACACGCGCCACCACGTTCTCCCCCTTGTGACGCTGTGCCATGCGCACTTTGGCACAAGCCACCCTCTACGTGTACAAACACTTGGAATTGCCCCATGCAGAAAATGACACGTGGCTGAATCCGCCACCACTGCCCTCTCCTTTATCACCGGAGCCACACCCTAAGAGTCTACTGAGCTGCTGACGTGTACGCGCAGGGACACTGTGTCCCTGCCCTGGCCTTCTCACGCTGTTCTTTTCCATGTTTATATAATTCACGGGCGGCGCGCTTCACATTGCCCCCTCTCCCCTCCAGCTGACGCCGGCTGCCGGCGTGCGCACCAGGGAGAAGGCATGTAGAAGAAAGACAGTGTGTTCCATTATATAAAGCTCGCCGGCGACAAGATCAGCTACTGCCAAGTGACCTCAATCCAAGCACAAGTAGAAGAAGACGACGACTACGAAGAAGAAGAAGAAGAAGAAGAAGAAAAAGAAGAAAGAAAGAAAGATGGGTTACAAATCTTTTCTCCTCATCTTCCTGCTGGTGGCGGCCTTTGCCGTATCTCTGGGGATGGCTGCGGAGGAGGAGCCGAACGAGTGCGACGCGGAGCAGAAGGGGGAGTGCTACAACAGGGCCAAGGCCCTGAAACTTAAGATCATCGCCATCATCGTCATCCTCGTCGCCAGCATGGGCGGCGTCTCCCTGCCGCTCTTCTCCCGCCTCATCCCCGCCCTTGCCCCCGACCAGAAGCTCTTCGTTCTGGTGAAAGCCTTCGCTTCTGGGGTCATCCTCTCCACCGGGTTCATGCACGTCCTCCCGGACTCCCTGGACGACCTGAAATCGGAGTGCCTGCCGGACTCGCCGTGGCACGAGTTCCCCTTCTCCACCTTCATCGCCATGCTCGCCGCTGTGGGAACGCTCATGATGGACTCCTTCTCCATGGCGGTGCACCACCGGAATCAGCGGGGAAAGGTGGACGTAGTGGAGGGAGGGGAGAGCCCCGCCGTGCAGATGGCTCCTGCGATTCACATCCACGGCCACAGCCACGGCCACTTCCCCACTGTGCCGGCCGCGCCTGCCGACAAGGACGAGGAAGTAAACGCTACCCTGAAGAGGAACCGCGTCATAGCTCAGGTTTGGTGCTCCTATACTAACTCTTCTTCAGTCATCCAGTAGGATATTATAACCATGACAAAGGTATTGCTACTTCATAGTTTATGGGTTATATATATACGAATATATATATAGATAGTTCATAAATCACATTAGAGAACTAAAAAAAAGGACCAGCGATGACAATAACGATGGTGACGGCGGGGAGAATAATATTGGTGGATAATTGGAATGATTTTCTTTGATATACGCAGGTGTTGGAGGTTGGGATTGTCGTTCACTCGGTGGTCATCGGGTTATCCATGGGAGCCTCCCAGAACCCATGCACCATCAAGCCTTTGGTCGCAGCCCTCTGCTTCCATCAGTTTTTCGAGGGTATGGGACTTGGTGGCTGCATCCTTCAGGTATACATACTTACGTTGATCTCCCATCCTTCCCTTCAATTTACCTTGATCTCCCTATCAATCATAGAAACATCATTACGTTGAATACCTATATTAAATGCGTGTATGGGTTCATATAATTGTGGACAAGTAGATATTTTTATTTATTGATTATTACTCTGATGTTTTTCAGGCGGAATATAATAGAAAAATAAAATCAATAATGGTCTTCTTCTTCTCCGTCACAACACCATTTGGCATCATCTTGGGAATAGCCATATCCAACGTGTACAGTGACAACAGCCCCACGGCGCTCATTGTCATAGGAGTTTTGAATGCGACCTCAGCAGGCCTCCTCATCTACATGGCACTTGTGGATCTCTTGGCAGCAGATTTTATGGGATCAAGGCTACAGGGAAGCATCAAGCTTCAAGGATGGGCTTACGTAGCAGTCTTGCTAGGCATTGGAGGTATGTCATTGATGGCCAAATGGGCTTAGTCAAGGAAACCCTGTGGACAAAACGCCAAGAGGATTAGAAGAGAATAATACATGTAATGTGTGATGCGTCTCTGATTTGGAATGGAATTCCTGTACGATCGTATAAAGAAGGCAACTACGGTCGCCTTCCTTGTGACAAGCTTAGATGGCACTGGGCAGATGTGGGGTTTATCTTGTGTACACAATGATTATAGCCTTCATACCGCGTATTGGAGTCAACTTGATGATGAGTGCAGCATCAAGAAAACTCAATCATACGTTGAGCAAATGTTTTTTGGGAGATGGGTTAATGTCAAATTAGTCCAACATGTACCATTAATGAGGGTTTATACGACAACATGATTATCATTGTTCGTGCACTGATAATTAATTGTGCTCCATGAAAGACCTTCATTATGAACACTTGAAATTGTAAAATAAATGGTTCCAGAAATTGCAATTGAGTTACAGATGGTGATTTAATATTTTGACGGATTAAGAAAATCATTTTTTTGGTGAATTTGAGCTAACCATAATAAAATCAAAAGACATTAAAGCAACAATACTTCAGCTACTAAATCAAACTGCATAAATTAACCACATTCATGTAAATTAGGACAACTCAATTGAAGCAGAGGTGTTCTTGGCGCTGCTCACTCATGGATGTAATCAAGAAATATGTTGCCAATGTCATTGACTTTCTAAGTAGCCATTAAAGGCACAATTTATTAAATACATTTAAAATGTGTCTCATTTATTTATGGAACTCGATGAGGATTACTCAATTTTGTAAATATCCTTTAATAAATCAGTACACACCACTTTTTTTCGTAAATATACATGGCTATATCGGAAAAAAAATCATTGCTTGGCTCAGCATTTTCGAGCAAGTTTCCACAATTAATAAGAAAATTGACTTTTTGTCCTATGATGCCGACTTTCGTGTAAAACCTTACAATTCCGAAGGTTTTGTGTAGGTAGCTGGAAGACTCGTTCATCACAAGCGCCAGCGCTCGTCTAACACGTGCACTGTCCGGCTATGCCGTCTTCCCGCTAGGTTAAGGCTGACGCCGCGCCGCGTGTCGCCACGTCTTCACCCACCGAGGCACACAAGAAGACGTGGCCATCCGACTGTCCACCATGACGTGGGGTTTTTTTAACGATTCGCCACCCACTATTTGCCGGCTCAGCTGCGGACGTGTATTTGACTGATCACATCTCTCAAGCTAGCTGCCCTCCACGTAGAACTTTTCCCTGTTTTATAAATCACGGACGGTGTGCTTCACAGACGGCGAGAAGCCATGCAACAGACGAACGGCATCGTTCGATATAACACACCATTTGCCAAAGGAGCTCAACTGAAGAACAAGAAGAGGAAGAGAAAGGCGGTCACGGCCTAAAAGCTTTCCTCCTGCTGCTGCAAAATCCGGAAACGGGGCACATTGGGGAGTCAAATGCCCGGCCCAAGACCATCAGGCTGAAGTCATATCGCCGTCGCCGCTTTCCTCGTCACCTGCGTGAGCGGCGTCTGTATTCTGCTCTTCTCCCCTCGACATCCGATCCGCCATGGGGACACCCTGTTGTGGACTCCTCGGCGATACAACACGGAGTCAGCGAGGGGAAGGTTAACGCTGTCGTGGGACGGGAGATCCCTGGCCATGGAGGCTGCTCCGCCATGAGGACGACGAAGTGGATGCTATCCTGAGGAGGCAGGGCGTCATAACTCAGGTTTGGTGCTCACTAGTCCGCTACCACAACAAAGATTTTCAAGATTGCCTGTCTTCATCTTGGTCTACTGTCAGTGTTGTTCTTCTGAAGAGCATGATGATGCCTATTGGACTGCCGAGATCCATTTCCAGCCGCCACTAATCCCATCCTTCTCGCGGCTTCTCTCCACGTGTTGTTCTCCAAGTGCTGTTACTGAAATTTCTTACCTTAATAAACGTTGATTTCCCAAATTAAACATTTTTGATAACCATAATATTGTTACCTGATATAGTAATTTACCTTTAACATTACAATGACTATAATTCATATAATTATTTAGAATAAGGACTTCAGCATTTGTAAGGGATACAAATCTTAGAACTATGATTTTCGTAGTATATATGACGATTGGAGCTAGAGGTTATGGTTCATTTAGTAGTTATTGGTCCATCCATGGGAACTCCCAAAGCCTACTCACATTCAAGCACTTGGCTGCAGTTCTTTCCTTCCATCATGTATAGCAACTACCGATCCATGCTAACGTAAGCTCAACTCAATATGTATACACAGTTACTTAGATTTTATGACCTTTATTTATCATATATGTCAACTTCCACTCTAGGTTATATTAATTCATCTCGTTTTAGTACCATCAATTGCAAGCTCATTGTTATAAAGCACAAATTAAATTGATTATTTTTGTGATGGCATTATTCATTATGTGATGAAGTGACTTTTCCATGCATCTATGAACTCATCTTGGTTTAGTCTCATCAAATTCATTGCTGCATAATATGTAATCATTCCATTCTTATCAAAATAGTGATTATTTTGTGACAACTTGCACATGGAGTATAACAAAAGGAATGAAGACAATCATGGTGTCTCTTAGTCTTGGCTACTCATTTGCAGCACTCAATGACCTCTCGGCAGCTGAGTTCATGAGATAGAAGGTAAAAACATCTTATTGGGCATTGAACATGTATCACTCATAACCACATGGGCATAGCCAAAACTATAAATTAATATTCTTTTAAAATAAATAAAGTAAAGACCTAAGTGTCGCATTATCAAAGTTTTATAGATATTAGCCATCTCCTGATCACTATGTAAGATATTAGTCTTACAATCAAAATTTTATCATTTACTCACAACTTCTGATTGGGCCATTTATTTTTCATTTTATATTTTTTCATTAGAAATTTTGAAAATTGAGTGTAGGCTCAGCCAAGCAAAGTTTAGGTCTTGAAAAGCATTTGAGATCACAACTTAAAATACGCCCTATTGAGAATGTTGTCCATAAGATGGTAAAAATGATAGGTGTGGACCATTTCATTACTCACTCACTTCCTTTCCTTTCAGATTGCACACCACATCTAGCTACTCTACTCGTATGGTATCTCGGAATATTCCTTCTTGTGGTCTCTCAACCAATTGTCAAGCTGGCCCAACACATGCTAGACCAAGTTTAGAAAAGGCTCGAGTGTTTCTGGTCACCCTGATGATTATAAAACCCACTTAGTAAATGGCCTGAATTATATGATAGCAAATGTTGAAGTGTGTAGCTAGCAAGGTACTAGATCACCAATCACAATTGGAATCATTATGTAATATATAAAATTATGGTTATTTAGAACTGAATAGGAATGTAGAGTTTTCTATACTCAAATACTGGGGATTACAATGATATGATCAAATAAAATGATGAGTGCGAGTAGAGTTGGGACTATTCTTTAAAACACGACCAAGACATGCATGATCTCCTTACTACACATAAAAATTAATATCTTTTATTATTAGGATTGCCATAAATTTTGAAACACGACCTAGCACTCAATGAAATCTTGTATTTTCTAGTGGGGAAGCTTAATTTCAATGGATCAAATCAATTTCACATAAAAGTTGAAACTTAACTTTTAAATAACATTGACCATGGACTTTCATAGTTTCTCCTTCATGCCTATCCATATGAAGAGGAATGTGAGGCTCTAGAGAAAATACTAGTAAACAAAATCTCAGGGGCAAGCCTTATTCAGTGCTAACCTAATTGGGGAAGTGATGATGGAGCAGCCTAATGAGGGGAGAATTATGATTCTTTTCATAGGCCTGGCCCAATAAGGAATGGGCTGACTTTTTCCCATTTTTATACTTCCATTAAATTCCAATCCTCACAAGAAAGTCATCCTTACAACCTTCCTAGACTACCATGATTGTTGACTTCCATATTAACAAACATGAGTTTGTATCTTATTTTTATGAATTTCTTAGCTGGGGTCGAAAGTAGAAGAAAGGGCAGATAAACTTCATGCTTCATCAATTGTCTTGGACTCTACTAGATCCAATGACCTACAAAATAGTAAGTATAGGAATTTAGGTTGTAGTTTTAGTTTAAAGAATCCATTTCCTAGCATAAAACTGTATTTGTTTGGTTGACCTTAGTATTGAATGGTGTGAATATAAGAATACACTTGACATGTGGATGGAAACAATTGACTCCTATCACCCATCAGTTATGTGCCTCAATTGACCCTCAAAAACATTGTCCAACAATTTAGGGTCAGTTTCTAGGTCATAAACAGACTTATTAAATGGCATAATGGTCAAAGCATTTACCTATTGAATGGCTAAGGCTTGTGCCATTACTCTTAATATGGCATATCATGTTAGCAAACATTCATTTGTTTTAGTAATATATGAATGCTGATCTTTCTATTATTTGGTAAAAAATAATGGAATTAAATGATGATTGTGACAAGAGTTAGGGATGCTTTTTTAAAATGACATGGGTGGACACTTGTATTGTTCTCAATGAAGATGATTGTTAAAATATTTGATGATTTCAAGATTGACATGTGACATAAGGGAATCATGGAATAAATTACTTTAAATTGGGCATCCAATTGGGATATTTTATGTGAAATGAAAATAGTATTGTTGGGACCTCTAAACAAAATGTCTCTTGAAAATTTATTTTTGAGTGAGTAGAGTTAGCTTTCAACCAAGCTTCTAAGAGAGACAAAACCCAAAAATGCCAAGTACTCAACAAAAGTTTGCAATTATTTTCTACATGTTTAAATTATATCTGAAGAGTATCTTTTTTTGTTATAACATCTTAGGGCTAGTAATTCCACATGTCAATTTCATCCCTTAACAACTTTTTTGGGTCATCTACATGCTGTTGACTTGCAGGGACCTTCAGCGTTATAGAATTAAACTCATCATCCGATGCTTAACATCTCCATGCTTAGTCCCGCTTGGAGTAGTTTGGTGATCATTCAACTTAACACCCTTAAAACCTCATACAAGGCACAAAGATGATCTAGCAGGCACAAGCTCCCACTATTATGGTGCCATTGACTTCTACATCTCCTCCTTCACATCTCTCTACTTTGCAAGGGATCAAAAGGGCCCAGGAAGTACCATGATTACTTCACCATCTCTGGGCCCGTGCATAATAAATGGGAGGCTAATTTTATTTTATTTTCACTTTATTTAAATTCCTAGCCCGGAGGGAGCCTATTGGTCAGGCTACGTCTTATTTTATCAATTCCCGATTTAAATGAAAAATAAATAATTTTCTGCGGCATTTGTTAGAGAGATGGCGGGCCCCACTTAAAGGCTCGGTCACTTGGGCCGGTACTGATAGATTCCGGACCCTTTCAATAGGGCGCTTCCCCAGCTGTAACCTTTGTTCTCGCTCGACATTGACTTTCCAATGAATCAGCGCCATACATACAAGCCACGTGGGAGAGCGTGTGCTGCACGTGCCATCCGTGACCACCACACGTCTATTTCAGCTGTCTCCGGAAATACCTTTCAGTTACCGAGATATTACCAAAACATTTCTGCTAGCCGCTGACCAACCTGGCTGCTTCCTGCTCGAGGGTTCTTTCGGACATAGCCTCTGCCACATGGCCGACACCGGGTCCACACAGCGTGACTTCGGACAGGCTGGTGATGACGCGGTGGCCCAGTCAGTTGCTGACATGTTCTTCATTAAAGCAGGGGCAGCGGTTTCACATAATGGTCTCTCCCCCTTGGGCGGCGGGAAAGGGTAGAGGGCGACCTCAGCTGGAGAACCCATCCATATAAACTCGGCTGAATACAGTGGCAGCCGTACCTCAGGAACGACAGAACTCGACCGGATCGGCTCGCAGGGAAGAGAGAGAGAGAGAGAGAGAGAGAGAGAGAGAGAGAGAGAGAGAGAGAGAGAGATGGACCCTCGCATTGTCCTTGTGCTCCTCCTGCTATCTCCCCTCACGGCAGCAGTTGTGGCGGAGAGCTCGCCGGAGTGCGATACGAGTAACATGGGGGAGTGCTACGACCGGCCTAAGGCCCTGAAGCTGAAGGTCATCGCCATCGCCACCATTCTCGTCGCCAGCATGATCGGCATCTGCTTGCCGCTCTTCTCCCGGTCGGTGCCGGCACTATCCCCGGACAGGAACCTCTTCTTCGTGGTGAAGGCCTTCGCTTCGGGGGTCATCCTCTCCACGGGCTTCATGCACGTTCTGCCGGACTCCTTCGCGATGCTGCAATCGCCGTGTTTGCCGAGCAATCCATGGCAGAAGTTCCCCTTCTCGGCCTTCGTCGCCATGCTCTCCTCCGTTGCCACCCTCATGCTGGACTCCTTCTCCATGTCCTTCTACAGCCGCCGCCACCGGGAGAAGGTGGAGGCAATGGAAGGCGGTGCCACCCCGACGGTGCAGATGGTCTCCGCCGTGCACACCCACGGCCACTGCCCCTCCATCCTGCTGGAGACTAAGAACGATGAGGATAACGCTTCCTTGAGGAGGAACCGCGTCATTGCTCAGGTTGGTATCCCTCCTAGGCCATCCGAAATAGCTCTCTCAGATAAAACCCAGCTCCCTCTTCTCTTCTCCTTCAACATCTTATACTCCTTTTTCGTCTTCGTCTTCGTCTTCGTCTTCGTCTTCGTCTTCGTCTTCGTCTTCGTCTTCGTCTTCTTCTTCTTCTCATCCTCGTTCTTGGGATCTGCTCAGCAGAACCAGAGAGTCTCTCAGAGACATCCTCTGAAGATCCAGAGGATCTGTGAGACGATCACATGGGTCGCTGGGTCGTTGGCAGGATGCAGTGTATGGCGATGGAGAGGCGGCGATCAGCCGTCTCCCTTGACCCACACCTAATCAGCTGACGCCGTCATTCAATTCATTCCGGCTAGACGACGAACTCGGTCCTGCCGCGTCTACGGCCACCCCCTATGAGTTTCTCTGTTGTTGAATCCTAAAACCCTGTAAAACCTTAGGGCGACAAGATTTTCATTGTCATGCCGTGTGACACGACCTTTCTTCTCAGCCTCCCTCCTTTGTGACTGTTTCCACTGAATATAGAGAATAAAGGGCCAGAGAGAAGATAGACACGCACATATATACAGACAGCGAGAGGAGTGAAAGGGAGCAGGTTCCCGTCTACATCACGCCTGCCTTCCAAAAGAACGGGCACTTTTTTAGTACAAATTTTGAATTCACAAATTGAATATTTTATGTCGAGTAACTCATACTACTTCTTAAGTAGGTGAGCAAGAGCGAGAGCGAGCGAGAGCGAGCGAGAGAGAGAGAGAGAGAGAGAGAGAGAGAGAGAGTCACCAACAGGGGTAGAGGTAGGTGGATTAGTAACTCGAGCCGATTCTGGGAGTGAGCTCTTATTCAATCAGTGGACTCGGCCGACCCACATGGGGGACATGAACACCACACACCGACCGGAGATTATCTTCGTGATCAGCAAGACAAGTCCTCCACCCGGGACGGGGCCAAACTACTTTAATGAGTACAAGGAAGCTAACGTCTCTTCTTCCTGATCCTTTCAGGTTTTGGAGCTCGGGATCGTCGTCCACTCGATTGTTATCGGACTCTCCATGGGCGCCTCCCAGAACCCATGCACCATCCGCCCCTTGGTCGCGGCCCTGTGCTTCCATCAGTTCTTCGAAGGGATGGGCCTAGGCGGTTGCATCCTCCAGGTGAAGCCCCTTTCCTTTCCTTAATTACCCATCAACAAAAATATCTATATATATAGTTATTTGTCCCTTTATGCATGTCTTTGTTGATTATGCGCATCCTTCAGGTGAAGATTCCCCCCATTCAATGCCTCCATCGACAAATAGCCATATACACATATAGTTTGGACTGCATAACTAAGCAGACATGCTGATAATGTGCATCCTTCAGGCAGAGTATGGCTTTGGGATGAAGGCGATCATGGTCTTCTTCTTCGCCACAACCACGCCGTTCGGTGTCGCCCTCGGAATCGGCTTGTCAAACGTGTACAGCGACAACAGCCCCACAGCGCTCATGGTGATAGGCCTGCTGAACGCGTCCTCTTCGGGGCTCCTCATATACATGGCCCTGGTTGACCTCCTGGCGGCTGACTTTCTCGGGCATAAGCTGCAGAGCAACGTCAAGCTGCAGGGATGGGGATATGTCGCCGTCTTGCTGGGGATCGGAGGGATGTCTCTCATGGCCAAATGGGCTTAGACAGGGACGTCCGCGGAGGAAATAAAATATGAAAATATATCCGTTGTCGTTTTTGAATCCCAAGGGTCATCGCCTGGATCTCACCCGTTAGGTCATCAACCTCTGGAATATTTTGTTCCTTTCTTTTTCAGACTGTAAGCAAAGTGATCATATCATGATTTGTCTTAATCCATATACCTTCTCATGAGAAGTCAATCCATCTTCACACCAATGTATGTAACTGTTAGACTCTTGCTTTGAGAATAAGTTTAGATGATTACAAGAAAAAAGCAATCCATTGAACCATATGTTGGCCGTCTTAATGTAGATGCTTCAAGGTTATCAAATAAGTTGGCATTACTTAATTATAAGACTAATCATTAGGGTAAGCGTGGTCAACTCTCATTACTACATCTTTTTGTTGAAATGCAATTTTTTGAATGTTAAGGATCAAACATTTATAGCTATTTACCTAAATTTCTACCGATCACATCATCCTAATTATGACCATTTCATTTAAGGGTTGACCTTGCCTCTTGGTTTAATGACAAATTCATAATTATATTTTTTAATCTATTTCGGATTTAATGAGTAAATATAACCTATAAAAATTACATGCATAAAAAATAATGTCGTGAGAGAGAAAGAATAGAAATAATAAACATGGGATTTATAATGGTATTTATAAATAATAATGTAATGTGAAGATAATAAATGACATGAGACAAATGGGAATTATAGTGATTCAATCAACCTAAATACTTTTACCCAGCAAGTTTAATCCTAGAATTTTATCAAGAATCTACAAGTTAGATGGTTAATGGTGTTAGCCAAATATTTGAAATGCAAGTCAAGCCTTGATTCATTGCAAGCTCTCTCTTACACCACAATGAACAAAGAAAAAAATAAATGTAAAACTTCCAAAAGCATCTAACCTATCTTAAAAAATGAATCAAGTGTATCAAATCTTGATGAATCTTGAAAAAAATAACCAACACTCAGAAGGGATAGGAGCTTTACCACTAGAATTTAGAGATAATTCTGGAATTTGGAGTTAAGAGGTTTTCATCTATTGTTACTTTTCTTTGGATTTTTCTCACCATAACTTTCATCCATTAATTAGTCTTGAATAAACCCTGCACAATTAAGTTACAAGATATGAAGATGCTGCTTTCAAGAAACACATGTTAAGTAATTTTTAGATGATGGATTCATTTTTTAAAAAATCAAGAATATATCATTGTTTTCACTCCACTCTTAAAGGTAAAGAGTTGGGGCATGCCATGATATTAATTTTTTTGAGTGAGATGATGGATGTCTTCCAAATGTGAATTAGTGCATCCCAAAACAAAAAGTTACCCCTTTTCCATTTGAAACTTATAATAATGAGGTCAAGGGCTTTATTTGAAAAGTTGCCCCTTTTCATCCCATTTGCAAATTGTATTGTATCTTGAATGCTGTCATTTGAAAATTGAAAACTTTAATGTCTAAGCAGCTATGACAATCCAAGCACTCATAAAATTTATATACCCATTTATTTTCTATTTTTTATGGACTTCCCACTATTTTTGACAATCATGTTTTTGATTGTTGTATCACTGATCCTAATTATTTTATATTAAAAAGTATTCAAGGATAAATATTCTTTAAACAACTAAGATGAAATAACAGAGTCACTGAAATATGCACAAGAAAATTATTTGATTAATTGAGAAAGGAGTGATCACTAATTCTTGGACCCTCTAGAGATCTTAACTAATGTTGTGCCAACACAATGGAATTTGACAAACAACTTGCACTGTTTTAGAGGTCTCACTATTCTATTCTCATTCTACCTTTAATTGAACTATGACCATTGTAGTAATGAAAACATTGTTGATAGGATTGAAGCACTAAATGAGTAAATTTTTTGATAGGAAAAGCAAGAAAATGACATTGATAATTATATAGAGCACAAATTTTCTTTTCTCCTTGATGGTGCATAAAATTTCATAAGTTGTTTCCTCATTTTCAGACATTTAATTGTGTTGTAAAGTTGTTTGTACCTATTATGACTTTGTGAAGCCACATGGAAGATACTAACACCACTTGCTACATAAATTTTTTGTGGAGGACAAAACATTTTATCTTGGAGATAATAAATGAGGGGCATAGATAGGAAGCAATCCCCTCAACTTGGCTAGGTGCAATAATGAACCTATCACAATCGGCAAGAAAGTCAACCTATTTATACTTGGAGGAGACAAATAAATTCAACAATGATGATGATTGGAATAGTCACTAGATTCATGCATGTGTTGAAAATACTGATCATTGTCCATTCATTGGCCTTCCTAAAACTCATGTGGCTACAAGCTTTTGGCTACGATTGTACAGTTCCTTTTTGGCAGATGATTGACCTTTCTAGTTCCCATCATCTCACTTTGATATAATATCAGGAGCCCAAAGTCAAATATGACATTTTCTCATTTTTTATTTATACAAAAATATTCAAAAAAATATGTTATCTTTTTCACAAGAGGGCAGACTCTTGGGGTCAACCCACATCTTGACCCATCCTAAACCCTTTAAGTTGTTTGGACACCTCATCCAGTAATAACTAAAATATTTGATTTTCATTATATTTAATGCTTCACCATTATCATGTTTACCTACATATTAGCAACCCTATCAGAGTCACAAGGAATTTGGGCCCTTGGTAAGAGGATGGCCAAGCCCAACCATACCAAGAAACTACATTGTGTTCATCAAAGCTAATCTTAGTGAGTTCAGACCATGCCGTGCCAAGTGTTGATAAGTGAATAGAAGGTGGTGAACCCATTCTCATAAATCATTCTCATCTTTGATTCTAGAATAAGTTAAAGGATATTGTCTCTATACCCAAGTTGGATTTCATGTGAACTATTCATAATTGATATTCAAATCAAGTTGAGAACAGGTACATCCCATGTATACTTAGGAATGAACGACTATGGTTATTATAACCCATTCTCATTAACTCATTCCTAGAATGAGTTATCTAAATGAGCTTCTCAAAATTAAATTGAAAAAAAAGCGTTTTCTAAAATAGAAAGAACATCAAGATCGTTTTATGTCAATTTAAAATTTTATGATAAATATTTTTTATATTATATACATATTTTTTATTTTTTTCTTAAATTTCTTTGGCGTGATCTTGTGAAGCTCGGCCTAGATAGATCCTGGGTCGAACGTTATTGGGCTATCCAGCCCCAAGCCCGGTATATAAAAAAGGCCCAGTCTGGCGTGCTTCGTTAATGGGTTGACTGATTGGCCCAAACCTCCAAATCGGGTCTGACCCGGACCGTTATAATGATCCGATTAGTAGCCAATACCCTACCGCCCTCCCTCCTCTCTTCCTCTTCTTCCTCCCCATACGGCGTGGGCGTGAACAGAGGGGGAGAGAGAGAGAGAGAGAGAGATGTCGGCGGAGGAGGAGGCGAGCAGGCTGTTCCGCATACGGCGGACGGTGATGCAGATGCTTCGGGACCGTGGGTACCTCGTCGGCGATTTTGAGGTCAACATCAGTAAGCAGCAGTTTCTGGACAAGTTCGGCGAGACCATCAAAAGGGACGACCTCGTCATCAACAAATCCAAGCGCGGCGACTCCTCCGACCAGGTTCGTCTACCGCTTTGCTGAGGCCAACACCCGTTCGGGTTGGCTCCTCCGTTTTCTCCTTTGGTTGGTGACGATGTTTTTCGTCGGGGTTCTGTGCTTGGCTTTTGGTTATTATGAGAAATGATCTGTCATCAATTCAACAATTTTCTCTGTAGAATATACCTTTTAGCAAAAGAGGAAGAATATCATACCCAGTAAGAAACGGTATAATGTGCATTGGCATCGATGTTGATTGGAATCCTGTTCAATGGGACTGTTCGTACAGCATAACCCTTTTCACAAAAAAATAAAATGAACTTATTTGGAGAGCTGTAATGCCTTTTTGGAGATACCAATAGAGCATAGGATGGAGAAGAATAGATAAATCACCGTATTACATGATCTCAGTGTCCTCTTTTCATATCATCCGTTACCTTTACCTTCCATAGATAGTTTATTACTTATTGCTCTCTTACAGAAATAAATAAAGTGCTGTTTCAAGTGGAAGATCAAGCCATTTCGCTGGAGTTATTGATTGATGAATACAGTTCATCATTATTATCTTTTGTCATATTTTGAGAAGAATACTTCAAAGAACCGATGATAAAAAAGAATGGTCGATATAATTCTTTTTCAGTTAGTTTTTAAATCCACGACAAGTAAAACCTTGGGCCGTTACCTTTTTCAATCTTTGGTTATGTATGATGGGAAAAAAGGTATTGCAAGCTGCAGTCATTGGCTCATGTGAAATTAGCCATATTATTACTCCGATTGTTTTGAACCACAATAATATATTGAGTCTACTGTTCCCAATGACCATTAGCGATGCTGTATTTCTAAAAGTCACTAAAAACCCTGACGTCCGGTCAGAATTTTCTTGGTATACTGGACCAAAGTTGTCTTTTTCTTGAGATGCAGGTTATGCATTTCAGAAGCTTTCATGGTAAAATGGAATGTATTAAGTTCTTATTTATCCTCAGAGAAAATTGCATTATATACATATTTAGAGCAGGAAAAAAATGTTCTGTTGTACCAAAATGTTCAACAATGAGTCAACTCCTGCCTTATTAGCAAAATCATGTTTTAGCATCGCCATTTTTGTCATAAATTAAAGTCTATTCTGTTGGTAATAATATTTTGGCTAGGAGACCATTTGGAGGGCTAAAGGTAGTTTGATTTGATTCAGTGCAGTTCATAGTAAGTTTTCATTTGATCTTCGGTTGACGGTACACAAGTTGGCTTGACTTCGTTCTAGGGCCAGATTTATTTGGGCTGTGCTAGCTTCTGTTAATAGACGAGAAGCTAAAATGTACCTTAATGCTCAAGAAGGTTATGATGTTAGTGTTATTATAATAGAATGATGGTAGCAAGTCTTTGCGAAGTACTTGCTTCTACAAGGATATCAATATGTGGTAACCTATGGAGAGAAAATTGCACCTTGTTTATTAGTTACTCGCTTATTTTTAGGTGATTACCACCGTCTCTTGGTATTATAAGTCGTTCATATCCTTAGCTCAATGTGCAAATGTGATCGGTAGATTTTTAGCACAACTCATACTATTAAATATTTTGTTTCCAGATATATATTTTCTTCCCTGAGGAGCCAAAAGTTGGAGTCAAGACCTTGAAGACTTACGTTAATCGCATGAAATCTGAAAACGTCTTCAGAGCTATATTAGTATGTCAGCAGAATCTGACTCCATTTGCAAGGTCGGCGATTCAGGACTTCTCCCAGAAATTTCATTTGGAAGTTTTCCAGGTCAGTAAAATGTTTTCAGTATCACATTTTTTTGAAAAATATTGTTGTAAAATAAATATTCTCATGAAATGGTTTACGACACTTAGAAGCCTTGAAAAGGAGATTAGTTCTGTACTTTCGTTCACCACGTTATGATTTTGTCCAAGTAATGAATTTTTTGTTGACTTGGTTAAGACACTGAAGACTATATTAGTCTTCATAGTAAGGTATATCAATTTGTCATCAGAATCTGTCATTTTCCCCAATTCATGAACCTCAATTTTCTTTGTAATTAGTTCGGAGCTTTTTAATATAAAAAAACTGAGAAATAACCTGAAATTAATTAAAAATCATGTTTATTATCTCAATTCAGGAGGCTGAGCTACTGGTTAACATCAAAGAACATGTCCTCGTCCCTGAGCATCAGCTGCTGACAAATGAAGAAAAGAAGACGCTGTTAGAGCGTTACACTCTCAAGGAAACTCAGGTATGGGCCTATTGCTAGCCTTAGACTATGTAAACTTTTTTTTTTGTCTTACACTCTTTTTTATTTTCCAGTAAAGGAGTATGAAAGTTGTCATAAATTGCATATTTCTTTATCTCATTCCTGTTTCTTAGCCGCTTGTGTTTGTTCCACTACTGGCTAAGGAATTTATTACGATCAGAACATTTGTTGCCACTTGTAACTGCAAATTTATCGTCTGCATCGAGCCTTGCCCTTCAATGGAGGGTGATCTTTAATTTGGGATCCAGTTTGCTATTGAACCTTGATCTGACTGATCTTCATTCATGGGCATTGATGTATGGTGAAAATTTCCCATCTTGAACACTTATGGGATCAATAAGTCATCTGCTTACTTGAGAGGAAAGATGAATTTGTTGATGGCCATAATCAGAAACCAATGAATCTAAAAAATAAATCAGTAGTTAACACTGTTAATGAATAAGATAAATCGTAACAGTATCGTTTTGGAATGACCAAATCAACAAGCTTACATTGATGGTCAGATGTGCAGCTTTGGTGTGTGGATTCATGAGCTGAATAAAAAAAAATTATATCAGTTTTCGTTTCCTATTTCTTTCATTTGCCCTTTTCATCTTCCAATGGTCCATTCCCCCACTTTGATATGAAGAACAGACATTTATTTATACAAGAACTTATCTTATGATCATCCCAGATCAAAATTCTAATAATTTTTTTGCCCTTTTTTTCTCTTTGATTTTAGTAATTGATTCATATTACGGAACCCAACACCCTCAATTTAAGTGTGAAATACTTGTGCTAGATCTCCTCACATGGTCACACCAAACCCTCATTCTTAGCTTTTGATATCTTTTTTTTCCTTTCTATTTTTTCTTTCAGCTTCCACGAATCCAAATTACTGACCCCATTGCAAGATACTATGGTCTGAAGCGTGGGCAGGTGGTGAAGATCATTCGACCGAGTGAGACTGCTGGAAGATACGTCACCTACCGATATGTTGTCTAAGTCATAAGTTGCAGAGAATCACCAGCCCACAGTTTCCTTTTCTGAGCAACTGAGCTCATGTAAATTTGATCGGATTATACAGAAAGAGAACCCTGTTAGTAGTAAACTAGCTCTTGTAGACTGATTTCTTCGGAGTCCTCATGAAGGGGTGAACTGTGTGGAATATTCCCTCTTATTATGGCCTTCTTCTGTGAACAATTTACAATTAATGCCGAGCTTATTCATATTTTTATAATACTTTTATATTTATATATAGATTATTCACTCAACTTGGTTGAACTGCAAGAAGAGCCAACTAAATGCCAGGTTATTTTTTTTAGAATGTTTGCCTTTTATTTTCTTTGGTATATTACGACTAAATATAAAAACCTCAGGCCATCACAGAGTCTTCCTTGTCTATCTTAATAGGTATTATTTATCCTTCAGAGTCATTGGATATTTCGCTGTTGCATTTAATTATTTTATATCAGAAATAGATAGAGGAAGGAGTGCTAGCTATCAGAAATAGAGTCAAATATTTGACTCAAATATTTTATATCAGAAATAGATAGAGTCAAATACTTGTAATATTTGATTTTATAAACCACCAAAGGATTCAACTTATATATATATATTTTTGGGGAATTCACCCATTTTAGGAAAAAGATAATTTCTTGAAATAATCAAGTGCTAGCTATTCTTTGTCCAAAATGATGTTCTTCAGGAAATATAAATAATCCACATTTATTTTCGGTCTTGTGCAGTGTTCAATGTTTTTTACCAACTCTAAATGTTTCTTCAAAAGGCTGCATGATTAGAACTTGTACATCCAACATTAGTTGAAGTCAATAAACTATTCAATTAAAAAATTATGTATGCCTTTATTTTCTTGTCGAGACCTCTAATCTTGGGTAATAATATCAAGGAAAGAGGAAGAACAAAGGAGGAGAGGAATGGTTGTATCCATAAAACAGTTTACTATGGGATTAATATTTATACCAGCTCATAAAGACATGAATGAATTAGAATGGTCTAGTTCAAGCATGCATGCTCTGCAACTGTTGTAATCCCTTATTGATCTTCTCTTGAATTTAGTGACAATAATAATGAAGAGACAAATGAGGACATTGATCATATTTAAATTGACAAGAAAGGCTCTATAAGATGCTGAGAGATGATCAAAGGATGAATAGTGTGAAAGATGATACAAGGTTTCTTTTACATTCTTTGGTTTCTTTCTTAATAACAATAGGTATATCCTGGTCATTATATTTCTCATTGCTAATATGAAATTCAGCTTCAAGTGGTGGTGGATTTGACAAGGAAGAAATTTTTATATTAATTATAGTGTTTGGAAAAAATTCATAAATAAGTGTATCCAAGTTAGGTTCTTAAACTTGTATAGGTTCCATGACATTCATTTTCTTCCATTAATACATTTTACCAAATCTTATATTTTTGAAAGTAGTGAAGAGAATCGAGGTTAGTCGTGGAAGATGAAATGAATGAAGAACTATTTGTTCAAGATAATTAAGAGTTTTATTTTCATTAATTTGGTTTGCCCTAGAAGATGTGAGGGACTAAAGTAAGAATATATATTTTCTTTAATGCATGATGATAACACTTGTAACCTTTTAGAGAATTTTTTTAATTTCTAAATTTTGCAGCACTTGATTTGGGGCAGGTTTCATGGCATGTTGGTTGGAGTTAAGTGTCTCGTGATACAAGCTAGTGTGGTGCCTCATGACATGTTTTTTCCAGCATTAAGGTGTACTCTTGGCACGTTGGTGAAGAGGTTTCTCACAGCATGTTGTTTGAAATTGGATGTCACATGATGCTCAAAGATAGAGTTGGCTGGAGCAGGACTAATATGGATACATCAATAAATAATATTGATTGAAGGGATATAGTGATAAATATTTTTCATTTTTTTCTACATGTGTAAGATTTTTCAGTTTGAAGGTATTTAATAAAAATATTTTTTTAGGGTATTAGGTTCTAATTAATCATTGTGTTGATTGTGCACATGAATAAATGCTACACACCAAAATACCTTAAGAATAAGTTTGATGTTTAAAAGAAATTTGGGATAAAATGATATTAGACTTTTTAATTGTAAGAATTTAGAAGGTAAGTGATTCATCAAACAAGGAGTTGTTAAATGTACTTTCCCCTCAAAAGACTAAGGCAAGTGATTTTGAAATTATAGAGTGCGAGTTATTTCAAGTCACCATTTTTTTTTTCTACAACTCGATTTATTTGTGGAGTATTAACAATATAATGACTCATGTATTATCTCTTTTGTTTTAAAGTATGATATGATTTTTTATTAAAATAATATTTAATATTATCAGATTTAATTGTAGTAAATCTATCTCCATCCTATAAGCATTTTTGTCTTGAGTCTCTTTCAACTATGAACCTTAATTTTATCATCAAGCTATAACTTATCTTCAATGGCATGTGGTGATAAAATCTGAGTTAAACACTATGAAAGCAGCTCACACTTGATCATTTATTCCTTAACCACTAGACAAACACTCAATTGGCTGTTGATGAATTTAGATCGAATATCATTCTAATGGGTCCATTGAATGGTACAAAGCTCGATTAGTTTTCAAAGGGTATACTTAAGAAGTAAGAGTTGATTTTCTTGGAACATTTTCCTCAATTGTGAAATTTGTCACCATTAAACTCATGTTAGCTCTTGTAGCTGTACATAATTGACATCTCATATTCAGGTTCATGTTAATAATACTTTTCTCAATGGTGATTTACGAGAAGAGGGCTATATAGATCTATCTTTGGGTTATCACACTAAGGAGGATATTTTCACTTCTAGCAAACTTATTTGTAAATTACATGAGCCAATTTATGTTCTTTGGCAAGCATCTAGATAATAGTATTCAAAGTTATTCAATTCATTAATCAAATTTAGATTCACTCAATCTAAGTCTAATTATTCTCTCTGTAGTAAAGGTTATAATTCTTTATTTTTAATTTTGCTTGTCTATGTTGATGATATTATATTAGTTGGATTGTCTCTTTCACATATCAATATTTTGCAAGCTTATTTGCATACTCAATTCAAAGTCCAATATATTTTCTTGATTTGGAAATTGTATATTCTCTCATTGGACTTTCCATATCTCAATGCCATTACACATTTCAACTAATGGAAGACACTAATTTCCTTGGTGCTAAACCTGCATTGGTTCTTATGGATCATTGAATCCATCTTAATTCCACAATTAAAAATCTCCTTGAAGATGCATTGTAATATAGATGATTGATTGGCTATCTATCATATATAACCTTTTCACATCCAGATGTAACTTTTCCATTACAATAGTTATTCTAATTCATGGCTCAACCTAGGCATCCTCATTGACTCATTGCACATCATTTACTTTGATATCTTAAGTCTACTCTTGGTCAAGACCTTTTTCTCACTTCATCTTCTTTACAACTTTGAGCATTTTGTAATGTATCACTAGGGTTTGTATTTTTCTTGGTGACTCTTAACTATTGGAAGGCAAAGAAGCAATCAACTATTTCTCACTCATCTGTTGAAGCTGAATATCATGCCTTAGCTATCACCACAATAGATTTTCTCTCTTGGCACTTGTATCTTATGACAACCAAGCTATAATTCACATTTGCTTTAACTCAACCTTTCATGAATGCACTAAATATATTGAGATCTATTTTCATTTTATTAAGGATAAATTGATTACAAGTATCATCAAGCTTCTTCATATTAGATCTCAAGACTAGCTTACTTCCATAAAATCAATTGTTCCTTTTTTATCCAAGATGATCATTAAAAATATTTATCTTGAGGGGGAGTATTACAGATTCTACATGTGAGTAAACACATGTCAAGTAAATGTAATAAATAGACTGTACACCACAAATACAACATGTTCTTCCTTCATTACTTTCCCCTTTCTCTCTTATGTAACACTACCTCATTTAAGGATGATGCATCTTCTAAATTAAGAATTTTAGTTCTTCATTAATTAAACTTCAAGTTAAGTCAAGTCCCACTAAATATTCACTTCTCTATATGTTGCTCTTAATATTAGATCTATTGTATATCTTATTTAATATTAATTATATTCTTGGCATAGCATCTTTAATTCATTTATATACTCCATTGGCTTTTCTCCTTGTTTGAGATTCACTATTTTTAATTTGAATTCATATAATTGATTTACATCCTAAGTTCAATAATATGTATGGTGAATATTTTCTAAATATCTATAGCTTTGATATGATATGAGTAAGTTCTGATGATTTCAATGATTATGATAGTCCACAACCAGATCATGATCTTAGAGACTACTTGATTCCATACTCCAAACTTGGGATCTCTACATTATGGCTTTGAATTCAATGGTGAGTTGCAAGTCATCTAATTTTTAACATAACTTTATTTTATTGGGATAAGCAAAAATAATTTTGACCATCTAAATGTTCTATTTTGGTATTATAGGTAATTATGAATGTCACTTTGATTGAATCCTAAGCTTTGAAGAGGATCTTAAGGAGGAAGTAGTTCCAAACATTTTAAAGTTGCTAGATACCATAAATATCAATGAAATAACAAATTTAACTTTAAACACAATTATCTCTACCACCATTTGCAGCACAAATTGATGTAGAAAATCCATGAATCATGTATTTGAAATCAATTGTTTATAATATGAATCATTAAAAAAACTTAGTGAATGAAAAATACAAACAATGATTTATGTCAATAAATGACGCATGAATCAATTGTTTGTGATATTTGATGTGAGCCACTGCTCACAAGAAAATTGATGGTCAGTAGGAGATATTTGATGAAGCAAAAAAACACTACAAGATAGATCACACATGTTGCAAAGGCTCTTATACCAAGTTGAGACCCATAAATATTTGATCAACCTTCTCCAATCTTTAGCAGTGGCACCATAAATAGTTTTCGCTTTCTCAATTAGGGCTTACTATTGGACTAGTATTTATATACTAGTTTTGTCGATACAAGACTGAAGGTTGAAATTTTAAAAAAAAAAAGATATTTATGTCTATCAAAATAAAATTTATTAAGCAATATTAATCACAAATGAAAGTTCGTTAACTCCTTTTTGGAGACTAACATAAAAAATAGTTAGTTATTAGCACCATATTTTGCTTTTCATCCGAGAAGCATGCTAAGTTGAATGATACCATTTATGATGACATTCTTGGTAGTATTATGCTAATATATAGCCATGTATTATCAAGTTTCATAGCTTGTTAGTGATATTCAACAAGTTCAAATGTCTCAATTTCAAGTACGAATTACTATTTGTGGAAATCTCCATGGAATACCCCACCAGAGGTTGTATTTTCTTCCAAAGTTCTTGTTAGTATATCTTTTATTTGAAGTTTACGGATGAAATGGTGACATTCAACATAATCAAGGGCACCAGCATGGTTTCTAAATGATTTTTTAAAAAAAAATTGGACCCTTGAAAAATTGAAGAAACTATTTTGGTCGGAATTATCCTCCGCAATTGAAGGCAGGTTGATGGCAGGTAAGACAATCTGGCTCATGGGTATGTGGGTTCTGCAATTGTTTCCTGGTTTCAATCGACTGTACAGAAATGGCGAGATGGAGATGACCTAATCTTGTTACAGCAGTGGCTTAGTGTAGCTTAAAGAATGGCATAGCCCTCGAAGTGCTACAACTCGTCAGAGAAGCCTGCCCGCTGTTCGAACGGCGCCTCGCTTCCAGGCCGTTGTCTCCCCTTCTTCTTTCTCGCTCTGAGGGAAAGCAGAGGCGGGAAGAAGAGGCAGATATGGGGAGGAGAGGGCAGAAGAAGGGTGACGGCGGCGAGGGCGACCAGCCGGCGGTCGTCTCGGAGGCCACCCGCATCCGAATCGCCAAGTGCCTCAACGAGTTCCGCGAGTCCGACTCCGAAGGTTCCGTTCCCTTCCTTTTCTCTCCGCTTTCTTCCTCTTCCTCCGCTCTTCATGACTGAGCGTTGCTTGGGAATTGGAGAGATATTTTTCTTCTTCTGTGATAGCTGGGCCTTGAAGCTAACGTGTGCGAACTCTCGATGGTCCGTCGTGGCTTCCGAGTTAGCCGCTGTCTCTTTGTGCTGGTCGCTTTCTTTCTCTTTATTGGTCTTGTTGTTGTCGTCGTTGCTGCTCTTCTTCTTCTTCTTCTTCTTCTTCTTCTTCTTCTTCTTCTTCTTCTTCTTCTTCTTCTTCTTCTTCTTCTTCTTCTTCTTCCTGTGTTTAGTGCTACTTTAGACTCTCACTGAGGCGTATGGGAGTAAATTATTCGCTTTAAGTGCAGTCTGAAGAATTTCCGTTCTCCTCCGAGGGTAGGGCTATTTTCTTCATTTGTATATGGCATCTCTTCCTTGTCTTCATCACCCTTCCTAATTCCTCTGCTACGAAAGCAATGCGCCTTCCCGTAAACCTTGGATTCTCAAGTGCTCCGTAAACCTTGGTCTTATTGAGAGAGTCATCTCTTTGAGTGTTTGCTGTTAGAACCAGGGTGTAGGTGTTTTAGTGTAGCTTGTATGCATGAAGGGCCATTCGAGGTACTTATTTGAAGCTTAGAGCTTTTCTTTTACAATACTGAGTTCTTGAATTATTTTTCAGCTGTTGTCCACATAAAAAAATATTATTATATTTATTTTTCCATTATCATCATTTTTTCGTGATTTTTTTGACATTTACTAAATCTCTTATAGATTCATGTAAAAAATGAATATTATTTTGACATCTCTTATAGATTCAGTGTATGATCACCATGATAACTATACTTGTTTTTCTGTAGATATTACTTGATATTAAAATGAAAATCTTCTGCTCTCTTTGCTCTCTCCTTTTGCAGTGTATACATTTGAACCGGGTTTGACTAAATATGAAAGGGCTGCAATACACGAACTTTGCAGAAAAATGGGGATGATTTCAAAAAGCTCTGGGTGAGTGCTAGTTCCCAGAAAAAAAAAAAAATCGCGACTTGTTTTCAGAAATTGTTAAATGTTTCCAAGGAGACTGCATTCCACATCTAAATTGCGTAATCTGCTTTGAATTTCTTCATGTTTTAATCTTGAAAAGTATTGTCATGGGCTTAGAATAAAATGTTCTCTGGCTGTTTGATATATACATAGAAGGACCAAGTTTCATGCTCCTGAACATAGTCATGCGATGAGCGGGCAGTTACATGTGTTAACAAGCATCGCTTGAGTTTTCAACAATGGATCATCCAACAACTCATAGCCATCCTTCCAAATCTTACGGGTGAAGCAGAAGAATTCAGATGAAAGAGCAGTAGTTAGTATACGTTATGATTTGTATCCTAGAAGAATGCCGGGTAGCATTACTTTTTGCATTACTGCCTCCAAATTCAGAGCATAAAAGTAAGGCATCGAAATGTTGCTTCCTCTACTTAGTTTGTACCAGTTGGGAACTACTTGATCCATCTAAAAGGAATTATTTAATTCTGTCAATAAGAGTATCATAAAAACACAATGTGGTGCTATATATCGATTGAGCTGGCTTACTCAAGTGACTTAGCTAAGGTATGCTTGGTAGAATGGCTCAACAATGGGCCAATATGGGCTTTTACAATTCTAGACTGTTGCCAGCGGCATGACCCAGGTGACTTTGATTTGCTTATCTGAAGTATGTTGACCAGCACAGGTAGATGGGTTGATCATGTTGTGTGCTGAGGATAATGTGGCTTTCAGACTCCCGAAGTAAATGTATGTCGATGCATCTGATCTTAATAAAAAAATGTAAACGGTGATATGTAATTTTATAATGAGAATGAGGGAAGTTGATTGAGCAAAAGGAGATTAGATATGGAAGCTGGAGTCTGGACTAAACTAGAATTGTCACTATAGTAGACTGAGGAGAGGGATAAGGGATGAGAAATAGGAAGAGGGAGGGGATAAAAACATATCAGATGTGGAACATTTCATCTCCCCGTTTGTTGTACGGGTTATATGCTGCTTGATAGAGGAACCTGGTATCCAGAAAACCATTTAACTTTTCTTTCCCCCTGATGGGATATGGAGAGACCAATCACGAGGACAGTAAAATAGACAATCAATGAGGACAAGAAAAATAAGGCAAAGAACGTACCTTTGTCACCATGGGCACGTTCTCGGGCCTGCTTAACAAGAGTAAATATGAATGCAGTGTTACGGTGTTACCTGTCTGATGGAACGGTCTCAGGTTGGAAAGAGTAAATAAAATGTTGCTGGATGTAATTGACACAAGCAAGCCGCAGTCTAGATGACACATTACGACAGATAAATCAGTGCTACATGAAATAATGATACAAGCAGCGTGATGAAACCCAAATATACAATGTACTAGTATTCTAGTCTCTTGGGTATTGGCTCTGTAAATATCCCTATTATGCTGAAAACGAAAAAATTGAGAGTGCCATTCAAATATTCAATTGATTAGTAAGCTAATAAATTAGTTGCATCAACTGGGTACTTAGTTTTCTGTTTTTAGATTTCTCGAGTGTTTCTGTTTTTCTTAGAGTTTGGGCAAAATAATCGAATGGCTGTCGCTCTATACACTCAAGCTTCTTTGTTGCTTATATTGGTACAGCTTTGGAGAACGCCGTTGTTTGTCTGTGTACAAAACCAAGAAGAATCAAGCTCCAATAAAGAAGGAAGAAAATGTTACATCTTTACAATTCTCAGAAGAGACTAAATTAGTCTTGCAAGACCTGTTTATGCGATATCCTCCAGGTGAGGAGCAGAGCGAATTAACTCTCATTAGCACTGGTAGTGGTAGTAAAAGGCGAGGAAATCAAGATAATAGTTTTGAAAGGCCTTCAATGAGTGAAGCAGAAATTGCAAAGAGATTGCACACACTTGCTGCTAAAGTAGAGGAGACTCCTCAACTGAAAAAGGTTCCAATTTTTTTATTTTTTTATTTTTTTGGTGAAATTCCGTTTCCTTTTGTTGTTTGCTTCTTTCAACAGATTTAAGTTTTTATTTACTACATCTGTAGTTAAACCATTGTTTTATCAATGCAAGAAATGTAGTTGCTATTATATACTCTTGGTATGATTTCATGTACAGATATTCTGTTCTTTCTCTATCACCAAATATATGTGATGTGATTTGACTAAACTAAACGTTAAGATGATCAAACTATCCCCCCTCTTATCTCAGTTTCATCTCTCTCTCTCTCTCTCTCTCTCTCTCTCTCCCTCTCTGCGTCTTTGTGTCTGTACATATACATCCTACAGCTGTCCTTCCTCCCTCCTCCCATCTTGCTGCACCATGACGCATGACTTTGTGGAGGAGTGGGCAGTGATGGGGCTCCTTGTCATTGGTGGACTGCTGCCTCAGACTTCTCGGCTGCAGCCTGGTTGCAATCTGGTGGGAGGGGTATAAGGAGGATCCTACTATTGGGTTGAACTACCCCCTGGCTGCAGTCAACCCTCTTCTCATCACTTTGAAGAAGCAAGTGGGGAACATGGAACTTGAAAAGCCCTGCTCAATTCTTCTCTTCCCTCTGACATCCATCTTTATTGCGGGAGAAACTAAAAGGGTCCTGGGTGCTGGCTGAGCTACGGAAGGTGGTCAACTCGGCCTTTTGTGCCACACGTAATTGTGAAAAATTAATGTTTCTCCGGCATTCCTGCACTTTTGTAGCTCCAAATCTGACTCGTAAAATTAGAGTCTTGAAATATGAGCACCCCTGGCTGTAAATATTTCAATACATGACAAGAAGTCATGAAAGGAGAGTTGTTCTTTTGTGAAAGCATGAAGAAAGAGGCTCGAATTGTGCAATCCCCCTGCCTCCCCAGAATGAAAGGGGTGACCTCATTGATCTATATTAAATCTCACCGGAATTGCCCCTCTATCCTTCTGAGTAAAAGCTTAGTTTCAACTCCAATTCAAACAGGAGTGTGCCATCCATCTAATGGGACAAATTGATGCGATGAGCATATATCCAATTTCTTTACAGAATTATTATTTATGCTTTTTCTGGGAAACATAGTGCAAATAATCATGTTTAGTTGAGCAAAGTTATTTCGTGTTAATCCACGCAGGTTGTACAAGAAAGGGCTCGGCTTCCAATTGCCAGCTTCAAGGATGTTATAGCATCAACTGTGGAATCTAACCAGGTTCTTCTCTTTTGTTATCTTCCTTTGCCTTTTTCATTGACAAGGCTGACATGGGTTATTATATGTTTTTAATATCTGACTATATTTATTTATATTCTTGTATTGGTTGATCTGAAGTATTACTCCAAGTGTCTACTTCTTATAGTGCTTTGAGTCAGTGATAAACTATTACTTGAGGCTGTGATTCATATGTGGTCCATTTCCTCTAATTACTGAAAAAAAGTGGGATTAATTAAAAAAATTATGAAATTGAGATTTACTAACAGAGCGATGAGAAGTATCCACATATCAAAACATGTGTCGAAGGAGAAAGAAGCAGCTAAGACATTTCGACTACACTCATTTTATATCTGTGCTCTCTCTTTTCAATGCAACCAGACTGCTAAAACTCCACAAATACAACCTATGATGAGTAAGAAAAGGCTGTATTCCTAAAAGGAAGAAGTAGATACGAAGATCTTATGCGTTGCTTGACAGCTTAAACTCCCAAAAGCAGAATCGTAAAAAGTAGCTTTTGTTTATACAGACCTGTTCCGTTTCTTCCTAAAGGTTCTGCGATGTGGGTGTTGAGGTAAGCATTTTTGAATCAGTAACAAGTGCTTATAGAAGTGCCAGGTGTGGGGATATCCTTGGGTTGAAGGCTCGGTCGAAGCTTTTAGTCAGGAGAACACATGTGTACCAGGATTGGTGTGATATCAGATGTTAGAGCGTTTTATCGATGTCTGAATCTTTTAATCAGGAGAATACAATAGAGAAGCAGAGTTCGGTAGATGTGCATCAGGGTTGATCTGAGATCAGAACAGGCGAGAGAATGGATGGTTGAGAACATAGGGGTTCCGTCCATTGTTCGGATAGCAAATGGGGCAGAACGGTCGCCTGGGTGATCCATTCCTTGTTCTTCTCATTCTTTAGATGATCCACTGTATCCTATGTTCATGTGACTTATTTATTTCGTAATCACGGATCTCCTATTGATCATAGCCATAGTTGGGGTAAGAGTGAGGGGGCATTATGGTCATATAAATAATATGGGTAGTTTTATATGCAGCTATGATGGGTTCAGGATGAATGTGAGAGTGCACTTATTGCTGATAGGCCTTAAATGACTGGATCCCTAATTCACATGTTGAGAACCCTAAATGTCTGTTTTCTAGCCAAGTAAGCCAATCTGATTTGAACCTAGGCCAGTTGTCTGGGATCGGGTTTCTCTCATTCTGAACCTTTGCCTCTTACAAACATCTCATTCTCTGTACTATTATTCCCACTTTTGTGTTTCAAAGATATTTATGACCAACTTTTTTGGACGACTGTTCCATGTGTCTCCAAGTGAACATCGCCGCAAATGAAAGTGGTAATTCTGTGTATTTCACTTTAATAAATGTTTTATTTACTTATACACTCAAATTCTATGAAATAAAAGTGATGCAATTAGCTAAATATGTTGACATGATTCAACCGTAAAGTCACATATTTCCTTATACATAAAGTGGTTCTCTGCAACTGCATTCACTTTCTTATTTGTATTTCCGATGATAATTTATTTTCGTTCCATACGATATGCAGCTTCAACCTGGAGATGCTCTCATGCTTACCTTGTAGAGCTTAAATTCTTCAAACTCTTATTTCTTTTGGATCCGAATCTGAGATTAAGTTTTGCCCTGTAACCATTCAGGTTGTGCTGATATCTGGTGAGACCGGTTGCGGTAAAACCACTCAGGTTGCGAGCTCTTTGCTTCCCCTTCTTTCTGGTACATTTATGAGAACTAAATGGAAATTACTTCCAGAAAAATTCTTGTCTGAAGATCCCTTGTGCACTTTGTGGCTTCTGATATGCGTTTTTTCATATAATTTTTTTCACTCTCCTGTTATTAATAGAGTTGATTTTCTCTCTTTTGTATTTATGAACCTAAAGTCTCTCTTCCATGCTTGTGATTGAATCACAATCCAAAGCTAGTCACTGAGGCATTGTTTTTTCTTTTTCAGTAGCTAAATTAGCTGTTTTTGGATGATGAAGGAACTTGATTATTGTGGATATGAAGGTATTAAACATGGGACCCCATTTTCTGAGACAATCTGCTCAAGCATTGACAAAATTAGTGAAAGCATCTAGTATGCAAATTCCTGAAAATTAATTGATCAAATGCCCTTATGCTTATGCTTTGAGGATATTTTAAAACATTTATGGAAGTTTTTTGAAAGAGCTCTGGTCCTATCAACTCTTTGGATAAAAAAAAAAGGAACAAGTATAGCAAATTTTATCCTCCCAAGAGACAATATGGTTGTGAAAAATCATTGGTAATTCAAAGTTATTGGAAATCGAATTTACTTGTGTATCTTTGTTGCATATATATACATACCAAATCCGATTGGTTGCATTACATTCCATTACTAATCTTCAAGACAGAAGGAATTATACTGAATTTTCTATTTGGAGGGTAATTTTTTGTTAGTCCCCCATTTAGCCAAAACAATTGAAATCAGGAACTTGGCCTTTATGGAGAGGGAATGATTATCTCTAAAATCAGACTAAATGAAGGCAACGTTGGCACTGCAAACGACAACTAGAACGGTCTCTGCAGCAAAGCTTGAGACAAATTCCCTCTTAACCTCCTAAAATATAGCAACTACTGCATTTAATTTGCTCCCCTAGCACCAACTGCTCCAAAAACAAGAAGAAAAATGAAGAGTCGGGCTTCATTTGCCATGAGAAAGATGAGGGTATTCTCAGCAGTAGCAAAAGAAGGAGAAATGGAGAAAAAGACTTCCATCTGCTGCACGCTGATGCTGCCATTTCCTTAACCCCAAAATGATTCTTGTCATCAACTAATTCAGACTGCACTCTAGGGTTCTTGGTCCAGTTCCAGCTATTGGCGGAAGGGGGGATGCAGAGAAGAGAGAGAAACTCATCTCTATTGAGTGCTGCTGTTACTAATCTCCCTACAAGGCAAGAGTTCTGATTAGAATGAAGGATAACAGCAGAGTAACTAACGGAGAAGAGGATCAGGAAACAAAAAAAAAAAAAGCCTAATCTGTAGATATCTGCTGTTGCTGTCTTTCCCTCAGTTCTAACTGATTCACCAAACTAGCCAGTTCAGATTTGATTTGGGGGTCATTGTTCCAGTTCTAGTTTACGGAGTGAGTGGCAGAGAAAAGGCAAAATCAGACCATTGGCTCTTCTAAGATCTGACATGGACTCCTCTGTCATAGGTAAGGAAATATTTGATGGCTTTAAAAATAAAGCTTGAATTTAAGGGATTATTGATTTAGTATTCTTTTCTGTTCGAAATGATTATTGAATTGAACACTTGAATTTTTTGATACAACCATTTCATAAGAAGTCGTAAGATGCTAATAACAATCATTTCGACAACCTTGGTTGTTTTTCAATGTTGTGCTTGAGCAACTTGCCTAAACAGTTTGGCTGCATATAGAATTTTCTCTTTCCAGGTTTCAAGTGAATTAATTATGCGTTATGCTGTCAACGAGCCGTAGATAGCTTTGTTTTCACTGATTGTTCATAGCTTCTCCTTCCTAATCGCTGCTGACAACCTGATTTTAATTACTCAGGTTCCGCAATACCTATTGGAATCAATGTGGGGTAAAGGCAAATCTTGTAAGATAGTGTGCACCCAACCTAGACGATTGTCAGCTATATCTGGTTGGTGTTTGCGAGTCATCTGATCAGTAGGTAGATCTCCTATTGCTACCTTGTATATTCTCATGTTTTAGTTTTTCTGGTGCAGTTGCTGAGAGGATATCTTATGAAAGAGGAGAAAATGTTGGGGAAAATATTGGTTACAAGGTATTTTTAAAAAAATAAAATTGAATTCATATTATGCAAGACTTTCACTTTCTATATATTCACCTGGAAAATACAGTAATATAGAAATGAAATGCATTGTTCTTGGCACTATCCATAAAGTAATAATAATCAAGAGACAAATGTGCTTTCTTAGTTTATCAAGAACCCAGTGTGATGTTGTAGCATAGAGATTCCCATTTATATCCCTTCTCAGAAAGCATGCTCCTTTACTTGTTGTATCATTCCCATCTATCCCTCTTTTGACAAATTGGGGTGGAACTTACTGCTGTGCTTTCAGATACGTTTGGAATCTAAAGGTGGGAGACACTCCTCGATCATGTTTTGCACCAATGGAATTCTTTTGAGAATGCTGATTGGTAGTGGCGCTGATTTGCCAAAGCCAAAGTCAGAATCTCGGGCGGGTCGTTCAAAAGATAGAATCTTTGAGATAACACACATTATTGTGGTAACTATTCTCTTCTTTGATTTGCTTTAGCTCTTGCTTTCTTGTGTTGGTTGAATCCTAAAGCATGCGGCTATCTCATCTCATCTTGGGTTTTGACATGAAATCTGCTGAAACCTAAATCGCTGACTTTTCAAAGAAAATCTGGGTGATTGCATGCGCCACTTTTTTCACCTTGCAGAAGAGAATTGAGACTTCCGACCCTCATCTCACAGTGATTTATTGATTAATAATGTCTTTAATGGGAACTCGACTTTAGTTGGTTAATCGGTGCGTTCTGCGACATTAAATGCTTAAAAGAATTTTAGGAGGTTACATGAATTGTTTACTTTGTCAAAACCGATCATTACTCTGTTCATGTGAATCGAATAAGATGAAGTTTCTTATGCGACTCAGTATTCTGACCACATCTATTTTTTTATTTTTTTATTTTTTATTTTTTGCCTATCGTATTCCGAATTTGAAACATTATGAACTGTGGGTTTGGTGTGATTTGGGGTTATGACCCTCTGACTGAAAAAATTTCAATGGAAGTTATTGCCTGTTGCTTGGTGGTGGGGTTTCATGATTCATGCCCGTGTTCATCCCATCTGTTCTTAGGATGAAATTCATGAAAGGGATCGTTTTTCTGATTTTATGCTGGCGATTATCAGGTACTCAGTCACGAAGACTATTTCTGTTTCAGTTTCCTACCTAAGATTACTTGACTCGTCCGAATTCTCAACACTAACACAGTTTTTCGTTAATGGGATACTCGCAGAGATCTGCTACCTCTTTGCCCCCATCTTCGGCTGGTCAGCTCAGTTCCCTCTTCACTGCTTTTTTATTTTATTTTATTGGGTCAACTGTTGCTGCTTTTTCTTTTAGGGTCTGCCATTGTTGAGACCTTGATTACTTTATGTCTACGAATCTGACAGATCCTTATGAGCGCCACCATCGACGCCGAGAGATTCTCTCGGTACTTTGGTGGCTGTCCCATCATTCAGGTTCCTGGGTTTACTTATCCTGTGAGTACCACCCTTCTAAGATCATGAACAGCGTTGACTTTTTCCTTATTGCTTTCTTTTTTGGGGGCATCTTTGGTTCCATAGTGTGCGAACGTTGACCTCTTTTTTCTCCTTTCTTTCCAGGTGAAAACCTTTTATCTCGAGGATGTGCTTTCAATCCTGCATTCTACAGACGACAACCATCTGGATCCCGCCTTCATGAGTGGAAACGAAGAAGGGGCTGAACTGGATGAGGATTATATATCTTCCTTGGACGAATCTCTCGATCTGGCACTGTTCTCTGAAGATTTCGAGCCCCTCCTGGAGCTGATTTCTTCACGGCCGGGGCCAAAGATTCTCAATTTTCAACATTCGGGGACTGGCGTGTCGCCACTCATGGTCCTCGCCGGAAGCGGGCGGGTCGCCGACGTCTGCATGCTTCTCTCACTCGGTGCCGACTGCAGCTTGCCAGCGAAGGACGGCAGAACTGCGCTGGATTGGGCCCAGCAGAATAATCACGATGAAATCTCCAAGATCATTGGAGAACACGTGCAGAAGAATCAGGGCTCGAAGCCCGCTGAAGGGCAAGAATTGCTCGACAAGTACATGGCAGGCGTCAACCCAGAGCTGATCGACACTCTGCTCATCGAGCGGCTGCTGAGGAAGATCTGCAGTGACTCTGTGGAAGGAGCGGTCCTGGTTTTTCTTCCCGGGTGGGACGATATAAACCAGACCAGGGAGAGGCTGCTAGCTTGCCCATATTTCCGGGACCCTAAGAAGTTTGTCATTCTCTCTCTTCATTCCATGATCCCATCGGCGGAGCAGAAGAAGGTCTTCAAGCGGCCACCGCCCGGGGTTCGGAAGATCATACTCTCGACCAACATTGCCGAGACCGCGATCACCATCGACGACGTCGTCTTCGTCATTGACAGCGGCAGGATGAAGGAGAAGAGCTACGATCCTTACAACAATGTGTCCACCCTCTATTCCTCATGGGTCTCCAAGGCTAGTGCAAGGCAGAGGGAAGGGCGTGCCGGCCGATGTCAGGCAGGAATCTGCTACCATCTCTTCTCCACTGCCCGAGCGGCGTCCTTGCCGGACCACCAAGTCCCCGAGATCAAGAGGATGCCGATAGAAGAACTTTGCTTGCAGGCGTGTTCTTTTATCCTTTTCCTCTTTTGGGTCTCTTTTTTTCTTTTTTCTTTCTTTTTTTCAATCGTCTTTTTCTTCGTCTTTGAAAATTTTTCAGGTGAAGCTGCTGGATGGAGACTGCAAGATAATGGAGTTTCTGCAGAAGATCCTCGATCCCCCAGTTTCAGAGGCCATAAGCAATGGGATTCTGGTTCTCCAAGATATTGGGGCGTTGACCCACGACGAGAAGCTCACAGAGCTTGGAGAGCGGATCGGCACCTTACCGGTCCACCCATCGATCAGCAAGATGCTCTTGTTTGCCATCCTCATGAACTGCCTCGACCCAGCGCTCACTCTGGCCTGCGCTGCCGACTACCGGGACCCCTTCATCCTTCCCATGGCCCCTGCCGAGAGGAAGAACGCCACCGCTGCCAAGGAGGAGCTCTCCACTTTCTACGGCGGGCTCAGCGACCACCTCACCGTCATAGCGGCATTTGACTTTTGGCGGCGAGCGAAGGATCGGGGCCTCGAGGGGCAATTCTGCTCCAGATTCTTCATCTCTGCCGGCACCATGAACATGCTGAATGGGATGCGGCGGCAGCTCCAGAGCGAGCTCATTAAGAACGGGTTCATCCCTGAGGATCTCTCTGGGTGCAGCTTGAATTCTCAGGACCCGGGAATTCTCCGGGCGGTGCTCGCCGCTGGCGGCTACCCGATGGTGGGGAGGCTGCTGCCGCCGCTGAAGAATTCCCGAAGGACGGTGGTGGAGACTCCCAGTGGCGCCAAGGTCAGCCTCCACCCCCATTCCTGCAACTTCAAGCTCTCCTTCGACAGGGCAGCCGGCGGCAAGCTGCTCGTCTACGACGAGATAACTCGGGGCGAAGGGAGGATGTTCATCAAGAACTGCACCGTCGTCAGCCCGTACCCGCTGCTCCTGGTGGCGACTGAGATGGCCGTGGCGCCGGCGAAGGACAACGATGAGGATGAAGAAGAGAATGGTGATGATGAGGAGGAAGGCTCTGTCAGTGAAGGGGAGGAGGAGGATAAGGAGGAGAAGATCATGTCCTCCCCTGAGAATGCAGTCTCTGTCGTCGTTGACCGGTGGTTGAGATTTGAATCGACGGCAATTGATGTTGCCCAGATCTACTGCTTGAGGGAGCGCCTGGCGGCGGCGATCTTATTCAAGGTTTTCTTAAGATCCTCCTCCATCATAATCTTCATCATCATCTTCTTCTTCTTCTTCTTCTTCTTCTTTTGTCTGATCATTGTCTGTAATGGAGATGAGCAGGTGAAGTATCCCCGGGAGGCCCTCCCACCAGCTCTTGGGGCGTCGGTGCACTCCATCGCCTGCATCATGTCATGGGAAGGGGCTGTTGGGGCATCTGCTGGCGGTGCCGCCGAGTCCCCGGCAGGGAGGAGGGCAGCGGACAGCAGCACGGCGAGCTTCCTCAGGTCCCTGATGGGTGGCAGCGGCGGTGGCGGTGGCAGTGGTAGTGGCAGTGGCAGTGGCAGTGGCTCACGGTTCCGCAAGGCTCCGGGCAGCAGTGGTGGCAGTGGTGGTGGCTCACGGTTCCGCAAGGCTCCGGGCCACGGCGGCTTCTGGGCGGCGCCACCGCAGGGGCATCCTGCGGGAGAGTTCCCCTCAAAGAAGGGGTCTTCCAAGCGGCAGCGCGACAGCGGCACCGTCTGAATCCGACGTTGGCGGTGGAATCCGGCGGTGGAGGAGTCGCTGGGTTCTTCAGTCAGTTGGATCATCATCGTCCTCTTTGACCTGGTGTACAGAGAGAGAGAGAGAGAGAGAGAGAGAGAGAGAGATTATTTCGGTGTTGTGATTCACAGTGATTCAGAGAAGTGCAGCTAGCTGGTAGTCTCTGTGCTCGAGATCCCTCTTCTTTTAACTTCCTGTTAATGGAAAAACTCAGGGCTTTTTGACTAGACGATTGACTTCTAGCAGGCTCTCAGGGATCGGATAACCCGAACCAACCCATCCAGACCTCTCTCTCTCTCTCTCTATCTCTATCTCTATCTCTATCTCTATCTCTATCTCTACCCATGTGCTGTCGTGTCCATCCTTCAAATGGGTTCGTGCTATGGGGTCCATTCTTCACGCTTCTCTCTCTCTCCCTCTCTCCCTTTTCGGATTGGTGAAGACAGAATGGTGTTCGGCCGTCAAAATCCGGGCCGTACTTATTGTTTCGGGCTTTCCTGTCGTCAAACCGTGGCCCTCCCGTAATCGGCCCGGCCCGTCGCCATGAGTAAGAGAGACGGGGGGGTGGGGTGGGGGAGGTGAGAGGCGGGTCCGTCACTCGAGGTGTTTGAAATCTGCCCGCCCCTAATTCCAACGGATAATGCGATTGCCACGTGTCGCGTGCCCATGGGTCCACCCATTCCAGGTCCCTTTTATTGCGGAAACACGTGACACCGCGTCAAAGCGCCATCACATCCGGCTGCTGTCCCATACGTATCGATTTGTATCTAGCTCTCCGACTCCAGTCTACGTCATGGTAAATATGATGGTGATCACCTAAAGTCGTTCACCGTTGGACCGGTCCGTCTTCTCACAGCGTATGGTGGTGCGTCTCCTTTCCATAAACGGTAGTCATCGCGCTCTGGCGTCAGTTGCAACCACGAGCGTGCTGACGTAGGCCGGAATCGTTCAACTCGCGGATTAAAAAAAAGCGGCGGCGGTTTCATTAAAAAAATTAAATAGAATATTAAACACTACTTAGATGCCATTTTCTAATTAATGCATCTAAAATAATTAATTATCATTTAAATTTAAATTAAAAGGGAAAAAATTAACACAGCCTGTTGTTGTGGTAGATGCGAGAGAAGCCAACATGGATGGCGGAGATTTCTCTCATTTAATGGGATTATTTTCACGGCCCAGAAAAAACTAACGGGCCCGGCCCGTTGCTGACTTTCCAAATCAGGTAGCCGCCACAAAATCTGAGACGGGGAGCAGATTCCAAGAAAAGTAATCACCACAACCGCGCGACATGCTTGTCTCCATTAGGCAGGGACTCATTAATAAATTATCTTTGACAAGGGGTAATTTATAACTTTCCAAAGTAAGCAGAAAATCCTCTTATGAAGAAACCTCCACGAAGCTCTCTCTTCTGCATCTCATGCACTGGTCGTCATGGAGGACGTCAGCGAAGGCGACCGGGGCAGCTGACGACGCCTATCTGCGTCATTGCAGGACTTCACAGCCCCTTCTTCTGCTCCCGCCATCGCCATCACCGCCACCTACTTGGCTAAATTACCCCCTCACAGCTAGCTCTAGAGAGAGAGAGGGGGGGGGGGGTGGGGGGGGAAAGCTGCGATTTTTACCTAGGCGCTCTGGTGTGCTTTCGCGCCCCCACCGACTTGACCCCTCTGGCTGCCCCACTCTCTCGGTGCTTTGATTACAGAACCCGGATCTTCTTCTTCTTCTTCTGATCTGTATTTTCGGCGTATCTTGGTCTCCAGGGTTGAGGTCCTTTGCTACATTTTTTATCTTCCTGGTCGTGGAGGTCCCTGGTTTTGATCTCCGATTGGGTTTGGGCGGAATCTTGCCTAGAGGAGAAAGGTTCTTGATTAAATCCCCATTGGGGAAGACAGGTTCTCGTGTACTTGAGGGCCGCCGCCGCTTTTTATCCTGTTCACTATCTTCGCCGGCCCCTCTCTGGTCGTCCTCAGTGATTTCTAGGTTTTTCTGTTTTCAGTTCTTCCTCTTCCCTGCGTCGTCCTCGATTTCAGAGCTTTGATCGGAAATGATCACAGGCAGCCGAAGGTTCCGATCTCTGGCCAGGCGGAAATCACCTAATCCGGTCTCTCCTGATATAATTTCTTAGCGTGAATCAGTTCCTCCCCCCGGGATCCTTCCAGCAGTCGAGAGAACGAACTCATCATGGCAGCCAACCTTTCTGAGCCTTCCTCCTCCCTCAGCTTCACCTCCTCGTACATCTCCAATGGCGCCAGCGCCCATCCGACGAGCCCCTTCGCCAGCGCCGAGCCGAGGAGCAGCCTGGAGATCGTCAGCCTGAGCAAGCTCAGCAGCAACCTCGAACGCCTACTCGTCAGCAAAGAGTTCGACTGCAGCGATGCGGAGATCGTCGTGGAGGGGGAGGCCGTCCCCGTCCACCGATGCATCCTCTCCGCCAGGAGTAGATTCTTCTTCGACCTCTTCTCCAAGGGCGGCGCCGCCGCCGCAGACGGCGGCGCTGCGGCGGCAGAAGGGAAGCCTCGGTACCACATGAGCGATCTGGTTCCTCAGGGCAACGTCGGAGTCGAAGCCTTCAAGATCTTCCTGGGATATCTGTACACGGGGAAGCTGAAGCCATCTCCCCCGGAGGTCTCGACCTGCGCCCATGGAGAGTGTGCTCACGACGCCTGCGGCCCCGCCATTAATTTCGCTGTGGAGCTGATGTATGCATCTTCCGTGTTCCAGATCCCAGAGCTCATCTCCCTCCTCCAGGTTCGCTCGCTAACCCTAATCGCAATTCAGACCCATTTCTCTGGTTTTCCACTCTCTTCTCGCCAGATTTGGTACTCATCTCTTCTTTCATTTTCCTGGAGAAATTCAAGGTTCTAGTTCTACCTTCTTAAACTTGATGGATTGCGGCAGATTTATGATTATAAGCCTCATTACCCTTGATTTTTTTTTGTGAAATCTATAAAATAGCTAAGCTTTGGGTGCAAAGGGGATCTTCTACCCATTTGGGGAAAAAATTATCCATGAATCAAATCATGCCTGCAAGTGTTCATTCACTGGTTTATGCATGCTGATATCGCTTAACCCTGCTCATGTTAATTATCACATCCATGGGCATTGTTCATATCAATCATCGTAGTGCGGATGATAGAGATATATCTATTCCTGTTCATATTTCCAAGAATATAAATAATGATAATCCCATGGGTAGAGATTATTTATGATAATTATCACACAAAGGCCTCTTTTTGACTGCTTAGATCCGTCCTCCCCCTCATATGTTATCTTTTGATCTAAATCTGCAATGGCCGCTCCCTCTCTTCAGCGCCGCCTCACAAACTTCATTGAGAAGGCGCTGGTAGAGGACGTCATCCCGATCCTCCTGGTCGCCTACCACTGCGGGCTGAGCCTGCTGCAGAAGCACTGCATACAGCGGGTGTCCCGCTCCGACCTCGAGAGCACCGCCCTCGTAAAGGAGCTCCCCGCCGAGGCTGTGGAGGAGATCAGGCTCCTCCGCGACCCTCCGCCGCCCGACAATGGACCGTGCCGCCCGACACCTGGTGGCACCACCACTTCCCGGGAGAAGACGATCCAGAGGATCTATCGGGCGCTGGACTCGGACGACGTAGAACTGCTGCTGATGCTCCTGCAGGAATCGGGCTCCACGCTGGACGACGCCAACGCGCTCCACTATGCTGTTGCTTATTGTGACTCCAAGGTGATCAAGGAGATCCTGCCGCTGGAGGGGGTCGATGTGAATTTGAAGAACAGCAGGGGGTACACGCCGCTGCACTTGGCGGCGAGGCGGCGGGATCCGGCGATCATCGTGTCCTTGCTTGAGAAGGGTGCGTCGGCACTGATCGTGGCAGATGACGGGCAGACGGCGGTGACCATCTGCCGGCGGCTGACACGGGCCAAGGACTACAATTCAAAGACGGGGCACGGGCAGGAGACAAACAAGGACCGCCTGTGCATCGAGGTTTTGGAGCGGGAGCTCAAGAGGAACCCCATGGCCAGGGGGGAGGAGCTCGTGATGTCGCCAATCGTGCCCGATGATCTCCACATGAAACTACTGTACCTGGAGAACAGAGGTTCATTTCTTTTTCTTTTTCTTTTTCTTTTCCTCTTATAGGAAATTTTTACTAATTCTGCTCTGATGCTACGATCGTCCATCTTCTTCAGTCGCATTTGCAAGGCTGTTCTTCCCGATGGAGGCGAAGGTGGCCATGGAGATTGCCCAGGCGGAGCGAACCTTTGAATTCGCGGGCCTCTCTGCATCGAGAGGATCATCGAACAACCTAAATAACGTCGATCTCAACGAGACCCCCATAATGCTGAAGGAGAGGCTGCAGACCCGGATGGAGGCTCTGCGTAGAACAGGTCCCTTCCATCGTCATCATCATCATCATCATCATCATCATCATCATCATCATCATCATAAAGTTTCTCCTTTTTTTTTTAGCATTATTATCATTGTTCTTAATGCTTGATTTTCTTGGGCAGTGGAGCTGGGGAAGCGCTATTTTCCGAATTGCTCACAGGTTGTGGACAAGTTCATGGACGACGACATCCAGGACTTGCTTGCCCTGGAGAAGGGCCCCCCGGACGACAAGAACCTGAAGAGGATGAGGTTCATGGAGCTAAAGGAAGACGTCCGCAAGGCATTCACCAAGGACAAGGCCGAGAGCAGCCGATCAGGTATCTCTTCTTCTTCATCCTCTTCCTCCTCGCAGAGGGCAGAGAGGAAATCCAGCAGGGGAGTCAGGAGTTGACTCCCCCGCCGCCACCCCCACTGCCGCCCGCAGCGGCGGCAAGTCGGGTGGATAACGCGGCAGGCGACTTCGGGGCCATCGTCGAGAGCTGACTTCCAATGGAAAGACTGCTTTTTTTTTTTTCCCAAATGGGCAGCTTGGCCAGCCCAGAAAACCCCCCTTCACCTGTACATTCTGCGCTGTTTGACTGAGATCTGGAGGCTTTTCTCGACAGGATTTTTTTATTACTTATTCCTAGCCTTTTGGTCTCCATGCTGAGCAAGAAGGCTGTTACTTATACCAGTTACGGTCTTTGGGCATATGGCCCTTCTGTTTTGGCGTTGACCTTGGAATCACCCTTGATTCATGTACGAGAAACTCCTTTGGGGTTCTAGTCAACGGGGGCAGGGCAAGGTTTGGAATGCTCTCCGGGCCCCAAAATGCAGCATAATTCCTTTCCCCTCTGACATAAATAAGAACCCAAGTTTGAAGGCTTTCTTTTAGCTACTTTGGCCTTAAAATTCAAACCTATTGGACCACCAAAAGTCAAACATGTTAGATGACTAAAAATTCTCAACTTATCCTTCCAAAAGTCAGCTTTATCCTCAACTTGAATTAGTCACCTTCTCCTGCACTTCCCGGCTGCAGCCTTTTTCAACCTTACGAAATTCATTTTGACTCTTTGGCGTTGACTTCGACTCGGGGCCCTTCTAGAATGAATCCCACGTGTCAGCTTGGGTTGCCGGGCCTAGAACTGTAGTATCAGGCCACTGCAGGTCTACAAGTCGAGGACGTTCCTTCTCGAAATGGGCCCCACATCCCCATTAACGGGTCTCTGTTTTCACTCTCAGGCTTTGAATCTATTTTTTGGGCTTTTCTCTGGAGTCAAAACGGGCCGGGCTTTACAGAGCGTCCTGTCCTTGGTCGACTAAATCAGGCTTTTCATTGGGCCCCGACTGGGCCGTAATTCTTAACGGATCTAGTTATTAGTCTACTTTACGGGCTTTTTTTGGGCATTCCAATAGGCAACAATTGGGCCAAACTTCATATGGGTGCAATTATTCTTTGGGCTTTTCTACAGACTATTGGACCGGTCTTTTCGCAAGTCTAGTCTACTTTTCCTGGCGCAAATCTTAACTTTCCGGCTTCCGGGTCAAAATCGGGTCGGGCTTCGTTAGTCCACGTACGGCTAGCCGCCTCAGCAGCGCGGGAAAATTGACCAGTGGCCGCCCTCTGCGGTCCTCGCTAGCCTAGGGGGTCTGATTTTCCTCTCTCTTTCTCTCTATCTCTCTCTCTCTCTCTCTCTCTCTCTCTCTCTCTCTCTCTCTCTCTCTCTCTCTCTCTCTCTCTCTCTCTATCTCTCTCTATCTCTCTCTATCTCGCTCTCTCTATCTTTCTTTCTCTCTTTCTCTCTGCTGGATTATATAAATCATGCCTGCCACTGCGCTGAGAGGAGGTGAAGGGGAGGCGGAAAACGTGGAGACTTCTGGTTCGCCGTAGCGGAGGTACGTCGATGTCTCCTCCTACTTCTTCAACTTCTCTGCTCCTCCGGTTGATCCCATTCTGCTAGTCGGAGCTGGAAAATGATGGCGAGTGGTCGCTGGATATCTCGGATTCTCGGTTTTTCTCGCCGCACCTTGCGAATCATTCGCTGGAGTGGTTCGAGGAGCGGTTTCGCCGTTGCAGATCGTCCGAGGATGGTGAGGCTCTCTCGCCCGTCGCTTCGATCATCCGCCGCTGAGGAGTTAGTAGAGCTGATCTTTGGATTCAATGCGAAGGGGGAGTGACGCTCTGAATCCATCGGCGACGATTTCCGTGTTAGATTTTGAGTGCACTTGGCCGGATTTTTGTGTCAAATTGTCTATCCGACGCCGAATCTTCCTCTTGCTCTTCCCCCTCCTCATCCGCCTTCTCCAACTCTCCGCGATGATCAATCATCTCCTGAATTCCCCTGCAGATATTGACAAGATTCTGAAATCGTTGATCGGCGACGAACAAATCGGTGAGGAACTTGAACTAACCAAACAGATCGGATTTCTCTGCAACTCGATTGATAATCAGAAGGTGAACCAGTCCTAGAGACTGGATCCCTTCATATTTCCCGCCTATTTCATCCAAATTGACATCAACCAGAGCACGCCTTACATATTTCGCCAAAATCAGCGTTCTGCCGACGAACAGATTGGTGAGGAACTTGAACTAATCAAATAGATCGAGTTTCTCTGCCTCTCGATTGATAATCGAAAGGTGAACCAGTCCTAGGGACTGGATCCCTCATATTTCCCGCCTATTTCATCCAAATCGATATCAACCAGAGCACGCCTCACATATTTCGCGAAAATTAGGTTTCTGCCGAGGAATCATGTCTGAGCAAGCAAGCCGAGTCTTGGATCAGAGTTCTTCTTCATTTGCTGTGATCATCTCACTACGTTCCTCTCCCTTTTTTTCTGATCATAATATCGTATTAATGAGAATATAACAGGAGTGAAATCACAGCCAAGAGGATAGCCGTGGTGGACCGGTCAACCAGCTCGGTGGTGGGCCCCGCTATCGTGAGATTCCTGGGAGACGACGAAGGGGCTGGTGGCTTCCCTACGGTTGGCCCCATCCCAGGATAATAATTTCCAATTTTAGAAAAATATTTTTTATGGGATTTAATTAGATACATTTATAGAATAAATCGTTTATTTCGGATCGGATGTTAACGCCGTGAGAGGATCCGCTTGGCGGTTATTATTCCTCTGCGTCACCGACCGTGGGAGGCGTCTCAGTTCCGGCTGTGATTCCTTCCGGTTGGAGACGAGAAGATGTGGGAGCCCAACTCACGTCGTCCTTTTCTTCTTCCCCAATTCACTCCCATCGAATGCTGTTGGCATCCCATCGCCTCCATTCCAGCCCCGCCTGCCTTCCTTCCCGGAGTTTCCTGCACCAGTTCCCGTCGTCTCACCCGGTCGGGCAAGGTGACACGCTTTCCCTGCTTGCCGTCCCCGTCCTCCTCTCTGTCACCATCTCTATCTCTGCTTCGATGTCCTTTTTCCGATTTCCGTATTCAAGTTGCCGTCTCTTATGCCTTGTGATAATTCTGTGGTTCATGACTATTGGCTGGCGAGTTCCGTAATTTAATGCAAGACAGGGGACTGTGACATGGATCGTTGGTCTTCTTTCTGTTGCGGCTTCTCTCTTTCGAACCGTAGGAAAAATGGGTTTATCCCTGTTCTATAGGAAAGCACGCTCTGTGTGTGGTGAGTATTCTGTGCTTTATTTTTGTATTTTTGTTCCGTGAGGGTCATCGGACCTCTCCCCTCCTGGCGAGTATCGTGAATCATACTGTAATCTGTCCTTCGTATTGATTTTTCTTTTGTCGTTTTATCTTCCGATGCTATTGGCCTTATTTCCTTCGGCTTTATCTGCTTGGGCGGTGGATTGTTTGATCTCAATTATTGAACATCTTTCTTTTCCCTCGTTTGCCATATCCAATTCAATTTAATGTGTTCTTTCAATCGGACGCAGACAACGATGAGTTTTTTCTTGGGGCTCAAGTGGGAAGACGTTGCTAATAGCATTTTTCCCAGCTCTGGATGTCGTCCCCATATTTTATTTGCCCCGACCCTTTAGACCTTCAGAAACCGAGCTCGTTTTCAAACCATAATGGAGGAATCTCTTTGTGAACGAGGCTTGGAGAGGGCTGACGTTGATTCTTCACTTGATACCCCATCATGGTGCTGCTGTAGAGAAGTGGCTGCTACGAAGGACATGTAATTGTACTTTCTGAGAGTTTCTTGTCCATCATGGAGTTGGAGTTATGAACTGAGGCAAGAGAGGGTTCATTCTAATTCATTTAGGGGGAACCCGTTTGATAGTTCCATGGCGTAGTTGCCTCTTTCAAGGATTATAGTTGCCATGGTTGGAGCCTGTGCGTGCTATTGATTTTCGATCATCAGTTAGGTGAGAGCTTCTGGAATTATCCTTGCATCGGATAGTTTTCTGGTCCTCATCAGGTTATCTCATAATGGCATTCTGGGATGCATGGGTTGAAGTACTCGTACTCCTGCACATTTATTTCTCGTGATTTTATTTTATTTTTTCATTCCATGAATACAGAATTATTTTCAAAAGAATTTCCCTTTAAATGGGAATTTTTCAGGTTTTTGGTTCTGTAGTAAAATTGCCCGTGAGTTCTATGTTCATGGTCGAACGAGAAAGAAGCATGAAAAGAGATAAAAGCTTCGTATGGTTGCAACTGAGGAGAACTTCGGGGGATTCCCTTTGGATTTTATTTTTCTTTTGACTTTCTTAGTCTTCTTCATTCATTCTTTTCACAAAAGGGAAATGATTGAAGTCTTATGGGGGTTTATAAGGTCTTCATGAAAGATGAGTTTACTAACTCATTATGATCCCAGAGTTAGTACATGTTTTTTTCTTGTGATGGGAGTGTGGTTCATTGACCCAAAAATGGCATAAATGAGATCCATATTTGGCGGGGATACATCCTCGTTAACCGTAATGTGGTCAGATATGTTGGATGAAAACTTGGTCAACTTGGTTGATTTTGACATTACCCATCTAGTTTTGTATCCACTTTCATCCTCATATTCTGCAAAGTTCTTCATTTCATTTACCATTGTTGCAAATATATTGATATTGGTTCAGGCTGGAAACCATGATGCAGGCCTCTGAATATTCAACTATGACAATCAAGTCATATAGTTATGAGGCTGAGGCACTTGTGAAAGAGTATCTGCTTGCAGAGTCATTTGTGCCTTACATTTCTGTCCTCGGAGGCATTGCCATGTGCAAAATGGTATCCCCTTCCTTCTTTTCATCAGAATTGACATCTATTTCATGTTCTTTCCGAAACAAAGCCATCATCATACGCATTTAAGGGATACCCATGTCGGTGGTGTAATTTTATTAACTATATATATATATATTTAATCTTATTTTTGTTTCTTTCATAATATTCTCCTCAGACCGTCTTCTGAATGCTGGCGATCACTCTTTTTTTTTTTTTTTTTACTATTTATGAAGCTCTCAATTTTTCCGTGTATTGGTGGTCTGCAGAGCAATGAAATATTAAATTCTCTCTAATTCTTGCGACCAAAGTAATTTTCCATTATTTCCCATTATCTGAAATCCCATTTCTAGAATAATACACTTTTTTTTTTTGGCATTTCCACCAGAATACTTCCAACATAGAAAAGAATATGCCCCTTCTAGTCTTCATATCCTCTCACCACCGATCTAAAAAAAACTATGTTATATTTCTGCATCAGGCAGCATCACAAGAGATGATGATCCATTTCTTATACCAGAACATCCCATCATCTCCATCTCATCATATTTACTATTTATAGAAACATTGCGGAGTCAACGACATTTAGCACTCTGTTTAATGGAGGACGAAGAACTGCTTGTAATCACCATCATGATCCGGAAGAGATTGAAGAATTTCCTAGGAATCCTGCGAGATCAATTCTTTCTTTCTTCTGGGTTCGAATCCTACCGAGTTTTCCACAAGAGATCAGAATCTTTTTTTAAGAAAAAAAAATGGATATTTGATCTTGCGATTTTATTTTGTTGTTGTTGTTGTTGTTGTTGTTGTTGTTGTTGTCCTCAAGACGAATCTTTTTCAGTGAAATGGATCCTTTACCATGTTCTTCTGTGTCCATACTTCCTCAGGCATACGACATCACCCACTGGTTCAGCTCACAGTACATCGATGGCTATCGCTCTCTCACCAAGGTTCAGCGCATCGAGTGGAACAACAGGTTGGTGCTTCTTTGTATGGCTCTTGTGCTCTCATGCCTCGTGATCTCCGGCGCCATCTCCCGCACATTTCTTCAACATCTCGCAGAGGAATGTCCAGCGCCCACGCGATCTACATCACGGTCATGTCTCTGTTCCTGGTCTTCTACTCGGATCTCTTCTCTGATGATGCTCCGGGGGGGCCCACTGTTTTCAGAAGTTCACCGCTCTCCATTTTCACACTCGGGGTAATTCATTTTTCTCATTATGATAAATATAACCATAGAGATCATTAAAAAATGATCCATAGAATCTAATCGTCCATTTTGATTCCGGATTACTTATCGTAGCAATAATCCTGTGATTTTGTAAAGATGGGTCACCAAGAAGAAGGAGAAAATAAAAGTTGGATTTCATAATCGGTGTATATGTTTCTGGCAGGTTTCAGTGGGGTATTTCATCACGGACCTTGCAATGATCTTCTGGTCATATCCTTCTCTTGGAGGCATGGAATATGTAAGCTCTCTCTCCCTCTCTATCTCTCTATCTATCTATATATATATATATATATCTGTCTCTGGCTCTCTCTCTCTCTCTCTCTCTCTCTCTATCTATCTCTCTCTCTCTCTATATATATATATATATGTCTCTGGCTCTCTGGCTGTCTGTCTGTCTGTCTCTGTCTGTCTGTCTGTCTGTCTGTCTGTCTCTCTCTCTCTCTCTCTCTCTCTCTCTCTCTCTCTCTCTCTCTCTCTCTCTCTCTCTCTCTCTCTCTCTCTCTCTCTCTATCTATCTATCTCTCTCTTTCTCTCCTGTATGTGTATATATATTGTTTTTTGGGTAATTAATTAACTTGATTCAATGGCATGTAGCCCCGTTGGTGCAATTTGATTCCAAGTTCCTTCCCCTCTTGGGAGTCTGACTTTACCGAATCTGGAATCGTTGACAGGTTTCCCACCATCTCCTTTCGGTCTTCGCCATATCCTACGCCATTCTTTCCGGGGAAGGCCAGCTGTACACGTTCCTGTGCCTCATTTCCGAGACGACCACCCCCGGCGTCAATCTGAGATGGTAAAAATAAGCCCATCTTATTATTATTATTATTATTATTATTATTATTATTATCATCATCATCTACCCCGTTGACTGAGTCCGGATTCGCCTATGATACGAAGGTTTCTTGACGTTACTGGGATGAAGAGAACCAAGACGTACATCGTCAATGGAGTCGTGATGTTCTTCTCCTGGGTGGTGAGCTTTTGATTCTTGGATGGATCATATCCAGAATTGAATGTGCTTCTGATGATCACGATTGTGGGAGGGGGGAAAAAGTAGAAAAAAAAATCCACGGGATTTATCCTTAAATGAATGAATAAATAGATATGGCAACATCTTGGGATATTAATCTATATATATATATATATATATATATATATTAATATCGTGGTTTCCCAGTTGGATTTTTCACGCTTGTGAGATGAAATGATTGATTTTTTACCTGATATGGCAGGTTGCGAGGTTGCTGCTGTTCATGTTCCTGTTTTATCATCTCTACTGCCACTATGAGCAGGTGAGAAAGGCCCTCTATTTTCCAAAGTCAACTCATCCTTGCCAGAGAGGAGACCCCCCACTTGTAGCCATCCCGGTGGCCCTAGGATTCTCCTTCTCCCCTCTCCTGGACTTTGACTTTGAGTTCAAGTTTGAAGTCCATACACCAATTACTCACCTTGACCTTTTGACTTTCGGCTCTTGAGTTTGACTCTTGAGTTCCAAGGAAGAATTATCCCTCACCACTGTTAAAGTCCGCACACTGATTATTCTCCTTGGACTTTACCACTAATAAAGTTCACACACCGAACTCAACACTCCCCTGCAGGTGAAGCAGATGGACAGCTTCGCGTACGTGATCGTGTTCTCCGTGCCGTCCGTGCTGGCCGTCATGAACGTCGTCTGGTTCGGGAAGATCCTCCGCGGCCTCCGGAGGACCCTCACCAAGAGTCAGTGAGCTCTCTCTCTCTCTCTCTCTCTCTCTCTCTCTCTCTCTCTCTCTGTCCCTCTCTCTCTCTCTCTCTACATATAATTATAGGCATACATGTATATGCGTGTGTGTGTATATATATATATACATGTATGAAGATCGAGTGGAAGAGGAAAGGGCGGGAGGAGCCATTCGAATGTATAGTATACTGGAATGAAAAGGAGGCTGGGGCTGTTGGGCGCGCGGTCTCTGGCTCTTGTGCAAAAATGGTGGGCCAATCTGGTGGTCAAGTGTCTTTTCCTTAACAATGCGTCCGAGCGCATTCCAAATTGGGCCCTCGGATGGAAAGTCAAACTGATCGACCCGGGTCTAGCCCTCTGCTCACCGGGGTCAATAGATGTAAAGGTCAACGGTGACAACTGCGGGTGGTAATTTATTACAAAGGTGCTCATAGGGTACAATGGACGGAGCCATGAGGTGCGGAGGGGGGGTGTTGGTGGTGGTCAAAGGAAGTATTGATGTATATGGTTTGAAAGAATAGATGTGGAGGGCAACGGGAGGAGGTGGAGAGGGAGACTAGGAGGAAGAGCAGCAAGAAGAAGGCCTTGGCATCGTGCTTGAAGGCGTCTGTAGGAGCAGGCTCGTCCCCGAAGGGTTTCCTGCTGGTTGAGCCTCGATGAGCCTCTTCGCTGCAATCATCAAAGAATGCATGGATACGTGAGTGAGTGAGTGAGTGAGTGAGTTAGTGAGAGAGATATTGGCTTTGGGCTTCTCAGGTGGGGGTCTATTTTTCTGCTGCAGAGCTTGATTTTGAGGATCCGAGTCAGGGAAATAAATAAATAAATAAATAAATAAATAATAAAACGACGATTGACCCCGCCTCGAGGACAGTGGCCATGGGATTCTCATTATTCCTCATTATGACCAACGAGATGTACGTGGGAAACGATATCGCCGCCAGGTGTGCGGCGAAACGCACGTGGTAAATGTGTTCAAGACCAGTCATCGATGGAACACAGAGAAGATGAGGGGTCGTACCAATCTGAGAGAACATCTCGCTCACGTTCGTCGCCAGCTTGGCCGAAGTCTCCATGAAGAGCAGTCCATTATCCTGGGCATATCTTCGAGCCTCCTGTTCGTCGACAAAATGAGACCAAAAAGTCAACGAGAGGCAGATTCACGTCCGATCAAAATGTCGAATACAACGGGTAGTACAACATATTTAGGCTGATTTCAAGCCCGATTATTTGACCAATTGACTGATTCATTACCAATTTTAGGATATCATGGATAAAAAAAAATAAAAAATAAAATAATGCAGAACTTAATGCTGGGGGGATCTGCATCCGCTCTTGATCGAGAGATCTATTTTCGTGGGCAGCTCAAACACCTTTATTTGGAAAAGTCAACGCCCATGAATCCCCAACAGGTACTCACCTCTGCCGAGACCTTCCTCGAATCTATTAAGTCAGCTTTGTTTCCAGCGAGAGCCACAACTGTGCCGGAGCTTCCTATAAAACGGGGGGGAAAAAAAGAAAGAAAGAAGCATTAAATCTTAAAGCGTTGACTTTCGGATATCATTTAAGCACGGTCCAAAATTAGGTTTCGAACTGTCAACCCCCACGAAGAAAAGTTAAAGCTGAACTGGAGGAAAAAAAAGGAAAACATCGGATCTACCGTGTGCTTGAAGCTCTTGAACCCACTTTTTTGCCCGATCAAATGATGCCTGCAGGGGAAATAAATAGATAAATAAATAAATAAATAACTTCACGTCAGACTTTTAGCAGATCCTTTCAAAGTTACCCGATTTTCTAAAAACGTTGAACGCAAGGACGAATACTCCGGAAGACAAACAGGTAAACGTCAACTCCAAAAGTCAACGAAACAAATGAAAAAAATAAATAAATAAAAATACCACCCACATCATAAAATCATAAAATCCTTTTCAACACAAATTGGGTTCGACACATTAAAAAAAAAAGGGCTGATCTTTCATAGAACGATGAATGGCATTCGAAGAATGATATGGAAGAAAATCTTCCACAGAAAAGTTGGGCAGGAAAATAATTAAAAAAATGTGAAAATTTGATCATCGGGGCTAAAAATCTGACAAGTTTTTCTTCCGGAGGTGAAAATGCAGAAAATAATTAATGAACAAACTCCGTGCAGCTCCTAAGGAAAGAAATTTTGGGCAGGAAAATAATTTATGTGACAATTTGGTCATCGGAGATAAACATCCAACAAGTTCTTCATACAGAAGAAAAAAATACAGAAAATAATTAATGAACAATCTCCATGCAGCTCCACCACACAATCATAGGGGAAGCGCATCAAGGGAACCAAAGCTGGGCAGAAAAATAATTAATGTGACAATTTGGTCGTCGAAGTGAAGCATCCAACAAGTTTTCCTTAAAGAGGTAAAAAACCAGAAACGACACCTTGAAATTCATTACAAAAAAAAAAAGGAGGGTTGAATAATGACTGGATTATTTTCCCTAAAGGGGAAAAAAAAAGCATGTCACTAGTCACATAGTCGAAGCTGCCCTCGAGCATAATACTAGAAATAGCCACCGAAAAAATACTTCGTTGGACTCACATTTGAAGTAGCCCACATACTAAAAGCTCCCGATAGCCTCAAACCCTAAAGCAAACCACTCTGTGTGGCCCTACAACCCCAAGACTTCACCAAGAACAAAATTGTCTACTCAGAGAAATCTTCAACAAGTCCAATTCCGTATCTTATTTGACTAGCAAGGGCGTTGATTTCAGTCTAGATCATCAAGAAAGCTTAGAAATCCAGATAAGATAAGCATTGACTTATTGATGGATGAAATGCAGTGATTCTTTATTCTCAGAGCATGTGCTCTTTCCTCTATAAAAAAAAACTAATAGAGGAGGAGATCAGGAGTTTGATCTAACTGCTTCCAGGTTTCATGAATTTGAGGTATATACCAAGCCTAAACTTTGTATAATGTAAGTCCTGATATCATGTTTACGCCTGAGAAATATAGCAAGACTGATTCCACACCTTGAAAAATATTTGGCCTACAGACCTGGTTTGTTATATCATATGCAACGATTGCTGCTGCAGCTCCTCTGTAGTACATGGGCGCCAAGCTATGATATCTTTCCTGCCCTGCCGTATCCCAAATATCAAACTTAACAGACGCATCATCAACAGTCAACGTCTGCGAGAAAAAAGCGGCTCCAATTGTTGATTCCTGCAGCAACAGATATAAGAAAGTCAATTTGGAAAATCTATCGCATAACACAGATTACACCAGGAAGAATAGGCGCAACCTGGAAGTCAATGAACTGGTTCTTTACGAAACGTAAGACTATACTGGATTTTCCAGTTCCAGCGTCTCCGAGAAGGACCTGAATCAAGAAAAAATAAGAAATAAACAGATAAATCCACATAAATTAGAACAGAAATTAAAGGATCCCGAACAAGATGCACCTAGAAACCAGGATTTTGCGCGTCATAGTAATCATAGGTTCAAATGTCACGAATTTTTGGCAATCACAATCAGATATATTCTCATATGAAACGCAAAAAATATAAATTAATATCAAATATTGACGTCAAAACACCATATGAAGAAAAATGCGCCCCCTCGAAGCTGCTGCTTGGATGCCGATAGAGATTAAAAGAGAACAACCGCAAGAGAATAGCTGGTTCGCATAATCCACGGAAATTGATATTACTTGGAAGGGGGGCAATAAGTAAAAAATAGACGCAAAAAATAGGGGAAAAAAATTCAGACAGGCGAAAGATGAAACTGCCCGTTTTACAATTCAAACAAAGAGGAAATAGGAAAAGAGAAGGCAAGAAAACTCGTATAAATGCTACGAAGAGGCTGACCAGTTTCGCGTTGCTGCTCTTCCCTCCAGCCGTACTCGCCATTTCACGGAGCATGAGAGATTTCAAAATCAGAGGTCCACGTTCACATTTTATACTGAAAAGAGAGAGAGAGAGAGAGAGAGAGAGGGTATGCTGAAGAGATATGGTCCACTGTCCCTTAGGAACTCAACACTTTAATCCTAGTCGACGACCTAGCACATCAATGGCGACGTCATTCTCCATTTCTGTGACCAATGGCTTTAGGGTGACGTGGACGAACAGGACTTTCCTTCGCGGCGACGTATCCACGCGCAGTGCCGTCCGTTCATCAAACATGTGGGGCCGTCTTCCAGAAGGGTTTTGAATTTTCTGCGGGACCCACATTAAGAAACACGTTTTTAAGCCATAACTATGAGATATTTGCTCTCAAGTCCTTAACATATTTTTCATCTAGCGAACGACCCTATCTTTTAAGTTTAATTGACATTAAACTTATCTCGTTTAACGAAAAAAATATCACACATTTTATGACATTAAATGTCAAATATTTAAATTATTTTTTTAATTAAATACTTTTGTGACGACCCAAAGATATTTTAAAAGTGATCTCAATATATTTAATTGCCCAATATAAAAGAGGCTTCACCAATATATTTCATCTCAAAAAATCTGAATAAAAATTTTTTCATTTCACATATTAATAAATTTATATCATTGTTACCAAGTAAAATATCATCAACATATAAAAGTGAGCTTACTATTTATAGAAAGATACAACAAGAGAGAGAATAATTATTCAAAGTATGTTCTTTTCTTAATCTAGTAGTCTGGTAGCATGTGGGCCTAGACTAAATGAAGATCAGCCTAAGCTAAAGAGATCTTTATTTTCTTTCTCCCTAAGTATATTTTATGACCCATTCGCACCATGCGAGAAATCATTCTCCTTGTTACAATGTTTTTTCAATTAGACATCATCACTATCATGAAGGTCACTCTCTCTCTCTCTCTCTCTCTCCTCACAGAGATGCTAGAATTTGAGCTCCACCATGTTTGCAATCGTCCTCGAATTAGATGCTCCACCATGCGAGATGCTCGAATTATATGTATATACATCTTTAGGGGAGTGAGTCAACAAAAATTCTTTTATAAGTTGTATATATCTCTCTAGACTTTATAAATAGAGGCTGGCTTCATATATCTTAAGAATATAAAAATAGTAATAATTATATTTCAATAGTAAGGTAGTAAAAATAAATATCTTACTAAAATATTTCGATTGTATCATATAATTATTTCATCAATGTCACTATTGAGAAACACAATATATATTATCTCTTTGATTTAACTCAAGATGAAAATCAATTACTAAGATTCTTCTTCTAAAAAAGTCTTTGACTAAAATAAAAAATAAAATCTATTTATAGTCAATGTCTTTTCTTTCAATAAATTCTTCTACAACAAGATAAGTCTCATAGCTCTCCCCATCACCTTTCAAATTCCTCTTGGTTTTAAATATGCTATAATCATTTGAAATCACATTTCTCCTATCTCATCTAGATCTGTTTAAGATTTATGAGTTTGTTCTTATGAAATATATTTTGATATAAAATTATTTTTTGAAAAATGTTAGCAAATATTATTTTTATCTCAATCATTGTGATCAATAAACAAAAGAATGTGTACATATTTATCTTTATAAATAGTATTATAATCTTATCTCTCACTATAAACTCAACGTCATCAAATAACGAAGTGTTTTCTATCTCAAAAATAAAATTACTAGTAAGATTATAAAATTAATAATTATAGAGTCATGTTTTCTAAAAGGTTTGTAAAGCTTAACTACTTCTATCAGATAATCCCAAATATATATAAAATAAGTTTTTTATATGTCCAAAACTCATTAGAGATTTTTTATACTTCTTTTTAAAATTTTCCTTTTAAGATAGATTGACTAATTATACTCTTTACCATATCATTAAGTGTTTTATTTCACCACTTGTAAATATTTTTGTACTAAGAGATCCTTACCTAATATTATATAAATTTCATGAAAGACCTTAAGTTTTTTTCACTTGATGCATCATAACTACTATAATATTCATCACCATAATCTGATTTGACATAACTCAATTATTTGACACCCTTTCAGTCTCTGTAGATAAACTTTGTAGAGGTTATCCATTGTTTATTAGCCTATGTATAGAACTTGTCCATCACAAGCACACACGATAAGCTACAGCCTGTTTTGAGTATATTTCATGACCATGCTAATCTTTGTATGACATGCAAATCTCTATACCACAAGCGAGTGAAACACCTCATACTAGATGCTTTCAATATTATTATATTTTCAATATACATACATACAATGGATAATTCTAATACATGGAATATTTGCAGTTGTGTTGAACAATTGGAGGTGAGATAGATTAAATTAAGATCCATGGTAAATGTACAAAAAAAATAAATTATTTTAGGAGATTTCCTTGAATCAGTTATTACACCACAATTAAATGACTTTCATTATTAGTAATTATATCTTTTACCTAGGTTCAATTGCATAATTTGTATTTTATTATTCTTAGATTTTACAAGCCTTCAACAAATTCTTGATGCACAGAGGCAAGGCTCCTTGGAGAATTTGGAATAATAATAATTTTTACCTTATTTTTTAAATAAATGTTTTTTAATTACTGATGCTTAAAGTTCCTGAGATTGATGAGGTTGATAGCAATGTTACATAAAAATTGTCCTCGCTTGTTCTCTAAAGCTAATATTTTCTGACTTGGCCAGCCAAGTCAACATGATTTCTCTCGAATCAAAGTAATAAATAAAAAGGGTTTCAATTAAAATTTGAGAAAATAAAAAATTATCAATTAAAAATGACCGGCAGTGGGCTTTACCAATGCGCCAACATGGGCCGAAACCGGAAGCAGCAGCCCAAACATGAACCACCATCTTGACCGGTCCATGACAACTCCCCATGTCTTTTATTTTCGGCGTTTCCAGAAACCACCATCTTCTATTTTCCCGCACTCCTCCCTCGCGACCTCCTTCCCGCTGTCCTCCCCTCAAGAGCCCCTTCTCCACTCCGTTCTCCCGCCAGATCCGCTCCTCCCTCCAGATCCCCTTCTTCCCTCTGTCCTTCCTCTCGCATCCGTGGAGCTCTCCCTGACCTGCCATGGCTGTCGCGGGCGTTCACCCTCCAAGGAGCCCGATCCACGACCGCCGTCTGCCCTGCTGTGGGACGGCGTCCAGAACGGCCGGTGTCGCTTCCCGGGAGAGCGTCTGCGGATTCTGGCTTCAAGGGAGGTGCGCTCGCCTTCCTTGTCCGTTCCTTCACTGCCGCGATCTCCAGCTGTTGGTCGTCGAGGAACAGCCCCTGAAGAGTCATCGTTATTCTCTGTCAAGAATGCCGAATGCCGCCACCCCCCTCCGCCGCTTCTCGATCTAATTCACCCGCCGCCGACGGCAGCCACCTCCAGAAGCGGACGAAGAACGGCGGTGGGCGTAGATCTTTTCAGCACCGAGCTTTTGAAAGTATTAGAAAAATCAGTAAGAAAAAAAGGTACCGCACGGCGGCGTGGTGACCTCTCTGCTCTGCTGGTTCGACAACCCGTTCTCCGTCTTGTTGGACGGGAACGTCAAGGTCTTGGCAGCGGTGGACAAGGAGGACGGGAGGCTCGAGCTTGAAGAGACCTACGCCAAAAGCGACGAGCTCTTCGCCGGCCTTGAGGACGGAACCATTCTCGCCTTGAAGGGCGTCCTCGAACCCGCCGGGGCGAGAATGGTTCCGTCCTCAAGGCCGGCGAAGAGCGCGTCGCTTGTGGTGGCAAGCGTGGAGACCTGACCGCTTGTCCCCGGTAAGACGAGGCCCCTTCGGGATCTCTTGGCTTCTACGTCTCCGCTCTTCGTCCGCTTCCGGAGGTGGCTGCCGTCGGAGGCGGGTGAATTAGATGGAGACGCGGCGGAGATGGGTGGCGGCATTCATATTTCTCCATACGAGGCTTCTTGGCGGAGAATGACGCTGACTCTTCGGGGGCTATTCCTCAACGCCCAACAGCTGGAATCTGCAGCAGGTCTTCCGGGCAGCGACAATCGCCGTTCTTGACGACAGCCCACAGCACGGCAGACGGCGGTCGTGGATCGGGCCCCTTGGACGACTTCCATGGCAGGTCAGGGAGAGCTCAACGGATGCGACAGATGCTGCTTTTGGAAACGCCGAAGTTAAAAAAGGTACGAGGAGCTGCCATGGGCCGGTCAGGATGGTGTTTCTTATTTGGGCTGTTGCTTCCGGTTCGGCCCATGTGGCATTGGAAAAATCTCACTGCCAGCCATTTTTAATTGATATTTTTTTATTTGCTCAAATTTTAATTGAAACCCTTTTTATTTATTACTTTGATTCGAGAGAAATCATGTTGACCTGGTTGGTCGAGTCAGAAAATTTTAGCTTTAGAGAACAAACAAAGGCAACTTTTATGTAATATTGGTGTCAATCTCATCAATCTTAGGAACTTTAAGCATTGGTCATTTACTTGCTAAAGCACGTAAAAAATTCTCAAGGAGCCATGCCTTATGCATCAAGAAATGCACATAAGTGATAGTATTTCTACCAAGGAAATGTATTTTACTGTGGTGTGATATATATTTTTTTTGTGGTGTGAATTTATGCAAGGCTATGTCCTAAAATAATTTATTTTTATTTTTTTGTTTAATGCTGTCATCACATTTAACCTTACACGAGTTCAAAATATTTAATGTATTAGCATTATCGGTTTATTTATGCATATTGAAAATATAATAATAGGAATTAACCATTTAAGCTGCTCACCATATTAGTAATCTAAACATCTAGTATGTGGCATTTCACTTGCTCGTGGTGTAGAGATTTTCATGTCATAGGAAGATCACCATGGTCATCAGATGTACCCAGAAGAGGCGTTAGCTTGTCATGCATGCTGTTGATGGCTGAGTTCTATGCATAGGATGCAACCCACTGCGTTAGAATATTTACAACTTCTCTCCCAAGGGTATATATAGATAGATAGATAGATAGATAGATAGATAGAGAGAGAGAGAGAGAGAGAGAGAGAGAGAGAGAGAGAGATCACGTTTTCAGGCTGCCAAATTTGTTTGGGCTTTTCTCATTTCTTTCTCCCACCGTCCCTCTCTCTTCACGCCAACTTGTATGGACAAAAAGGCATAGCACTGTTTGCATGAGGCGATGTACGCAAATGCGTGTGTAATGTGTCGAGATTCATCATGCCGGTGTTTGCATGAGTCGGTTTCTCCTAGCGACGCTCGGCTGGGGTAGTTCCACCTTCTATAAAAAATGGGTTTCTGTTTCTCCTCTGCAACGCCTGCCCCAGCCATGGGAGAGAACCTGGAGGTGCCTCAGCCGAGCGTCTCAGAGGACAAACAGAAACCCATGGGAGAGAAACTGGAGTTGCCACACCCGAGCATCGTAGAGGAAGCGGGGGGCCGTCGGAGACCAAGAAACGGAAAACTGAAGACTCGGAGGAGCTCTCTCTCCCAGCCTCTCGGAAAAGCTGCAACTTTCAGTACAACAGTGTGCTTTCATTGATCCATATTCTGCTTCTTTGTTCTCAGTCTTTTGTTTCTTTGGTCTCTTTTTGTTTTCCTTACAACCTTTCAAAGATTTGGGCGTGATTATGCAAATCGGACAGAACCAATATACTTGAACCTTACAAGGTTGACAATTATGTGATCTGTCTGCTTCATTCAGCCATTAATTTACTGTCTCCACACTATGTTCTATCTAATGACTTCTATCCAACGACTGGTAGTCAGGCGTACACCTCCTTTTCCATTGCTGAAATCTTTCATAATTTTCTCAGGGAATTCAGTTGGAGATGAGAAATGGATGCTTGTCTTCCGTCTTCCGTTTAGTGGTTTCCGACGACCCCCCTGCTTGCTTCCCCTGCAACGCTCGGCTGGGGAAGCTCCTGCTTCTCTCCCACGGGTATGCCAACAGCGAGCACCCACTCTTCCGCCATCTGCGCGATCTGGTTCCCATCGTTGGCAGGCGACTTCGTCTCCGGCGAATCTAGCGGAACAACTGAGCGCTCGCTGCTGGAGACAAGAACATAGGTGTTCCTCCTCCGCTTCCTCGTCCACACTATCCTCACCGGGGGTGCCGCGGAGGAGTCGGGTACGTTGCCTTGCTCCTCGCAGTCAGCCCCGCGGCCAGCGTCCGCTCACTCTCCATGTGGGACCTCATGTGACCGCACAGGCCTTTCTTGTTGAGGAAGGTCTACTACCAGAGAGAGCAGGCTATCTTCCCCATAGCGATTTACCACGGAAGCAACGACGAGATGGCTGGCGGCGAGATTGGTAGAGTCGAGTGCTGGAGATAGGGGTGGATGGAGGAGCGACCAAGTGAGGTAGCGGCGAGATTGTTCGTCGTTAACAGCCTCCAATCGTATCAGCAGTAGCATCATCCTGGCACCATTGCACCGGCGATCAATCTCGCCGCTACCTCGCTTGGTCGCTCCTGTAGCCTCCGCCCTCCCCGTTTCTCGACTCCATCAATCCCCCCGCCAGCCAGCTCGTCGTTGTTTCTGCACTAAATCGCCGTGGGGAAGATAGCCTGCCCTCTCTGGTACAAGGCCTTGCTCAGCATGAAAGTTCTGTGCGGTCACATGAGGTCCCACACGGAGACGGAGTGGACGTTGGCCGCGGCGCTGAACGAGGCTGGGGAGGAGGAACCCCCGCGTCCTTGTCCCTAGCAGCAAGCGCTCAGTTTTGCCGCTTGACTCGCCGGAGAGGAAGTCGCCCGTCAATGACGGGAACCAGATGGCGCTGAGGGCGGAGGAGTGGGTCTTCGGTCGAGTTGCCATACGCGAGCAGAAGCCCAAATCCAAGGGAGAGAAGCTCGAGCTGCCCCAGCCGAGCGTCGCAGAGGAAGTCGGGGACCCGTCGGAGACCAAAAAACGGAAGACGGAAGACTCGGAGGAGCTCTTCCACCCTTTGGGCGGCCGCGCCACCGCCGATGAAGGCGACAAGAAGCCAGCACTGTCCAGCGGCCGAGATAGCAGGTGCAGCACCTGCGAGAGGGTTTTCCCCACGGGGCAGGCTCTTGGAGAGCACAAGAGGAAGCACTGGCCGGGTCCCGCTGCAAGGGCGGCATCGGCTTGCAGCACCATGAAGGCTTTGGCCACCGGTCCCACCCTCGAATTCTCTTCCACCACCTCCTTCCTCCCGGAGAACCTGCAGATTTGTTAAGAATTCTTCTTATAAGAATAGAAACTTTCTATTTTGAGCAAAATAACGTGTGAAATGATTGGAACAATTCACTGGATTGCATCTCGTGAATTGAGGAATTATTTCTCCTCTTTTCAGCCTTTAACAAGAACAAAACTTAATAGAAACTATTTAATCAACCATAAAATGGTATAAATGTGGATTGAACTAAAACTCGTCTAGGAACAAAAAAATATTACTCATTAGATGAAGTTTTAATATTTTTTTAATAAAAAGTGTTAGTGGGGATATTTTATGCACGTAATATCTGATATATTCCGATTTGAGAATGAGATTTCCTCTTTCATTGTTCAAAATCAATGTCATGTCTTGAATATGTTGCAAGCTTGAGGAAAAACCCCCTTCTTCTTTGAAGGTATCAAGAAGCTCTGAGTTCCTCTGACAACCATCCTGTCCTTCTGATATGAACAATAAAATCAGAAGCAAAAATCTGTTTTTTTTTCCTACCTGAATAGCAAGAAAGGTAAAAAGCCAGTGTCTTCTTATTTTCTCAACATACAGCTTAGCGATCAAAGTTTCCTCCCAACTATTTTGGAGAAAAAATATTCTCACAAACTAGATAAGAGTGCTTTTTGACTAGGATGTGATGATTGGACTAAACTCTAGCTACGTTGGTTTAGTATAATTAATCCCATCCATGCAAAAAAAAAAAAAGAAATTCTACTTAAGGATTATCCTGCATTGTAGGGTATGCATATATTGATGAGATAGTAATCAGTAGCTTGCTTCCATCCACTTTGAACCCAAGTCGTTCTCATCTTCGGATTTTTAAACGTAAGAGAAATTCATGAAGAACAGATGCAATATAGAACAAGCTTTCTGAATAATGATATTTTCATTTTAAATAATTCATTATTTACCATTTTTTACGGTCATTTGTGTCTTCATGTTACAGGTTGGGTGGGCTACTTCATAGCCTACCATTGAGAAAGATGCATTTTTGAAGGGCATTCTTGAGGTGTCGCCTGGGTGGCCAAGGGAGAGAAGGCCATTTGGGCGGTGAATATACGGTCGCCCCTCCCCGTACGGTCCACGGGTGAGGCGGACGGGCCACTTCTTCCTCGGGAGTTGGCCGTTCCGACTGGGCCGCGTACACACCCGGCCACTCTCCCCCGCCCCCTCGTCGCTTCTCCGCTGGGCGGGGGGAACGGCCGCGCCGGTCGGGGCGGCTGTGATGGCACGCGCCCGACTGGTTGGCTGGAACGGCGCGCTACAGATGGGGACAAAGCGATGCGCCGGTCCGGCGTCCGGCGAGAGGTATGGCCGCAGTTCGGCACGCGGCAGGCGGGAGGAACGGCGCGAGCCGAACCGGAGAAACGGTGCCCCGGCTTGCCGATTCGGTCGACGGGGGTAGCCGGTCCTGTATGATGACGTCATTATTCAAACGGCTGGCGTCAGTGTTTATTACACCATTTTGTGTATTTCTGAAATGATATTATCATCAAGTTTATTTAAGTAATTAATTTTAAATTTATTTGATTTTCCATGTATTATGCTTATATTAGGAGTATTTAATAACTCTCTTGATTCATAGTTTGGTACATGTATACTATTCTAAGATAAATTAATTTAAAAAACTTACTACCAAAATAAACTCTTGTAGAATTAATTATTCTAGAATATTAGGATGGTTGTGTGTTTCATCTATGTATGACCAAATTACATAGAGCCTTGTTCTTATAAGTATAATTAAAAATGTTATTTTTTAATTTGATCAAATAATAAATGATATTTGTATAAAGTCTTTTTGAATTTATTTTCATAAATGATCTACTTTTATTTTTGACCCATGATGCAACTCCAAAAAAATTAATTATTAAAAATTTTCTTTTTTTCTCATGAATTTTATGACTACTTGTGGATTCAGTCAACCCTTGAAATTAAAGGGTATTTTTCTCATCCTTGTGGATTCAAAGACCATCAAAGTCAACCCTTTTCAATTCAAGAATTGGGAAAACTTGTGCCTTGAGGATTCAAGCTCTGACTTTTGGTTCCTCCTCATTCCAATAAAATCCATCATTCTTGAATTCTAAGCCCTAAAAACCCTAGATAAAGGGTTTTTTCTTTTTCTCTATGAATACCATTATATATATATGCATAGAAAATTCAGATATGGCAATTATCTTCAAGAAAAATTCAGTCCAGAGCTTTATGTTCAATCCCATGAAAACCCCAACAAAGTCTGAAAACTAGTAGACCCCTGAATCCCTAGCTCCAATTATAAGTTTCAGTTTAAAAATATTTCAAAATTAAATCAACCATTAAAAATTAAATAGATAGAGAGGGAGATAGAGAGAGAAAAATAGAGAGGGGTTTGACATTGTGTACCTAGTGCTAGTAGAATAACTTAAACACGAACCCATATGGAGTTCTAATCATATTGATCTAATGGTACATACTTTTCATGTATGCATATATTATGAACGTCACTAAATGGTTTATAATTATTATATTGGCCTTTCCCCCGGTTTTGGCCCACAACTTTCCAAGTTTCATCAATATGAGCCCAAGGGAGAGAACCTTGGAAAAAACCGAAGAGGACTCATACAAGGATTTTGATCTTCGGGTGATTCTGCGATCTAAGAGTTGAGTGTGGAAACAATCTGCAAGGAAAGCAAACCCTCAAACTGCTCTAGGTCAATCCTTAAGAGGGGGGGGAGGATGAAATCAAAAGCAGTCTAGAAAGGGGCTTACAAGCACCTAGATCATCATGTACAGACTACCCACCATCTTATTTTGCCACTTTTGCACATGATAAGGGGGAGCATAGGGAAACTTAATATGACATAACCCACAAGGAGAGAGAAAGAGGGAGGGAGGGAGGGAGGGAGGGAGTGAGTGGGTGGCAGGATCACGACCACCTCTTCCGACGGAGCTTCGAGATCGTCAGGTCAGCTCCACCGAACCCATCCATGACGGCGTTGGCTGACCGGAACTCTGCCCTGGAAGTGAGACTGGAAGAAGAAGGAGAAGAAGAGAAGAAGACCAAGAACAATGAGGTTTAGCAGATTGGTTACAGACAACAACTTAGAAAATAGCTAATTCTGTACATTTTCAACTTTGGTATAGTTGACTTACAGCTAAAGTTGCTCTACTGTTAGTAACATGACAGCTACTGATGCAGGTCCTGCTAGCAAAAAAGTTTACTACTTTGGGGAAATGGGGAATGGTAATGCTGCATGAAGTAGACTAGGAGGAAGAGTGAAGGGTTTAGAGGTATGTTTCCCACAGCCGATTCCACTGTTGGCAAAAGCTGATACCGAAAATTCTGAATTATGTAGATTTCATTGGTCGCAAGATTTGCTCTACTGCGATTAATTTTCATTACATTTTAGGGGGAAAAAAAGCCCATCATATTTCTCGAGGGTGGGGAGTGTTAGGGTGCACTGAGTGGGGGTGGAAGTAAGAATGAAACAAGAACAATGAAGAAAAGTTTGACCTTGCTAGATTTGATTTATCCAAGGATTCACTCTACTGTCATGAATTGTCATTAAAATTGTAGTTATAGTGCCACTGTATTGCTAAAAAAGGCAGCTAACTTTGAGAGAATGGGTAATGTCATGTTGCACCAAGTAGCTTACAATCAATTGGCAATAAATGGAGGAGGCCCACCTATAAAACCAGAGATTTTTTTCATGCGCCTGATCATATGTGAGTTGACCAATTAGCATTGTCAAATAGAAAACAGAAATAGAGGGGCACAGACCGAGTGCTAGTACGTTTTCAAGGTATTGAATCATTAAAAGTCAAAGCCAAGTGACGTTGACCCATTTAGGTTTCATGTAGGAGTCAACTTTTACTATTTGGCCCTCCCTCGGACAACAGAAACAGGGAATTCACAGCTCGAGAGAGAGAGTTAGAGAGAGAGAAGCCTGGAAAGGCTGCCTCATGGGGATTTTGATCCTTCATCTACATTCTTTTGAGTGAAAGGAATCCACCATAGCTGATATGATAAAATCTTCCTCAGTAAAGTACGAAGATTCTATGTAGCATGCACGATAAGCCTTTATATGAAATTGATTTCCCACAACAATGACGGCATGCAAGATACTAAAAGAAGCAAAATGAGGGTAAAGTCTTCAAATAGTGAAGAATATATACCTGTTTCGGATGACCACACATGGCATACCTATCCGCTCAGCACCAAGAACCGCAGACTGGCTACCAGCCACGAGGACACAGTCATACACAGGCAGACTAGCATATTCTGCCCCAGCACGCAGCGTTGCCACTATCTGGTCAAAGCTGGAAATGAATCAAGGGACCACGCTCAATATCTCATTGAAATCCTTTTTTTTTAATTACAAAAAGAACCGTAGAATGAGAAGCATGTTAAAGAGCAATTACTTTGATGTGATCATTCGTCATCTATCCGGTGTAAGTTAAGGTTCAAAGCTTCCTCGAAGGTGGATTGGGTTCACTACATAACTCATTTGGTAGATAGAAACGAGAAGGGAAGAAGAATCATAGAAACTCTAGGCTGGGACTAGCCCCAAGCTACTTTGGGCAATGATAACATTGAAATAAGCAAGCTGACGTTGGGGAAAAGAACAACGCCTTCTTTTGCCAAGTGGAAGGAGTCCCTAAAGTCGTTCCAAGACTTTTCGTGACTCACCCATAACCAGTAGCTTGAGAGGTAATCAGCTAGAATTGGTACCTTGATGCATCGAACATGCTAGAACGAGAGGAAGGACAGTGAACCCTCCTCCACTTGATTGCTCGACCAAGTTCGGATATAATCTTTGGGATGTTTTCCCCTCATCAAAACATGGACAATATAAATTATCAGACATCAACACAACATAAGGATATGCATGGGCCGAGTTGAACAACCAACGATGTGGACTTGAACATTATCTGAGAAGGGTGAGATGGGTCGAGTTGACTCGTTTTCTTGAGCTTTATGCGGTCTGATCAACTATACAAGAAAAACTTGCCAGATCATTTTTCTTAAAAGTCGTCTTATCAGGTAGATATCCTCTGCCTTTCATTGAGCGGATGGCGTGTTTTCATTCAAAGTGGATAAAAGCCTCTAATGACATGAAATAGTAGAGCGCCCATTCCAGATCATACACGTTGGAACAACTTCGCGATGGTGATTGAGGCACAGAAGACTGAGTCACAAAGCTTCCATATGAATAGGTAGGTAGGCGCAGTTAATGACAAAATTCACAAAGTTGATAAATGATGAACAAGAAGTCACAATGCCCTCCAAAACGTAAAAATGGAAAAAAACTGCTACCTTTCTGGCAAACTGGTATCGATGTCAACACTGATTTTGAGAGCAGAAGCGACCTCCTCCGCTACTCTCTGTTTTTCCATGGATACTGTTGTGAGCATAAAGCAGAAAAACCAATTAGAAACATCTAACAAGAACCAATTCTCGCTGGAGTACGAAAACACAATAGTAGTTACAAGGAAGGTTTCATAGTCAACCTGCTTTTCGGGCCTCCTTTGCAAGCTGTTCATCTAAAGTAGAAGTTGTTCCTTTTCCTAGAACAAGTTGACCATATAAACTTCCTTCCACTTCTTTCTTTCCAACTATCTTAATTTTTGATATTCGGTCCCATCCAAGCTTTTCAACGAGAAACCTAATGGAATGTTTGAAGTTTTATTTCAAATGAGAACACATTACAGCGCCTAATTTTCAAAAGAAAAAGAAACAAAACAACATATAGAAGGTATTTCTTTCAAGGGAAGCATAGAAGAAGATATAATAAACCAGCCTATTAGAAATAATGGAAAAAAAATACAGAGATATCATGACTTCATTGCCAAAGGAAAGAAGGAAAGAAATATTGCCTGTGGATAACATAATGAGAATATAGATAATGTAGCAAAATCGAATTAATGGGGTCAACATGGTGACTGGATTTTGGATAGCAATCTAAGACGAAAAGGGCATAGACATAGTTTTATGCACCACTGGGCCATTAAAACTGAGACGGATAATAAGATATTCGAGTTTGAAGAAAGTGAATATCTAAATCCATGTCACTGACGATTATCCATCATTCAAAAGAAAAAAGAACCACTAAACAAACCTTGACAATTTGTCCCCGCTTTTACTGCAGGCTGTGAGCATAATTACGGGTATGCCTTCATTAAGTGCATCATCAACAAAACTGCAGATAAAAAATATCAAATGCATCATGAAATTCAAGTATAAAAAAGAAACTAAAGAGTCTGATAATGTTGAAGAATGCTCCGGATATTTAAGATAATCGATCATACTCAATCTCGAAAATTGGGAAGCTTTAAACATTACTTCTTTCCTTTAAATGTTAAATTGTGACCCGAAGGAAGGCCTCCCAACTTCTTACAGATAACTCGTGAGTTTATTGCAGGAAAAACATTATCTATTAATTTGGATAGATGCAATGTCACAACAGAATCAATGGGAGCGATACCTAACCTCTGAGATGGCATCAGCAATGGCTAAAAACTGTCGGAGGAACTTATAGGTTGGACATAAGAAACAATTGAAGTAATTGAAGATGTTCCAGAAAACTAAAGCATTGCATCCCAATAAAACCAGTTAGACAGACAAAAAGGAAGGACATATTCCAACCAGCAGGTCAAAAGTCATTTTGCTGAAGTCATAGCACTCCTATCTGAAAAGCGAGTCTGGATGAAAAAAGGGCAATGATCCTTGGGAATAAATCGCTTGCAGGTAAAATTTGATAAAATCGGGAGCAATCCATCACCATTGTATAGTCAAGCGTCGGATTTTATTTTCTGTGGAACAAAAGCATCTCTGGGAACGGTGGATGATTGGCACATTTACCACAAACAGTAGTATCATATGTACATGCCACGTACCAGAAAACAAGCAACCATACAACAAATAGGATTGATAAAAATGATTAAGCAAAAGGTTTGAAACTGTAGCACACGAGTAGAACAATGGAAATTTTAGTACTAAAAGGATGAAAATAATGTAAATGTGTTTTAACAAATAAAACCATGGATTTTTTTGTGAAGTTCATTCATCTAATGAAGCAATTTCAAGTCCACCCCTGAAAATTAACAAAGGACTTACTTCTCAACTCCAGGTCGTAGAGGTAAATTGCCAGAGACAACATACGAATCCAATGCGTTGCTCTGGAATTCAGCAAAACTTGTCATCAATATTGTTTTGAAACTTACAGTACAGTAAAGCATTATAAAAAAGATGATTACTAATAGAGGGATCCTAGCAGGTCCCAAAGCAATGGATTATTTAACGGTAGTGAAATTAGCCATTCTGCAAATTTTATGAGCAAAAGAACTCAAACGGGATGACCTAAACTAAAGCTCACTTGGGAAAATGAGATACAAGGTTTCTTTTGTGTTTCCTTCTATGTGATGTAAATACTGGACAATATCATAAGTATTTACCAAACCAATCAAAAAATCAGCATTGAGTGATTAATGATGCATACTATACGTATTGTCAAAGGCAAAAATTTGCTTTTGGTCACCTCAGAAGAAACCAAGATCGTATTTTGGATACGGTCACTTATAGATTTCTGGGAAATTTATACCACGCAGTATCACCAAATAGTTTGAATTATTCCATGGAAGCTAAAATGCAGTCAAATTATGTTAAAATATGGGATACCAGAACACACAAAAGCAGAAGAGGAACCCACGATTTTAGTCTCATGGAAAATACTAGCAGAAGCAGCATGTCATTTTCCTTGTCTTTGAAGTATTTCAAGCTGCCTCCATGGATAAATATTATTAGATGTGGTAAGGCACGAAACCATGAAGAAAGTAGAGAAATTAAGAAATCTAAGAATAATCTATGGTGAAGAAGCATCTCAACGCCCCAGGTTAATTTTCTGATTTTTTAAATATTAGATTTTCCCTGATAACCAAAAATAAGTCAACTTCATTCGGGGGCCCTCATAAGATTTTTTAAAAAAGCAAAAAACAAAGATGCACCCTGAGAGAATTTAGGAAGAGTTACCTTTTCACGAAGAATTCGTTTCAAAAATGCAACTTTCTCATTGGTAGGCAATGAAGTAGGCCAGCCAATCTGTAACATGAAGACATAAATGAATGTAAAAAGGTAAATAATGACTGATTTCATATTAAAGCAGCATTCTTCAGAAAGCTCGTCGTATACTGTACCTACTCTCCAAGATTCTCTCTTCCTTTAAAAAATCCGACCATGAAAACAACTTGACTTCAAAATGGATGGAAATAAGCTACTGCATATTTTCTGATAAATATGCATACACCACAATCCATTTTCTATTTTTCCTGAAGTAACCTGAATAATTTCTATTTTTCCTGCGAGGATGGAACTAATTATAAGAAACAAGCATAGCTAGAATTTAATCATAAGCACCACAAGCTAGTCACCAAGCACTCTTGTCTACTTGTGAGAACCTTTTTTCTCCAGGTATCAAAATAGTAGGGAGGAAACTCTGACCACTAAACATTATGCTGGGAAAACAAGACGACATTAGTTTTTTCCTTTTATTACTGTTCAGGTGTATGAAAGACGACATATTTTTGCTTCTGGTTTTATAGTTTATATCAGAAGGGCTGGATGGCTGTCAGACTAACTCAAAGGTCCTCCATGTCTTCAAAGAAGCAGGGAATTCTTTCTGAAGCCTGGAAAAGATTCAAGGCATTTATTTGAATCATAATAGTGGAAATCTCATTCTCAAGTTGGAACAATTCAGACATTACACGCATAGCATATCCCCACAATACTTTTCAATATAAAAGGATTAAAATTCACTCTAATACGTAATGCTTTTTGTTCTTAGACGAGTTTTAATTCAGTCCACTTTTCTATCATTTTACCAGTTGATTAAAAAGTTTAGATGAAAGTTTATTATATTTACAAACTGAAGGACAAATAATTCTTTGTATAATTGAGCTGCAGTCCAGTGTATTGTTCCAATCATTTCCTTCGTTATTTAATAGAGAAATCACTATTTTCACAAAAACAATCTGGACAAGCATGCGTTCAACAGATACTATTGTTTTAGTATAGGAGTGGCCAAATTGAAAGAGTGCACATATATAATCTAGAGCATGATCATGATGGCTTTAAAACATTGGGTAAGAACATATGAGACACGTGAAATTCCATTTAAGGGTGAGGATTTCCCCGTCAGGTTACCATCATAGTTTCAGCATGCATATGCCAGCAACAAGCTATTATCCTAGGATTAAAATCGAGAGAATACGTACTCTGCTGAAGAACAATGTAAGCATTCGTTCCTCGTCTCCAGCTGCCTTCCTGAGAAAATTATCAACAATTTTGAGCAATAGAAAAGAAGATGTACACATGACTACCAGTCCCATGAATAGGGTGCCATGGAGTATCAAAACAAAGAATGTAGAAACATAAGCAGGCAACGGTAAATAGATTTTGACGAAGTCATTGGATAGAAGACTGTGGAGATATTTCAAGGCTGAATGAAGCACACAGAGCACATAATTGTCAACCTTGTAAGGTCCAAGTATATTGGTTCTGTCCAATTTGCACAATCAAGCCCAAGTTTTTGAAAGGCTGTAAGGGAAACAAAAAAGAGCAAAGAAACAAAAGACTCAGAACCAAGGAGCAGAATATGCATCCATGAAAGCAAACGATTGCACTGAAAGTTACAGCTTTTGGATAAATGTCCCAACCTCACAGGAAAATGTCTCATAATTATAAGATAACAAAACTGAATACCTCTATATAGTAAAGAGAACATTTCTTGGGAGCATTAGCTCTGGCACTGTTATGTAAAACGCACCTACATTGAAAGCTTGGCGATTACCAAAGCGGTACACATCAGCAAGGACCCTGAAGGCGGAAGATTTTTCATTAGTAAGATGAATACGTTAAGCACATTAATTATTGAAATGTTGTTTGAAATATTTTCGGAGTAATATCATCTTCTAGGGCACCTGCGGGCGTATCAATGACATGCAGCTGGCAGAAGAAGCACGCAGAAGGAACATAACATTAAACACATCATAACAAAGATAAGACATCAAAACAAGTGGAAGTTTTCATCATGGGAACATCTTGATAACTAGAAATTATATATTTTCGTTAAGCACATCATAATACAGGAAGTTGAGGCTCAAAATATTTCGACTGTTAATAAAATTTACTTAGACAAGGGACATGGAGGACACTTCAGCAAGAAATTCAATAAACCAATAGAGATAGCACCGAGTTGACAGATGATGAGATAACATAAAATTGATCAAACAATGTAAAAATTCGATATAATAATTTCGCTTGCGCCGCATCAATTAGTACAAAATTCGTAACTTTGTCATTACTGAACTAGTATATAGGATATTCACGTGCACATGGATGATCATAAGTCTGTGACTCTTACCTTCCACATTGAAAGAGAAAATACTATATTAGTCTATATAAGACGACAAACGATGATTAAAAAACTATTCGCTAATTTTTTAAGATTACGGGTAGAAGCTGTGGAGCTGCACGGTTTGATTTAGTCCATATCTAAAACTATGCAGGTGTTAGGTGTTTAGCCAGATGAGACAACATGCAAAAAAATACACATAAAATTTTAAAATATACAACTCAAAACAAACTCAATAAACCCAAACTTATCCAGAGAAGCAAACACCACCAGACAGAAACAAGTTACGAGCAGGAACAGAGCTGCTAAACGAAGTGCAGCCGCAGCTCACCCTTCCACTTCGATTAAAACGCCGATCTTCTGAGCGGTACCCTCGCCCCGGATTGGGTCCGGCAGACAACATGGAGCGCGGAGACCGGGCGGCCTAAGCGGTACACCACAGGGTGATGCCGCAATCCTGAGAGGCGCCGCGGCGGAGGCGAATTTGAAGATTTCTGGAACCAGGCTTCGCGGGAGCAAGGCTGGAGACGGCAACCGAAGGTGAGCTCCGGCGGAGGACGCAGCAGAGGCAGCGGCGCCGTCCATCGTCACCACCCAACAACTGAGCTTCCAGAAAAAAGCTAGCTCCCTCTTTCTCTCTCTCTCTCTCTCTGACACGGTGACTCGAATCTTCTACACAATGCAAAACTATTGTTATACCCTTGATTATTTTCATAATAACATTTTCTGATGACTCAACGGTGACCCTCTGATGTATGAGCCATGTTCCACGGAATCTGACGGCTGATATCTGCAAATGAAAAAGGCACCCTCGTTAACCGTTGATTTCAGATTCGCCTGGATATCTTCTCATCTGACGGTGAATATTGGCCAAGGGGAGGAGAGCTGGAGAGAGATTTTCTCTGCTGGCAGTGGCCGCCGCCCTTCATAGTCGGCCCAAAAGGCGGATGAATTGTGCCCACAAATAGGGACATGATGTTGACTTATCTCCGGAGACAGTGATGTGGCATTATCTTCACGTCAGCTGGGCCCACCATTTGGCATCGATATTTCTACTGGGCGAGGATATTATGGTGTTAAAGCCGAGATGTAGCGTTTGATATTATGCCACGTGTCTTGGAATAGTAAAAGATTATATAATATAAAACGTTTCTAGATGAACCTAGAGTTGTCCCAGATCTCCATATTGGGGGATCCGCCTGAAAGGTAATCTCCGAGAAAAAGGCCCAGTCAATCCTTATTGGGCTCGCTTGGGCTTCTTTAATTTAGCATTGCAAAGTAGCTCTCTCTCTCTCTCTCTCTCTCTCTCTCTCTCTCTCTCTCTATCTATCTATTCTCTCTCTGTCGCTCTCTCTCTCTCTCTACCTATTTACCTATCTATCTATATGGCTATCTATCACTTTCTCTCTCTGTCGCTCTATATATATATTCCTTCTCTGCATGTACATAACAAGATGAAATGATTGAAGTTCATCTTGCTGTGTTTATCGAAAAGAGCAAGAGACCCAAACTGTGTTTGCAAGGTCATGTATTTCTCTTCAAATGATCTCTCTTACTCTGGCACAAGAGAGAATAAAAAAGAGGATTGTCTCAATGCAAGTAATTAACTAACTAGAAACATTGTCTATGTGATCTTACATGTGCATACTTGATAGTATAAATATGGAAAATATGAATACAACCAAAATTAAGTGTTTTTATCAAAAGGGGAATTATCAATCCACTTGATCAGCTATGCTAGATATAAATCATGTGACCATGTTCCAAATATCATCTTAAATGAGCAGCATACACACATATATATTGATGATTGATGCCTTTGTCAACTAAGTAATACAAAAATAGTTGATATTGATATGGCCTTAATTAACACCAAGAATGAGCTAAATTAGTAATAAAGCCAGTAATTGCTTAAACTAGTCTTTTCAAAATCAGCCACTATAGTTTGACTTTAAACCTTTATTCTACTTAGCTCAACCACAGCCTATTGTGCTTGATTCTGCCATCTACAAGCTTCACACCATCGAAAAGATAGACTTTACTTGTTAGACCTCAAATCTACATCTACTCTTGGGGAATCAATCCTTGAGTTTCACTATAATATGTCATTTAAATATAGGTACATATTGAAGATTTATGACTTGAGAATCTTGTTGACCCTACAAGTCATAAATGACCCTATAAGTTGACTAGTTGGAAGTTAAAACTTATTATGGTTGTTCAATGTGTTGAGATGAAAAGGATTAGAGGCATCCACCACCCTCTTACTCTACTAGTTATGGAACAAGACGAGTTTTTGAAGAATTAGAGATTCTAACATTTTTTGCTGAACTTGTGGTGGGAGCAACTTGATTTACATTGAGAATCATAGGCTTTAGCTACTATTTGTTGAGTTTTACTACCTTCAACTAACTTGGTACAAGAATGACCTTAAGGGAACCACCCTTCTAAGTTCATACTTCTCTTTCTCTTGAGATAAATGAAAGGTTGTGAAACTTGAAATGTGATGTTGAGCCATTGAGAACACAAGCATGTGCTGAATTCTTATTGTTGCATGTGCTTTATGATATGGATGATTCACAAACTTCTTCTAGAAGGTCTTAGAGGTATTATAATGAAGATGAGCACTCAAAAGTTAGTTTAGACCCCAATATGGGTTGAAGACAAGTTTTTACACTGTTATTAGGCTGATTTCTGGTCATTTCAATAGCTAATTTCAGCCCACTAACAAATATCCACACCTCCTTGATTTCTCCATTTAAAATATTCAAGAAGAAAGACACTAATAAGAAATCCATAACAACTTGAATACTTGAGGTTTTCTATCCATTATTTATGGCGTTAAAATTTTCTTAGAATAACTCTTCTAACAAGTGGTTGCTTTCTTGTGTTTTTTAGGATTCAATCTCTTAATTCATTTTCTCCTCATCTCTTAATTTTTCGGAATTTGCCCCTAAAAAATTACACCTAAATCAGTCATCTCATTACAATTTCAATCCCTATCATTATATGCTAACAACATAATTGATCTTTCAAGATTACTTAAGGTCCATTTGTCATCGTCAAAATTAATTTGGTAATAATATACCAATATACCTTTTCTTAATAGCAACAAAATTCTTTTGTCGAAGATGATACTATTTTGATTTAGAGTAACTTTTTTATTTATTCAAATCCAATCAGTGCCGATATAGCACATTATGTTAGAAATTTTTAGTGATATTCAGCTACTAAGTAATGTGTCGGTCTTAGGATTCTATTATTTTTTTCAAACTCAAAACTCTACAATGTTTTCATAGAAAATAGTTTCTAATATGGTTTAATTCTAATTCAAGATTGAAACCATTTTGTCAATCCTTCAAAATATTTTTTAAATAACCCCCAATATGTGTGTTGAATTCATTTGAGGATTTGAGTTCCTATAGATCTCATTTAGTAATGGCTTGTGAGTTATCTTTTCTAGGTGACGCTATTATAGAATTTGTTTCCCCATAAATGTCTTGTTCTTGTTATTTTAGTTTGATATGCTAGTTTCATATAACACTCCCCTTAAGTACGAAACATTATTATTTATATTTTGAGATAAATTTAAAAAAAAAATAGAAAGATACAATAGTAGAACAACAATCGTATCATTCAAACTTTAAACTCTATAAATTTTTTAATAGAAAATAGTTTCTAATATGGCTTAATTATGGTTCAAGTTTGAAACCATTTTGTCAATCCTTCAAAATCATTTCTAGATAACCTCTACAATGTGTGTTGAATTCATTTTGAGAGGATTTTAGTTCCTATATATCTCATTTGGTGATGTCTTCTAAGTTATTTTCTTCAGATGATGCTATCATAAAAAGTTTCTTGCCTTAAGTGTTGATGCTATTTTAGTTTGATATGCTAGTTTCACGTAGTACTCCTTGAATATGAACCATTGTAATTCATACTTTGAGATAGAGATAAAATAATACAAATATATAATAGTAGAACAGCCACATCATGAAGTAAAAGACTCATGAAAGAGTACATAATATTTTTTTATTTTTTTATTTTTTTTGTACATAATATTGATACATATGGTTCACCTTCCATAAGTTTCCATTTTTCACAATGAACTCACTCACATTTGCACAAATTTTCCCCATTTCTTTGACATCCAAATGACACTCCACTTTAGAGTTGAAGGGTTGAGACACCTTCGACATCTAAATGACACTCCACTTTAGGTGAGCATGGCAAGGGCAGAAACATCAAAAGAAATGTGAGAGGCAAGGATTAAGAATGACATAGGCCAATAATCCACTCATAGCACTCATAACTAAGACCTACTTTTTAAAAATTTATGATGCAAATAATGAAGGATTCATAGATCAGTGATTAAGGAGATTGTAGGCTCAAGAATATATTGAATGAAGAACAAATTATGATTATTAACATTATGATGGTTCTCAATCTAAGGGTGAAAATAGTTACAACATGTTTGTGAAGTAGCTTAAGAAGAGGGAATAAGTCAAAGATGAGTGTCTAGTCGATAAATTTTTTATGTCATCTTAATTTAAAGATTGTATGAAAATATTATTTACACCAAATGGAGATCTCTATGAGTCTGAACAAAGCTAATTTGAGAGCCTCAATAAAAAAAAAGAAAGGTAATTTAAGTGAACATGAATACATCTTAATAGTTGTTGCGTTTCTAAGTGAATAGAGGCTATGTCCACTATAACTAATGATCATAAGATAGTCCTTAAATTTATTATGTGGCACATCTTTTCGTAGTTTAATTATTCGAGAACTATACTTAATGATGGTGGGTCACATTTTAACAATTATCATTTTATTTTACTTAAGAAATATAGCATGTAGCATAAGATGACCACATCATACCACCCACAAGTTAACAACCAAATTGAGGTGACAAATAAGAAAATCAAGAAAATTAAGAAAATCTTACATTAAGATAGTTATATCTGATGGTAAAGGTTTGATAAATAGACTCTTTGATGCATTATGGGCATATAGAACAACTTATAAAAATGTTCTAAGAATGTGTCCTTTATAGGCTGATTTTTGACAAAGCTTGTCATTTATTTGTTGAAATTGAGCATTGAGCTTATTAGGCTATCGAAAAACTCACTTTATCATTAGATGATTTAAGGAAAAGTTACATCCTACAAATTTAAGAACTATAAGAATTGAGAAATGAAGTTTATGAAAACTTAAAACTTTTCATGATCATTATTTGAATCGTAAATATTTTAAAATAGAAAAGTTTGGCTCTATAACTCACGTTTAAAATTATTTAAAGGAAACTTAAATCAAGATGGGATGAACCCTTCATTGTTAATAATTTGATTGTGGAGTGGTGCTAATCATAGATTCTAAGACAGGTCACCAAATAAAGGTGAATAGATAAAGACTCAAATTGTATATATAGCATGAACCATCCAAGTAGTTCTCTTTAGCTACAAGACGTGCCATCACCTACAATCTCTTGTTGACCACATTGGAGCCAATTATCTTACAATTTTTAAAAATTTCAATCTAACCACCTTTTTCTCAGTGGCTCCTTCTTTTTTGACTTTGATGTAGTT